TTTGGTGTGAGAGTTGGAATTATTATTATTATTATGGGAGGTTTTGGCGCGTTTGCATCGAGTGCGGTTGGCGTCATATTTATCATGTCCAAAAAAAATACTAACAATATTCACATTCTTAATTCAATTCAGTTTTGGTCCCTAGGGTTTAAAATGCCTTTTACTGCTAGCTCTTTACGAATGGATGTGATAAAAATATTTTTTTATATTAGTGATTTTTTTGTCTCGTAAAAAAATTATCTGCCACATATTGTTATCTATTTCTATAACATTTTAATTTGACTCTAAAAGATCTAAATATTTTCAAACATAATTAAATTATGTCAGTTTAATGGTAAATCCGAATATAGAGATGCAGACATGCAATTGTTTGATTATATAATATTGCCAGCATAGTTTACTAACTGTTTTGTAAACCCTTTAATTGTGTATGTTTGAGTAATAAAGTGTTTATCTATCTATGGCCAATATTTTTAGGCTATTTAACTGTGGCCACACCACCACGCGTAAATATTTTGTTATAAATTATCATTGTATCTATCAAACATTAGAATTAGATGAAAAAAATCTAAATATTATGAAAAAGGAGTCCTTTGTTTGTTTACTTAAGAAGATATGAGAGAAAGATGTTTAACAAATTTGGGATAAAATATGCCTAACTTTATCGTCGCCCCACGTTTCAAAGATTTGCGTCAAGAAGTGCTTGGCGTCAAAACTAAGTCGTTAATCGTCGTTCGTTCGTCGACAAGTCGTATTCGTAATACTCATTAAACTCGTTAGCTAATTGAAGAAGCCCTAAAAACCACTTTCTGTATTTTGCGCTACAAACACTTTGTTGTATGTTGTCCTGTTTTCTCAATTCGCAACACTGACAACAGATGGCGCTGTACATGGGACTAAATCGCTATATGGTTTCGCTACTCCAGAAACCAGACTATCAAGAAGCATATCAGTTATCAGCACGGTCGTATTTTGTGCCATTACTCCATTTCTACAGTGGTGTTGTGAATTTTTGAGACTCGCTACACGAATCGCCATTATTTTGGTAGTGGAGCGGGCGAGTTACACCAAGAGCTAGTGCTGCCGAACTATCGATATTAAAACTATCGACAGTTTACATCGAAAATCATGTACCCTATCGATAGGCCTATCGATAGAATCGATACTACCGATAGTATCGATATTATCGATAGCTCAGAACAAGGCAATACTATCGAATGAGTGCAATACTATCGATACTATTGTAGTTCGTTAATAACAAACTATTGATAGTATCGATACTATCGATAGTGTTGATTTTATCTGCAACAATACTATCGATAGTATCGACACTAGCGATTGTCCTAGACTAAAGTTTGTGATTGACTATAATACCTGAAAATTGTAAACAATACTATTGCAAATTGTTAAACTATCCATAGAATGGTTGCAAATAAAATCGACAGTATCGATACTATCGATAGTTTGTTATTAACAAACTACAAGACTATCGATAGTATTTAACTCATCCGATAGTATTGGCTTTTTCTGTGCTATCGATAGCCGATAGCGATAAGCCGATCGATTGTCATACGATTGGTTGGCTATCGATAGACTATCGATTAATCATCGATAGTCGACTATCGATCGGCAACACTACCAAGAGCTACTGAACCGTCCGAGTAACGGTCTGTCTGTAAGGCTAGAAATTCTTATGGTGATGAGTCATAGCATACTTAATACGGTAAGCATCGCCTGGCACTCCTCAGCACTGCACGTCATAAAGCCCTATAATTTTGATAAAGTCAAAAAAAAATTAAAAAGAACTTGTTGCTGTAAGCTTGAAATTTTTATAAAATTTAGTTTATTAATTTTTAAGTTTAAAAAAATCTGCCAGGCTTTTACGATGCATAAGTACCTGCCAGACGAACCGGAAGGTGTGTAATATATACATAAAAATAAACTTTATTCTGTAAAGTTGAAATTAATATATGTGTTTGTTTAAGCGATTTAAAGTAAGTAGGTAGAATGCCAGGCGGTTCTGACTAGCACAAGTCCTTGCCAGGCGAGGGAAAAGATGCTGCGGCAGTGCGAGTAAGAGTCGTAGTATGAAAACTTACCTAAATTACATAACTTAAAACTGCTCATAATTTGAAATTACAACATAACTTTCCTACTCCTATCGTATACAGCATTTTTTCTGGGATCAACAGATTGAATGGTGCTTTAAGTAACGTGTACAATGTGAGATGTACATAGTTAAATACCTATATCAAAAAATGAAATACAATGTCATAACATTTTAAATCGTCTTAGATAATAATGATGTATTAGCAATCATGAGTTTCCTGATCTTTTAGTGTAGGGGATTAGAGACCCATCCCCCCCTCCCTTATCACCAGGTTGTCGTTTAAGAAAACTGATTTACATACAACACAACTTTTTTTCAAGTCAATTACAAAAAGAAACTCACACAAATTCGCACCACCAAAGCAAATACGAAGCCAAAAGCGAATACAAACTCATGTCACTGTATTATATTACACGCATCGTGTTGTGAATACGTCCCGTGAATATTAAGATTTTATCAAAACTGTACCGCCTTGTTAAAACATTGTAAAAACTGTTTAAAAACACAAAAGTAAACACAGTTATGTATTGTGTTTATTTAAACGATTTAAAGTAAGTAGGTAGAATGCCAGGCTAGCACAAGTCCTTGCCAGGCGAGGGGAAAGATGCTGCGGCAGTGCGAGTAAGAGTCGTAGTATGAAAACTTACGGTATATTATTGATGCAAATTAAATGATGTGAAAATAAAAGTTATGGGTAAAATATTTTTTATTACTATAAGTCTTTAAATTAATTAATAAATCTTCATTATCATAATAGGATTCTTAGTTCCTGATTTCGTCATCTAAAAAGAAACAAAGTTTTAATACATTAAGAATAACCTTACATCTCTGACCTTCAATTCAATTCGTTTATTGCATATCCACAATGTACAAAAAGATGTTAAATAATAGTTATGACAAAATACGATCATTATGGACCCTGTCGGGCACGCAACTAAATGAGAGATAGAAGAGTGGAGTTACATTCAAATTTCTATGTTAGTTTACAGATAAAAAGAGTTAGGTACTGAATGTCACTATTATATAAGTTGTCACTATTTATATAAGTTAAGATAAAATTCATTCAATCTATATGAACTATTAATTAATAGGCAGATAATATTTAATATAAAAAAAATGGGTGCGTGTACTTATGTAGGCGCGTGAGAAGTTATCCTTCTTTGGCATCGTTTAAAATTAGTTTTTAATTGCATGCAAATAATTAATTACAATAAATTACTAAAAAGTCTGGAAAAGTACACAGTCAATAAAGTTCAGTTTTAATTTGAAAAAATAAATAAATAATCAAAATATTCAATTAAAATCGCTACTGAATATAATTTATTAGAACATATGTGATTTGCACTTGTATGAAACTCAAACACGTGTTCCGAATATACAAACTAGAAACATGTGGATAAATATTATAAATATGAATACCTATAATAACTGTTACTTTATTACAAAAAATAAAGATGTGGTTGTTGGTTCTACTACACCAATGGTCAAGAGATGGCGCTGTAGTCTCCTGAATCGCGCTTTGGTTCCGTTGTTCCAGGTTAATAAATACTTTTGATATTATAAATATGAATACTTATAACTGTTACTTTATTACAAAAAATAAAAATGTGGTTTTTGGTTCTACTACACCAATGGTCAAGAGATGGCGCTGTAGTCTCCTGAATCGCGCTTTGGTTCCGTTGTTCCAGATTAATAAATACTTTTGATAGGCCTTCACAATGCAGTCGTTAGCACCCACTAAATAGAGATTCTATTTCTATTTTGTTGGTAGATTTTCTTAATGTGCGGTAAACACAAAAGTTTGTGTTACAGTGATGCGCGCGCATCTTAAAATTTCACTCTCATCATTTTTTCATAACGCGCCTAAAGAAGTATAACTTCAAAAAACCTTGCGCTCAATTATATAGAATTTCATATATTTTTATGAAATGTGTATTACCTTTAATGTGTTCTTCAGCGTCACATGACTCATTCTCAGCAAATACACAAAAGGACAAAAACAGTCTTCACTTTTGATTTTGTATTTGCTTTGGTGGCCGCACTTCGACGTTCCATCTGCCACTGTTCTGTAATCTGAGCACCCAGGTATCCTGCATCTTACCTCTTGATCTCACTTTATTCCAAGAGGAACCACATGCTTGCTATTAAAAAGAACCATAATAAATGATTTCTTCCTATCCTCATTCCTCGCTCCATTCTCCAATTTCTAGTAATATTTTCTTTAGAATATTGTCTCAAATAAGTGTGAAAATTACGTTTTTATCGACAATATTTTATTAATAGGGCTGATGACGGGGTACAGTAAACGAAATTCTATTTAGTCCGTCAGTTATATGATCAAAAAATAATGGACACGTATTTTTTCTTTGGGCAATCAACCAAAAAATGACAAAGTTATAGCGCGTCAAAGTTTGGGAGTAGGGGCTCGTGACGTCACTTTTGAGTGAATTTTCACTTATAAGTGTACTCAAACGTGACGTCATGCGACTTTTCAAATCAATATATCTCTGCAATGTTTATATTATGTGAAAAAAGCAAAAAATACGTGTCCAATACTTTTTGATAATCTACCTGATAAACGAAGAAAAAAAAATTAGTCATCATCCCTTAACCTGTAAAATTGTGAGATGAGAGCAATGAGAAACGTGGAAAATCTAACCGCAAAACCTTTGTATCACCCAGAACTGTGTAGACTTAATGGCGGCATTTCACCCAGCTATTCGTAAACGTGACAACATCAACAGTCTGTACTTATCATATTTTATAACGAAAGAAAAGGACAAACTGATGTCAAGTGTACAAATAGCAAACACGAATAGCCAAGTGTAGTGACGGCATGAAAATATTCGTCAATCTTTCACTCTAAATGAACCCATAAACTTTATTGCAGTTTCCCCCAAAGCACGAGTACGACACCAAAACCACCAGCCAGGACTAGGAAACAGTCTAAAGATGAGAAACCTATGGAAGCTTCACCACCAGCGCAGACCGATGAGCAAGACGAACAGAAGAAGCCAAACATTTGCTCAAGGCTCATGGGCAAATGCAGGCAGTGCTGTCCGTGTTGCGGCAAGGCGGAAGATGATGAGAGAATGGTGGAAGAAGGGAAGGCAAGAAGTTGGAACTGCTTCAAAAAGAAGCAGACGGAAGTCGCTTCTCAGGTCGAGAGAGCTGCGGGGAAAGTAAGTTTAATGATATAATGTTACATACATTATAGATAAGTAGGTTTAAAGTCGAAAGATTTAAGCGTAATGCCCTTCATTAACTTGAGTTTGGAGGAGCTCGATAGCGCGGGTGGATAGCCCGTTCGGCTGCGATCGTTGAAGTTAAGCAACATTCGCAGTGGTCGGTCTTTGGATGGGTGACCAAAAATCTTCTATCTCGAGTTCTTCCGTGCTGTGGAAAGCACGTTAAGCTGTTGGTCCCGGCTGCATCTGCAGTCTTTAGCACCCGCCAACCCGCACTAGGCCCGCGTGGTGGATCATGGCCCAATCTCCCTATTCCATCCATAGGGACGGCCTGTGCCCCAACAGTGGGGATATTAATAAGCTGATGATGTGTTTGCAACAAAGCTCCTGCGAAACGGCTTGACAGATTCTTGTGAAATTTTGTGTGTATATTCCACAGAATACAGAAAAAGGGTTAGAAGGGTGATCTTAGATCGTTTTGTACGGGAACCGATGTCACCGGCTCGCCCCCTCTACTTATCCACCTAAAAGACAATAGCCAATGAAATGACGCGACACCAAACAAACGAACCAATGAGCGCTCACACCCGAGAGCAACGACACAATCAGAACCAAGTCTTGGTCAAGGTCCGGGAGTGGACCGGTATTGCCTCCGTCAAACAGCTGTTCCGGCTGGCTGCTGATAGAGATGAATACAGGAAGCTAACGGTCAACCTTCAGGATTGAAGAGGCACTGGAAGAAGAAGAACTGTGGCGTCTGCCCCGCCCACAAGGCCCTTCTAACTGCTTTCTATGTTCTGTGTTATATTCAGTGGGTCTGAGAATAAGACGATAACTATTATATCTTTGATACCCCTAAGTGATAAGGATGGTCTATTCCAATTTTTTTTTGAAGTGATGCTTTAACCGTTCGGCTGCGATCGTTGAAGTTAAGCAACTTTCGCAGTGGTCGGTCATTGGATGGGTGACGAAAGCACGATTAGCTGTTGGTCCCGGCTGCACCTGCAGTCGATAGCTACCGCCGCACTGGGCCCGCGTGGCGAGTCATGGCCCAATCTCCCTATTCCATCCATAGGGAAGGTATTTGCCAGAGCAGCGGGGACATTAATAGGTATGTCGCCATAATCTCGGCCAATGTCGAGTTTTTTACTGCCCAAATTGACGCCAAGCCATTACATTTATAATTGTTATAAAAAAAATCAGACCTTATCAGCAAGCATCGGTGGTTCAGTGATAATAAGCTCGCCTGCCACATGGGCGGCCCGGGTTCGATTCCCGATAAATAACTTAAACAAAAAATTATAGATTTTTTTGCTGAAATATAACCTAAATCGTTGTCTGAATTTGCTAGTAATATTTCATAAGTAACTCAGAATTCGCGACCTATATTCTCGCGATGACCCAACAAAATATGTATACCACCAAGTAAGTTTATTGTCATCGAAGCATGGGTGTCGATAAACTAAGAAGTGGGTATGAATTCCTCGGTATATTGGATTCATTTCATATCGGATATTCGGGTAATGACTAACTCTAATACTACATGGGTACTTTCCTTAGATGACTTGACAATTCTAAAGAATGATACTCAAATGTTTGAACCTTCGACAATTGGGTGTGATGTTACCCTGATTACTGTACATAAGGTTCTGAGTTTCATTATCATTCTAATTATTTAATTACCAATGAATTTGAAGCGATTAATCGACTGAGGATGTCGTCCAATATCATGAGATATTTTAATAATATAATAATAAGGATGGCGACTAACTTTTATTCTTCATCTATCAGGTAGATTATCAAAAAGTATTGGACATGCATTTTTTCTTTATTCACATAGTCAACCCATAGAGATAATATTGATTTGAAATGTAGCATGACGTCACGTATTGGAACAATTTTTACTTAATAGTAACATTACTCCCAAACTTTGACGCGCTTTATCATTGTCATGTTTTGGCTGATTGACCACTTCTTAAGTCTATTTGTCTACAATATACTCGTAGTTGCCGTAAACAACTACGAGTATATTGTAGACAATACAATAACCTTCCCTATGGATGGAATAGGGATTGGGCCATGACCCACCACGCGAGCCCAGTGCGGCTTGGTGGGTGCTAACGACTGCAGATGCAACTGGGATCAACGGCTTAACATGCCTTCCGAAGCACGGAGGAGCTCGAGATAGTAAATTTTTGGTCACCCATCCAATGATCGACCACAACGAAAGTTGCTTGACTTCAACGATCAACTATTAAAGATATACCTAGTTAAATTTCAAACTATATTACCGATCCAACAGGCGGCGACGATCGAATATGAGAACGAAACACATCGTAAACGCACAATGCGCGAGCTGCTATGCGGGTGTTGCAAGCGTCAGAGAAGAGTCAGCGACGCGTCAGCGCTGGCGACGCGTGACGTCACGCCGATGGCCGCCGCCGCACCCGGCGCAGTTAACGAGACCAGTTGCTGCGGCGGCAGGAAAGCTGTGCAGAGGAGGGACAGTATATTGAGCGACAGGCCGCCGGGAGGGTAAGTAATATTTGTGGAGTATGATGAAGTATAGTAAGTGCATAGGTATTGCAAGCATTAGACAGTGCGTGGACATTATAGAGGAGATGAACTGAACAATAAGCCACCGAGAGTTTGGGTAGTATGTGTGAAGTATTAGAGTACTATAAAGCGATCCGGGCGTGAGCCTTACGCAGGTGTTGCAAGTGTCAGAGGGATCTTACAGCCGTACAAAGCAGGGACAGGCTGACCGAGGAGTGAGTAGGATATCGACACATCTCAGGCTACGGTCAGTGATTCGTCTTTAAATATAATACAGGTGTTCCTAAAGTCAGAAAAAGAGTAAAGACGACATACAGAGGCAAGTCAGTGACGCTTCATGTCATGCCATCGTTAACGAGACTAGGTACGACAGGAAAACTGTGCTGGAGGGGATAGTATATTGAGCGGCAGGCCGCCGGTAGGGAGAATATAAGTTTTAAAGTAGTATAAAGCGATCCATACGTAGTTGTTGCAAGCGTCAGAAGGAGCGTTGAGACGTAGAGGAGAGATATCATAATGAACGACAAGTCGTCGAGAAGGTTACTAGTATTTGTGAAGTATAAGAATATGATAATATGACGCTTGGCGTTCTAGCAACATGCGATACGCGCGTTCCTTTTTCTTGCATTCCAGAAAGTTCGGGAACAAACTTCCCTCAGCGGTCTTTTCCTTTCTGCTATGATATGGTGGTCTTCAAAAACCTTTCTCTTCAGAGCCGGCAAGGCATGGTACCCTTGGTGCTGCAAGTGTCTATGGGCGGCAGTAACCACTTTCCATCAGATGGACTGTCAGCTCGTTTGCCTGCATAACCTGTTGGTGTTGCAAGCGTCAGAAGGAGCGTAGATACTTGACTGTTTAGCCCCTTTTAATTTCCGAAGATATGACTCAAAGATATGACACAAAAAATGAACATTATTTTCATTACGCTATAAAGCTGATGTAATCGCATAAATGACTTGATTTGTTAACCCCTTTAAAGTATAATTCCGGGCATTTTCAATTCCTTGTAATTTCAAAATTTCTCGGTGTCAAATCACTTCTTTTCAGGTCCCTGTTGGATGCTGTGGCCGTGTCAGCACCTAGGTTTTCAATATCGTTGCTCTTTTAAGATTGCTTCTGGGCATTTTCAATTCCTTGCGAAATTCTCAGTGGCTAATTGTATATTCCCCCATCTGCGTTAGATGCTGCAGCCGCATGAGCACGTGGGCGCGCGGCGTGTGCCGGCGGCGCGCGGAGCCGGCGTCGAGCCGCCGCACCAGCGTCTTCAGCAAGAACAAGAGCATGTCGCCGACGCTGCCACCGGAGGTAAGACAAACTCAAACTTTTATGGTTGGCTGAAACAAATTGAAAGAAAGCTGTGATTGTTATATTTTAATACATATTTAAGCATTTAACTGTCTAGGTGTTTAAATCTAAAGAACATTTTAATAGAACAAATCCACTGGGACAAGGCAACAGACGGGACTCGAACCCGCACCCGCCGATATCCGGACGGATGCACTGACCATTACGCTAGCGCGGCCCTATTTGCCCGTACCGAATTTTCTCTAGTATTTCTCAGGGTATAAGGCAGCGCCATCTGTTCGCATTGTAGATAACCTACAATGTGAAATGAATACCGTTACAAGTATTAAACCTTACAGCCCAAAAAATACTAGAGAAATTGGACACTGATTATTAGGGCTGCGATAGCATAATGGTCAGTGCATTCGCCCGTCCCGTCTGCTGCCTGATGCACGTGGATTTTTTTTCTAGTAAAATATTATTTACATTTAAACTATGATTTAATTTTTACGAGAAATAGTGTTATTTAATGTTGTTTTCTGTAAGGTAGAGGTTAACTCTCCATATGAGCGCTGCAATTTCAGCGGAAAATCCGCGGTGGCCTACCGCTTTTGTGTTCTTTGTGTTATTGTTGTGCAATAATTTCTTTATCATATCTTATATAACAAACGATCTCCACGCCACAGGATGCCACCACAAAAACAACCAGGGCATTACCCAGATTTGTATTTAAGATAGCGCAGCAGTATTTATAAGTAAACCCCCTAAAAATTGTTCAATGTTATTTTCATGAAACTAGAAAACTTAATGAATTTCACTAAACTACAGACAAACGAATGAATAATCAAATTAAAGGGCCAATTATTTAATATACTACCCCAGACAGATTTTAAATTAATTTAATGGTGTTAGGTTGGGCGTCTTATTATGTTTGAGTTTTCTTACATCAACAATGTTCGCATTTGGGTTTCGGATGGGCAATATGTTCACTGGCGCCCGGTGTTCGATCTGCGAACCTGTCCAGTTGGCAGATATCGCACGTCCCAAACAATAGGGTATTAAGTCGGCAAAACCATTTATTTCTTTATTTCCGTTTCCAATACTACATTTTTTCTCTGTAAACTGGTAAGATAATTGTATTTTAATTCGAAATAATTTTTGGATTATAGCAACACATTTCGTTAATTTCTAGGCAAAATTTATGATTGTGAGTATTCTAAACAGTATTAAGTTAATACCCTATTGCCCGTTCGGATTAATATAAGTTTGAAGTTTTATTTAAAATAATACCCGCTAGCCTGTTCAATTTTATTTAATATGTTATTTTCAGCGATATTATTTTAAAATGATACTAGTTGTAATTTTAACATGAGTCATTTGAGAGAATTGAACTGCTTATAGGGTATTTTCTTTACCCAGTCACATAAAAGTACTTTTAAAATAAAAACCACTATTGATACACTAACTAAACTTACTCAACACAAAGAAGGATAATGTACGTTTTTACATTTGAACAAGTAGTTCCGCTTCTATGATTTTTTGAAACTTCAAAACGCGATATCTCAAGACACTGTTTTTGAAGATAAATACCCTTTTGTTTGTGACGTGCGACGTGCGACGTGTACTTACGTGGTGACTCAAACAATAATAATGTTCGTTGGCTCGACATTTTCAACGGCCTCTCTGCTGTTACTCGCTTGATACCGAACAGTACACATTTATGTAAATACGCATCGCTTATTTCCGCTGAAATCGCGTAGAAAATTCTTCAACCGCTTATCCAAAGGACGAAGGAAGGAGATGCTTGTGCTGTGCCCACGTTTACAAGTCTAGATAAGGAAAAGAGATACATCCAGATGAGTCGTTGCTAGCATTGCGTTTTATCTGACTTTCACTTGTTGCATTGTTGATGTTTCTTCTTGTGTTCAACCAGCTCGTACTTAATAATTCGTCCGTCGCATATATATTTAATATTCATTGTCAAACCCACACCCAGTAGGCTATTTTCACGCGATACCAGTGTTCTAACAATTATCACGCGAAGTCACCCACATAATTCGAGTATGTCCACTCCAATAATTACACTAACCGCATCATTGCGAGCACATAATCCGTAATGAGCGAGTGGCGTGGGGAGCGGCTCTGATTTAACCGCAGAACACGGAAAGAGATTAGTAGGGCCTTGTGGGCGAGGCAAGCGCGCCACAGTTATATGTGAGCAAAATGCTCGACCAAAACTCGGTTCTGATTGCGTCGTTTCTCTTGGGTATGAGCGCTGATTGGTTCGATTGTTTGATGTCGCGTCGTTTGATTGGCTATTATCTATCAGGTGGAAATGTGGTGGGGGCGAGCCGACGACATCGGTTCCCGTACAGACGGTCTTTGAGCACCCTTCTGACCTCTTTCTGTGTTCTGTGGATTCAGCCCCTCCGCCAGCTAACGAGGCACTTCACGTTAACTAGCATTTAATGCAAGGGGAAACTAAATTTGTTGAAACAAGTAAATCAACTGTATTGAAACTTAAAACGACTAGGTATTAAACCCGCCATAATTATGGAAGGATTATTGAAATACTAGTGATCGCCCGCGACATCGTCCGCGTGTCAACTTTAGTTTTTTGAAAATCCCTCAATATCCTTATACTTTTCCGCAATAAAAAGTATCCTATGTCTCAATCCAGGTCATAAACTATATGCGTACCAGATTTCATCCCAATCTGTTCTGTGGTTTGCGCTTTCACGTAACAAACAACCAAACAAACAAACTCACTTTGACATTTATTACATTAGTTAGGACACAGAACATGAGTTAAGATTAGAAGGTTATTCGTTTAAATCGGAAGAGCTGTTATGAAACATGACCACGTGGCAAATCATCGCATTATCAAGCAAAATATTTAATAATTCAATCCTAACCAAACTTAAAAACCATTTATTAATAATTTGTTGTTTATCTAACATAAAATAACTCCTCCTCTGGCTCGAACACATGCGGAGTTCCTCCTGGTCATGCTGAGGATCAAGATATCCAGCATTTCTTGTGGTAACTTGTCCCATTCTTGAACTGCAGCTTCTTTCATTCTTCCCTGAGCTGCGGCACTGTCTGGGGTGGTGGCTGCCGGTTCCAAACAGCTCGCTTAAGACCATCCCACGCGTGCTCTATTGAGTTTAAGTCAGGAGCGCCGGCAGGCCAGTCTAACCTTGTGATTTCGTATTTTCGGAGAGCAGCATTGACTCGTTGAACTCGATGTGCGGGCGCATTATCGTCAACCAGTACAAATTGGTGCCCATGGTTTACTCGGAAAGGTCTGACGATTCCATCAATAGCGACTGTTTTGTATCTATCTGCCGTCATGAAGCCTTGATAAGGGATTAAAAGCGTTCTAGCTCCAAAAACCACCCAAAAGAGACACTAATTTCCCGCCTTGCTGAATCGTTCCAGTGGCCGTTCTTTGCCTTTCAGAGTCTCCAGCTCTTCTCCAAACATGAACACGTCGGTTATCTGGATGAGTACTGATTAGCGATTCGTCAACGAAGAAGCAGTTTTGCCAAATGTTTTCCTCTTCGTCTTCTTCGTTTTGCCGGAGCCTAGCCCACTGTAATCTCCGTCACTGACGTTCCCGTGAATTCAAAGGTGCTCGCTAAGACCTCCGTGCTCGTAATCCAGCCTTGTGTAAGCAATTCCGAATGGTCTGAGTGCTAACTTCAAGTCCGAAGGTATTTTAAGTATTTCTGCTTTTAATTTAGTGGCGTTTATTGTTGGGTCGCGGGCTACCAGCAACCTGATGTAGCGCTTCTGAGCAGCTGTCAAAACAGTTGGGCGACCGCTGCGGGGACTCATGCCGTGGTACCTCTGCAATGTGGTTACTGCACGGATTGGGATATGGCAACTCTGCGTACTATTTCTCTTGTAGAATAGCCTTCTTCCCTCAAAGTTACAATTCGGGCTCATAAAACATCTAGTAATCCTCGTGGATTTTTTTAAATCACAACTTTCCGTGAAAAAATATTTTAAATTCGATAATGTTGACGAAGTCAGATTTCCGAATGAGTGTCTGCTTGGATTGCATGTCTTTTTATATGGAAAAACAATTGAATTGTTTTATTGGTTAACGTTCTTATTCTCATTTTAAAATTTAAAAAAATTTAAAGAAATTACAAAAAAGTCTTCTGTAACACAAAAAACAATCTATTTTCGATCAAAGTGATCGCAAACTTTTTTTGATGTGTGTACGTTGTTTTAATGTTGATCCCACCCGACTTCCAAATGATGAACCGCTTATTTTGTTTTTACTTTCATTTTCGATTTTTGTAGTCGGTTTTATTTTATTTTAATGTAATTGTGTCTGGCAACTGAAAAACCTTAACAACTCTCAAAACGAATGCAGCTATTTTTGAGGCATTCTTTAAAAATCATTCACTACTTAAAATTTCATTTTCTTTAAAATCAGCAGCGCATTTTACCAGCTGTCCATTGGCATGACCTTGGTGACATTTCTTACTCAACCCAGTAAGTGGTCAGCGGTAAAGCACGGTGAAACACGCGAACCCTTGAACCATCGATTACAGGGAAACGTGGACCAACTTCGATTCACACTCATTATTACTCACATAATAATACGAAATTTGTTATTCATCACCGTATTATACGAACTCTTAATAAGTAGGCAGGTAATTTTCCCAGAAAAGAATAAGTAACTTAAGTTCTACGAATCTGACGAGTTATTAATATCTAAAGAAAATTTTACTAGAAAAAAAATCCACGCGCACCAGGCAGCAGACGGGACTCGAACCCGCATCCTTCGGTATCCGGGCGAATGCACTGACCATTATGCTACCGTGGCTCTGATGGCCTTGTCAAATTTTCTCAAGTATTTCTTAGGTTGCAAGTCAGCGCCATCTCTTCGCATTGTAGGTGACCCTTGTCAAATCAATACCTTTACAAGTATTTGAAGTAAGAAATAGCAATTATAGTTATATTTTTAGGCATTTATCTGCTAATGTTTAAAGCAAAAGAAAATTTTACTAGAAAAAATAGCGAAGGGTGTCGGTTCGAGTCCCGTCAGCTGCCTGGTCCGCGTGGATTTTTTTTCTAGTAAAAATTTCTCTTGATTTAAACATCTAGCAGTTAAATGCTTAAAATATAAAAAATGAGTGAATAATATGCTAATAAAAGGGTATAAAAAGTAGAGACCAACCGAAACTGGTTTTCCGGCCGAAACTGAAACCGAATGCTAACAAAATCCTTGTATGCTGGCCAAATAATTTTTGGGCAGCTTTTCAATGTTAACCAAAATTTTTAGCTGGCATACCAAATAATTACTTCTCAAAAAAAACATACATACACGATTAATCCTCCTCTTGTTTTCTTTACAGTCGTCTAAAAACTAGTTGCTTTATGCCCAAGAAGTACCTATGTTACACCCATTGGTCCGCACTTGACTGCGCGTTTTGTAACGTTTTGTAAAATTGAAATAACTTTCAATTATTTGTTTCTTTTCATAGAGATCTATATTCGAACAATCGGACCATATTATACTAACAATAATATATTTAGTTAGAACACTTAACCTCGATAATAAATAAATTGGAAAAATTGGCGCCCAACGTGGTGCTCAAATATAATGATTTACATACTTATTCCTGTTCATACGAAATAAGCTTCTTTGAACGAGAATAATCTCTAGATTTATAAACGCCTTTAATTGAAAGATCGTATGTAAGATCAATGACCTTATAATTTGGTCAATGTGCATTCTCCAGGGGAAGGAGAGTCCTGGTGCTCTGAGATACCGGCGTTCTGCCTAGTTCAGGCACCAGTCTCTCACAATCTATTTACTGTTTATATATAAGAATTATAGTATAATAAGTTGTCATGGGATTTGTAGATTGTGGAAGAAGAAATAAAGATTATTATTATCGCAAATTTCTATACTGGACCCAGGTACTGACGTTTCTTTTATAACTAATGCAAAACATTTGCGTGATGAAACAACTTTTTCTCAGCGATTGTCATCTCCTATTAAAAGTTATTATTTACAGCTCGGCACATACCTAGATTCAGGGCGAACATAATTTTATGTTTCTTTATTCTATACCTACGCCCTACATCCAGGAGGCCTACTCTAATTCAAGGGAAAAATTTGTTCGAAATTTCGATCGAAACTACGCACTTTTTTTACTATATTTCTGGTTCGTTTTTAATTATGTATAACTAGCAAACCAGTGAACCAAATGTTCACCAAAACCTGATTTCTCGAAAACCGGAAGTGCTACGTTACTCAAATCCGGTTTGTAGTCTTATCAGACTATTCTTAACTTATAACTTAAATATTCTCTTTATCTATCTCTTACGGTTTGGCCGCTGAAACAGCACCACAGACAGACAGACGGACGGACTTGTCTAATAGATAAGAGATAATATTCGTCTCCGGAATATGGATTGAGGTGTAGATTTTCTAAGTCTACTCAAAGGAAGCTTCAATTTGATGGTTTATTGTTCAAATTAAGTATAACCTTAAATTGACGAAGTTAAATTTCGTTTGAACTTCGTTATCGAAAGTTCGTTTCGGAGAAAGAGAGTAGACCCCCAGGTTAGTGGTTACAAGGTCGTTTTGGACACATGTACTTACACTACACAATACAAAGGAATTGAATCGATATAATTTCAATTCGCAAAATGCTTTCCTATGTTTACAAAAACTGTATTTTTTTTTTATTTGACACGTATTTGATTAGTTATGTTACAACCTATCATGAGGACGACATCCTCACGCGAATAAATTATAATTTTTAAAGTAAAAATCTGTATTTTTTTTTAGTTAAAGTAATATAGTTTTGTATGTGTGTAAAAAGTTTATTCGTGCGTACTTTCGCGCAGTGTTTTTTTTTTAATTTTCTTTATTCATTGTGAAGTGGTTCGTAATTATTTTACATCTACGCTTCAAGGATGTGTCTAATATCTTTGTTTACTAAAATAAGTAAAAGATAAAAAAAGTATTGTCTCTTTTGGCTAATTGGTAAAGAGCAGGACACTACAAAACGGAAGGTTACTGGTTCGAATACTGTCTAAAGTTACGAGAAACAAGTTAATATATGTTTTCTTAAATACGACGTTAAGCCATAGTGCTTTCAAAGAACTTAATTAATAATATCCATCGTGACAATTATAAATAAAAATGGCAAACTTGCAAGCCGAAGGGGGAATGGGGGTGTCCCCCGCCCCCTCTCCTCAGCCGTCGAGGAAGATGAAGGTTATGATCACCACCGAGTTCATGAAGAAAGACATCGACACGGAAGAAGACGCAGAGGTGATGTCAAGTCGGGATTCATATTTTCAGAGAAAATTTCCATTAAAACACGGGATGACGGGGCAGTGAATCTCAATTTCCTTATATGCTTCGGGATGCATCTAACGACCCACTTAGAGTAATAAGTTTCAGTTTTTAAGCAAAAATAAATGTTTATGGTCGAGAAATAATTTTAAAAACACACGAAAAGATGGTTAATAAATGGGCTTCAAAACTGTGTAGGTAATAAGTTGTTGCTCAATGTAACATTTATTTTTAGCTAGGGACTGTCAAAACTTTAAATGCTGGGGATGATAGATGTGTCCGGAAGTAGACATTTAATTATCTTGCGCCCTCTCTAAAGTGGGGATGACAGACAGATAGGCGCTACCCTACACGACCAGATAGGCAATTTACAATGCTTTATTGCACACACATAAGAAAGATTTCAATACGACACTACCAACACCATGACAAGATAGTGTAACATGAAAATATATTGTAGTTGTAGCATAAAGAAGAATAAGTCTCTCTTCTATTATGCTACCGCGACCTTAACTGCCGTGTCGAATTTATTCTAATACTAGCTGCCCGCCCTCGCTTCGCTTCGGTGTAGAGCTGAAGTGTAGACTACAATTTTTGTTCTCAGGCTTATATTATACACAATAACATTCATCTATGATTCTTCTTATACCTGCATGCATAGTCTCAGTCCGATCGGTTTAAAATTGACAAAGTTTCATTTCATTTCATTCCCTATTTTATCACCTTGGGGGTAGAATTGATCAAAATCCTTTCTTAGCGGATGCCTACGTCATAACATCTACCTGCATGCCAAATTTTAGCCCGATCCGTCCAGTGGTTTGGGCTGTGCGTTGATAGATCACTATGTCAGTCAGTCACCTTTGAGTTTTATATATATAGATTTCTTTGGCTGCAAGGCAGCGCCATCTCTTCGCATTGTACGTAACCCACAATGTGACTAAAAACCTTTACAAGTAATAAACATTTGAAAGAAGAAATATCAGTTGTAGTTTATTATACTTAAAAGACACTTTAGATTTAAACATGTAATAGTTAAATGCTTAAAAAATATTAAATATGATAATCTGGATAAATTAGGCGTTTATTTACTGTTCCTTTTCCACTCTCAGTTCCGCAATTTGAATCAAACCTTCCATTGTATTGTTAGACAAATACACAATATTCATAGTTACAATAATATCTTCAACAGGACACCCGTAAAAAGCTGGACTCATCGCTGGTGGAGCATACGAGCTTAATGAAAGGTGCTATCCCGGTGCTGCCCATAGTGCTGGCATATTTCTGTCTGCTGTGCAACATAGTGTTTCCTGGACTAGGTAAGTTCTAGAATATTCTACTTTCTTTACTCTGAGTGGAATTCAGGCTTGATCGTAGCCGTTGTATGCAAGCGTTTATATTACAGAAGTAAGCAAATATCATTAAAGTATAAAATTAAATTAAAGTATCAAATGGCACTGAAATCCCTTTTACCCTCCACCTGATTTTGTCTACCATAAATTTTATTTATGTTATTAGTTTATTTATATTTACATAGAAAATTTTCAAATTACAAAATGCTTAAAACTAATTTAAATCTAAAAACCTAAATAACATAGTACTTAAATAATATATAATTTACGAAAGATAAAATATATCACCCCAGCGCCGCTGTCAGGAATAGTGCTCAATAGGCTGGCAGCATTTCCACGTTGGATAGCAAAGCTAATCTGTTGACCAAGGTAGCTGCCAGCCTTAACCTTCATAGCATATTTATTTGTGGTCATTCAATCCATGTTATATGTTGCAGGAACGGTACTGAGCGGCTTGTTCTGCGTATGCTTCGGAATACCACGGTTCGGTGTACACGACGGAGCCAAACACAGGATAGGTAAACTTAACCACAGCATACAATTTTCCATTTTCTGACTATTGATGTGCCTTCGTATAAGGCTAAAACAATTGAAAGTTAATTTCTAGATAGATTCCAGCCAATCAACTAGAAGATAAAAAGTGATTTAGAGTTGTATTCGAAATAATTAGCCTAGCCCCAAAGTAAGCACTCTAAGACTTGGTTTTGGTATACTAGGTTACCGGATAGAATACATATACTGATACATATATAAGTATATTTATATAAAAACACATGTTAAATATCCATGACTTGAGTACAAATGCTCTTATCAGGCCACACCTTGAAACCCGGCGTACATACCACTCGGCTACGAAGGTAGTAAAAAAACAATTTCTGCGATATAACGTATCCTCTGTATTAATCCAGGATTGTGGAGACAATTAGTGGTGGGGTGAATTAAAGGCTGGCGCACATTATGGCAGGCCGCACCGCAACGCATCGCATTACAAAAATCTTTCCCACTGCGGCTGATGATAATAATTATGAAAAAAATCATGTATATTATTGTTTAGCAACTTCCGGGGCCGAGTGATATGTACGGCGTCTTTTTTTTTTTTTTTGTTGACGATGGAAAATGCATTTACGCACCGTACCGCGCGCTGGCTGGGCGCGCGGCGTGTGTGGGACTCCCCGGCGCGGAACAACGCCGGTCCTACCCACTAAAAACCACCGGTACCCTCCTACGCCCATATGGGGGCGTCTCAGGATCAGCGCACCTTAGTGTGCGCCACTTCACTGGGACGCCCCCGGGCTGGCCCGGCCCAACGAGTGGACCGGGCGACACGCCTCTGGGGGATTGCGCTAGGGTACTAGGCAATCCCCAGACGGGGTGGCCTATGCCGAATGGCACCAAGGGCACGCGGCGGCCAAGCCGCGCCCAGACCACCTTAGGGCCGACGAAGACCGGCAGTCACAGCTGCCAGCCTTCTTCGGCCCACCCGTCTACGTCGGAGGGGAGCGGCTAGAGCGTCCTCCTCCCGCTCCCTCTCCGCTGCCTCCTGCACCATGTACGGCGTCATCTACATATATCAGAGGTTCTGGGTCAAATCCCGGTGGGGGCAAATATTAGTATGGTGAATAAGAGCATTTGTACCTTAGTCAGTTTCTAGACAAAATATACTTATATGTAAATGTATTAGTATATACATTATATCTGTTATCATGGTATCCCACAACACAAGCTTGACAGTGCTTACTTTGAGGCTAGACTAATTGGTGAAAGAATTATGAATTTATTTAATTTAATATGCTGTGGTCCAGGCTCGCTGGTGATCAACCTGGTGGTGGGGTGCGGGCAGCTGTTCACGGTGCTGTTCTGCCTCGTGGGGTGGGGCTGGTCCGTGTGGTGGGGCGTCATCATGCTAAGGATATCGCGTGAGTATACGGACCTAGCGCACTTATCTCTACAGCTCACTTATTAGAGAACCTGCATATATCGCGTGAGAATACACACAACAAAATAAATAAATATTATCTCTTTATTGCCTTCGAAGGCAACCAACAAACCTGCCAACTGATGTTAAGTGGTTACCGTCATCTATGGACATCAGCAGTGCCAGTGACAGCTGTAACGCTGCCTTTCGTGAAACACTATTTAAGCCTCTCTTGAAGCGGACCATGTTATAGTAGTGAGGGAACACCGTGGAGGGGAGCTCATTCCCAAGACGAATTAGCCTTTCGAATTGAAGGAGTGTGTGAATACAATGACACAGTCAGTCTTTTAGAGGTGGTAAAACTAATATAAGTTAAGAACATTATAATTAGTTATACTAACATTAAACATATTTTTAATTAGGTGAGTACTTTTTTTTAAGTAGGTGAACACAAAATACAGCTTTTTAATACAAATGGCGCCAGTAAAATAACACCACGTTTGGACGCCAGTAAAATAACAATGTTTGGGCGCCAGTAAAATAACACCATGTTTGGGCACCAGTAAAATAACACCATGTTTGGGCGCCAGTAAAATAACACCATGTTTGGGCACCAGTAAAATAACACCATGTTTGGGCGCCAGTAAAATAACACCATGTTTGGGCACCAGTAAAATAACACCATGTTTGGGCACCAGTAAAATAACACCATGTTTGGGCGCCAGTAAAATAACACCACGTATGGGCGCCAGGAAAATAACACCATGTTTGGGCACCAGTAAAATAACACCATGTTTGGGCACCAGTAAAATAACACCACGTATGGGCGCCAGGAAAATAACACCATGTTTGGGCACCAGTAAAATAACACCATGTTTGGGCACCAGTAAAATAACACCACGAATGGGCGCCAGGAAAATAACACCATGTTTGGGCGCTAGGAAAATAACACCATGTTTGGGTGCCAGGAAAATAACCTCATGTTTGGGCGCCAGGAAAATAACACCATGTTTGGGCGCCAAGAAAATAACACCATGTTTGGGCACCAGTAAAATAACACCATGTTTGGGCGCCAGTAAAATAACACCACGTATGGGCGCCAGGAAAATAACACCATGTTTGGGCACCAGTAAAATAACACCATGTTTGGGCACCAGTAAAATAACACCATGTTTGGGCACCAGTAAAATAACACCACGTATGGGCGCCAGGAAAATAACACCATGTTTGGGCGCCAGGAAAATAACACCATGTTTGGGCGCTAGGAAAATAACACCATGTTTGGGTGCCAGGAAAATAACCTCATGTTTGGGCGCCAGTAAAATAACACCACGTATGGGCGCCAGGAAAATAACACCATGTTTGGGCACCAGTAAAATAACACCACGTATGGGCGCCAGGAAAATAACACCATGTTTGGGCGCCAGGAAAATAACACCATGTTTGGGCGCCAGGAAAATAACACCATGTTTGGGCGCTAGGAAAATAACACCATGTTTGGGCACCAGTAAAATAACACCATGTTTGGGCACCAGTAAAATAACACCATGTTTGGGCACCAGTAAAATAACACCACGTATGGGCGCCAGGAAAATAACACCATGTTTGGGCACCAGTAAAATAACACCATGTTTGGGCACCAGTAAAATAACACCACGTATGGGCGCCAGGAAAATAACACCATGTTTGGGCACCAGTAAAATAACACCATGTTTGGGCACCAGTAAAATAACACCATGTTTGGGCACCAGTAAAATAACACCATGTTTGGGCACCAGTAAAATAACACCACGTATGGGCGCCAGGAAAATAACACCATGTTTGGGCACCAGTAAAATAACACCATGTTTGGGCACCAGTAAAATAACACCACGTATGGGCGCCAGGAAAATAACACCATGTTTGGGCGCCAGGAAAATAACACCATGTTTGGGCGCTAGGAAAATAACACCATGTTTGGGTGCCAGGAAAATAACCTCATGTTTGGGCGCCAGGAAAATAACACCATGTTTGGGCGCCAAGAAAATAACACCATGTTTGGGCACCAGTAAAATAACACCATGTTTGGGCACCAGTAAAATAACACCATGTTTGGGCACCAGTAAAATAACACCACGTATGGGCGCCAGGAAAATAACACCATGTTTGGGCGCCAGGAAAATAACACCATGTTTGGGCGCCAGGAAAATAACACCATGTTTGGGCGCTAGGAAAATAACACCATGTTTGGGTGCCAGGAAAATAACCTCATGTTTGGGCGCCAGGAAAATAACACCATGTTTGGGCGCCAAGAAAATAACACCATGTTTGGGCACCAGTAAAATAACACCATGTTTGGGCACCAGTAAAATAACACCATGTTTGGGCACCAGTAAAATAACACCACGTATGGGCGCCAGGAAAATAACACCATGTTTGGGCGCCAGGAAAATAACACCATGTTTGGGCGCTAGGAAAATAACACCATGTTTGGGTGCCAGGAAAATAACCTCATGTTTGGGCGCCAGTAAAATAACACCACGTATGGGCGCCAGGAAAATAACACCATGTTTGGGCGCCAGGAAAATAACACCATGTTTGGGCGCCAGGAAAATAACACCATGTTTGGGCGCTAGGAAAATAACACCATGTTTGGGCACCAGTAAAATAACACCATGTTTGGGCACCAGTAAAATAACACCATGTTTGGGCACCAGTAAAATAACACCACGTATGGGCGCCAGGAAAATAACACCATGTTTGGGCACCAGTAAAATAACACCATGTTTGGGCACCAGTAAAATAACACCACGTATGGGCGCCAGGAAAATAACACCATGTTTGGGCACCAGTAAAATAACACCATGTTTGGGCACCAGTAAAATAACACCATGTTTGGGCACCAGTAAAATAACACCATGTTTGGGCACCAGTAAAATAACACCACGTATGGGCGCCAGGAAAATAACACCATGTTTGGGCACCAGTAAAATAACACCATGTTTGGGCACCAGTAAAATAACACCACGTATGGGCGCCAGGAAAATAACACCATGTTTGGGCGCCAGGAAAATAACACCATGTTTGGGCGCTAGGAAAATAACACCATGTTTGGGTGCCAGGAAAATAACCTCATGTTTGGGCGCCAGGAAAATAACACCACGTATGGGCGCCAGGAAAATAACACCATGTTTGGGCACCAGTAAAATAACACCATGTTTGGGCACCAGTAAAATAACACCATGTTTGGGCACCAGTAAAATAACACCATGTTTGGGCACCAGTAAAATAACACCACGTATGGGCGCCAGGAAAATAACACCATGTTTGGGCGCCAGGAAAATAACACCATGTTTGGGCGCTAGGAAAATAACACCATGTTTGGGTGCCAGGAAAATAACCTCATGTTTGGGCGCCAGTAAAATAACACCACGTATGGGCGCCAGGAAAATAACACCATGTTTGGGCACCAGTAAAATAACACCACGTATGGGCGCCAGGAAAATAACACCATGTTTGGGCGCCAGGAAAATAACACCATGTTTGGGCGCCAGGAAAATAACACCATGTTTGGGCGCTAGGAAAATAACACCATGTTTGGGTGCCAGGAAAATAACCTCATGTTTGGGCGCCAGGAAAATAACACCATGTTTGGGCGCCAAGAAAATAACACCATGTTTGGGCACCAGTAAAATAACACCATGTTTGGGCACCAGTAAAATAACACCATGTTTGGGCACCAGTAAAATAACACCACGTATGGGCGCCAGGAAAATAACACCATGTTTGGGCGCCAGGAAAATAACACCATGTTTGGGCGCTAGGAAAATAACACCATGTTTGGGTGCCAGGAAAATAACCTCATGTTTGGGCGCCAGTAAAATAACACCACGTATGGGCGCCAGGAAAATAACACCATGTTTGGGCACCAGTAAAATAACACCACGTATGGGCGCCAGGAAAATAACACCATGTTTGGGCGCCAGGAAAATAACACCATGTTTGGGCGCCAGGAAAATAACACCATGTTTGGGCGCTAGGAAAATAACACCATGTTTGGGCACCAGTAAAATAACACCATGTTTGGGCACCAGTAAAATAACACCATGTTTGGGCACCAGTAAAATAACACCACGTATGGGCGCCAGGAAAATAACACCATGTTTGGGCACCAGTAAAATAACACCATGTTTGGGCACCAGTAAAATAACACCACGTATGGGCGCCAGGAAAATAACACCATGTTTGGGCACCAGTAAAATAACACCATGTTTGGGCACCAGTAAAATAACACCATGTTTGGGCACCAGTAAAATAACACCATGTTTGGGCACCAGTAAAATAACACCACGTATGGGCGCCAGGAAAATAACACCATGTTTGGGCACCAGTAAAATAACACCATGTTTGGGCACCAGTAAAATAACACCACGTATGGGCGCCAGGAAAATAACACCATGTTTGGGCGCCAGGAAAATAACACCATGTTTGGGCGCTAGGAAAATAACACCATGTTTGGGTGCCAGGAAAATAACCTCATGTTTGGGCGCCAGGAAAATAACACCATGTTTGGGCGCCAAGAAAATAACACCATGTTTGGGCACCAGTAAAATAACACCATGTTTGGGCACCAGTAAAATAACACCACGTATGGGCGCCAGGAAAATAACACCATGTTTGGGCACCAGTAAAATAACACCATGTTTGGGCACCAGTAAAATAACACCACGTATGGGCGCCAGGAAAATAACACCATGTTTGGGCGCCAGGAAAATAACACCATGTTTGGGCGCTAGGAAAATAACACCATGTTTGGGTGCCAGGAAAATAACCTCATGTTTGGGCGCCAGGAAAATAACACCATGTTTGGGCGCCAAGAAAATAACACCATGTTTGGGCACCAGTAAAATAACACCATGTTTGGGCACCAGTAAAATAACACCACGTATGGGCGCCAGGAAAATAACACCATGTTTGGGCACCAGTAAAATAACACCATGTTTGGGCACCAGTAAAATAACACCACGTATGGGCGCCAGGAAAATAACACCATGTTTGGGCACCAGTAAAATAACACCATGTTTGGGCACCAGTAAAATAACACCACGTATGGGCGCCAGGAAAATAACACCATGTTTGGGCACCAGTAAAATAACACCATGTTTGGGCACCAGTAAAATAACACCATGTTTGGGCACCAGTAAAATAACACCACGTATGGGCGCCAGGAAAATAACACCATGTTTGGGCGCCAGGAAAATAACACCGTATTTGGATGCCAATAAAAAAATACCACGTTTGGGCACTAGTGTCGTAACGCTTTGTTTATAACTAATATTAACTACACTATCACAATTTATTTAAGTAATATATTATGAAATTTTCTTTCTTTTAAGCTTTTCTTTTCTGTACAATATAGGTAAATACCGCAAACTGAAAGCAGAGGAAGCTGCGGCCGAGGCAGAAGCGGCACCGCCCGTCACCGCCAACAACCACACGCGCGCGTAACGACGGAAACAATGCTGCCAACATGATTAATCGAAACAAATCCATCTTTGAAGACCTGTAAACGAACAAATTTGTTTGACAAAAGAGAATGCCCGATATCCTCCCAAGTATTGTAACATTTTGGACCCTATTGCAAATGAAAGGTCTTTTAAAATACTAATTTTATTTGAATGGCAGTAATTTTCTGTCTCGTGCAAGTAAAAAGATATAAGCAGAGCTAAAGGGCAAGGTTTCTTTTTCAAATGTTATTAACTAAAATCACCAATTAGTTCTCTGTAAAGTAACAAAATTCCTTGCACAAAATATTAAGTAAATACCTTAAAATATGATTCAAAACAATTAATACAAAATTTCTGTACTAGTCATAAATTGTTACAAGGTTGAAACGGCACTCATAGTAAAATGAGCATTCTCCTTTACGTGTTTTTCAAACAAATTTTATCGTTTAAGGCTTTGTTTGATGCGTTTGACAAAGAAATTACTTCGTGAAACGTGAAGTTTGTCAAAAACATATTTGATCGTTTATAGGGCTCTTTACAGACAGCAACAGGTCAAGTCACCCGTAACTGACAAATTCCAAATTAATTTGAGCTGTTACTGTGAAAATTGTGATTGGCTGTATGTAGATACAATGTCTTGTAACATGTGCAAGACGATTCTGTAAAATAAAATCACACTTCCGAGTTCGATAGCTCTGAAGAATTTTTTTTTACTAGAAAAAATTCCACTAGCGACACATATTAGGCGGGATTCGAAACTACACCTTTAGCTATTCTACAGAGACCTTTATAGAGTTAATTCAAATAAAAATGCATAATGCATTAGGTCGTCACACCGCAAAATAAGCAACTGTTAAATCAACCAGCTAAAGATATTCATCGTTTGTCAAAAATTCGAATTAAATAAGTCGGAAGTAAGATTACATGTTACAGAATCGACATGGTGATCGAGACATGGAAGGGATAAATTTTACCACGTCGATGGTTACAATTCGATATTGAAAGAGGCCTTACTTTATAGGAATAAGAACAGTATTCTTAAACGAATGTAAACTGCAAGGCGAGCCTTGATTGTACAATAAGAGAAGTACAATTGAATCAAAGTAAAATTGTAAAAGTATTAAATTAAGAAATCCTTGTATAGGTATTGAAAATAGAATTAAATCGGCAAAGTAAATAAACAATATCAAATATTCATTTGATATTTAAAATGTGTAAAAAACGATTTCTGTAAATAATATTGATAAGATTTTTGAATTACCCACGGTGCATATATTATTAGAAATTATACTTTCGACGAGCGAAAAAAACTTGTAAATTGTTAGCAATCTGCTGGTCAGAATGTAGATTTGAATAATAATGTAATCCCCAATGGTGAATTTTTCTAATTATCACTTCCATTTGAAGTTTTCCGGCCTTTTGTACGGCCTTTTTGTAGTTCGTAAGTAAATGAATAGTGGTTCTCCCACAGAGAGGCGTAGACATGAAAATTCCCTTTCATGAGGAGCAATGGTGCAATTTGTATAACTGATAAATTTACATAGGTTCCTACCTATTTTATTCACAGATAAATAATAAAATTAAGTTTAAAATTATCTTAACTAAAATTTATGTCTAATTTCAAAGGAGTTATGAAGTACGTACATTTTTTTTTATTTTCACATTGCAATTAAATATTCGATAAAAATGATACGACGTTTTTCTCTGCATGACTGTGGGAAGCCACTTCGATAACGATGTATATTTGAGCCCCAAGTGCTTTAGTACTACTTAATTCTAAATTATACAAGATAGAAGACTTGTGACGTGAAAATTCGAAAAAAATCACTTAAAATTAGAATTTCGAAAATTATTAAGCATAAGAAGAAATTTAGGATAAGGATTGTAATTTATTTATGGCTGCCTTAATATTACACTGACAAAAAAATATGTCAAAATAATTGTAAAAACATTACATAAAAAATATTTAATACTTGTAAGAATGTTAATTTATAATTTTGACAGTCTTCTATCTTGAGATGAATTTTAAATATCTATAACCAATACCACATTAGATAAGGAGGATTTTCTAAACGACCAAAATACAGAACTTTTTTTAACAAAACTATTAAGTAGCAATCACAACATATTGGTCACTTTTTTAGAGAAGTTACATTAATGTAAATGTAGATTTTTTTGGATTATTATTCAGTAATTAATTAAACTTACTTACCCATCATCTTATTATCCAATAGTTAATTAATAGTTTAAAAACTAGACAATATTTTTATAAACAAGATTTTAACTGTTTGATCTTATAATTTACTAATTACATTGACTAATTAATTTATTAATTTAATAGAAATTAAAGCAACACAAAGAAAAAAACCAGTTAGTTCAAAATATAATTAGGTACATACTTACCTACAGTCACATGTTTTAAAAAGGCAAGCAAGCTCAAAGTGTTATATTTCAAGTCGACCGACGACGCGGCCAGGAGGGGAGTAACCATCGTGGCGTGACACAATACTACTGAAATCATTCTGCCACTTTATGCAAGGGGAGGAATATGCACACATATGCGTCTAACGTAATCTCGCAAAAAACAAATTGTAATTACGACACTCACTCATAAAAAATGGCAACGCCAAATCGTGCATAGATAAAGCTTAAGATTTTTTTATTGACAGATCAGAAATTTGTACTGGCGAGTCGATTGTTTTGTCAAACAAGTCCGAAAATTGAATTTCTATAAAAAAATATCTATATATTTTCTGTTTAAAAGTGATTACATAGAAATAATATATTTATAATTTTACTTGAAAAAATGTTACATATTCCTTGTTTAAATTTAATGTTGCAGATCTGTTTTTACAGCAAATTACTGAACAATTTGGCATTTTTGTGCTCTGACTTACTCTCTCACGAGTCTTGAAAGCCTACTGGCCGTGTTGTTCCATAATATCAAGTAGTTTCTTATATTTAATTATTCCATACACGTTAAAAAATAATGCACATCATTTAACGTGTCTTATACGATACGAAATAAAAAATACTCATTCCACAAGCCTTGTTATAATATTTTCGGTATTATCATTGTCAAGCTCTTCCTTAGTTTGTAACGGAAATGTTTTCCATGATAACGATTGTTACTTATATTAAGTTTAAATAATTATATTATATGTTGAATATATATTATAGTTGCTTGTACAACGAATAAATAATAAAATCGATTTGAAATACCTACTTGTGTTTGTTTTAATAAGTATAATAATATCGTAAACGAATTCAACACAACCATATCTAGTATCGTTTCGAGGACAATCAAGAAGTTAGACGGCGCAAGTGGTTAGCGCGTTCGGCAGCGATCGTTGAAGTTCAGCAACTCTCGCAGTAGTCCGTCATTGGATGGATGACCAAAAATTAACCAGTGAGCAACTGATAATAGCTCCTTGCATGCCATCAGAGATCTAATAGATATCCTTCAAAAAATATCTAAAATACAAAATACTAGGTAGGTATACAGAGGATGGCGCAGAAGGAGGCAGCGGAGAGGGAGCGGGAGGAGGACGCTCTAGCCGCCCCTCTCCGGCGTAGACGGGTGGGCCGAACGAGGCAGGCAGCGGTGACTGCCGGTCTTCGACGGCCCTAAGGTGGCCTGGGCGCGGCCTGACCAGCCGCGCGTCCTAGGTGCCGCTCCGGCATAGGCCACCACGTCTGGGGACTGCCTAGTACCCTAGCGCAGTCCCCCTGAGGCGCGTCGCCCGGTCCACTCGTTGGGCCGGGCCGGCCCGGGGACGTCCCAGTGAAGTGGCACACGCTAAGGTGCGTCGATCCTGAGACGCCCCCATATGGGCGTAGGAGGGTACCGGGGGGTTTTAGTGGAGTAGGATCAGTGTGGCCTTCCGCACGGGTCCTGCTTGAGTAGGGTCGGCACTGTTTCCCGTGCCGGCGAGTCCCAAACACGCTGTGCGCCTAGTCAGCGTCACGGTATGGTGCGTAACTGCATTTCCCCTCGTCACAAAAAAAAAAAAAAGGTAGGTATACAGATACAAGATACGTGTTTTCTAAATTTTTCTTAGTTTCAAGAATTAGTTTTGCTTAAGTCCGAATTTGATGAAATTCATCCGCTCCGCCCGAATTGGAGCGCCCGTCTGGGGAAGAACAGAAGACACACACAGTAAAATAACACTACCTTTTGATGGTATTTTTTTTTATGTCGGGGAGTAAGTTTCCAAGGCTCCACGGGTAGGGGACTGGGTCAGGGTAGGATCAGGGTAAAAAATATAAATTCTTAAAAAAATATATAAAAAAAAATGGGTGCGTGTACTTATGTAGCCGCGTGAGAAGTTATCCTTCTTTGGCATCGTTTAAATTGCAATGATTAGTTTTTAATTGCATGCAAATAATTAATTACAATAAATTAATAAAAAGTCTGGAAAAGTAAATAAATAATCAAAATATTCAATTAAAATCGCTACTGAATATAATTTATTAGAACATATGTGATTTGCACTTGTATGAAACTCAAACACGTATTCCGAATATACAAACTAGAAACATGTGGATAAATATTATAAATATGAATACCTATAACTGTTACTTTATTACAAAAAATAAAGATGTGATTTTTGGTTCTACTACACCAATGGTCAAGAGATGGCGCTGTAGTCTCCTGAATCGCGCTTTGGTTCCGTTGTTCCAGATTAATAAATACTTTTGATAGGCCTTCACAATGCAGTCGTTAGCACCCACTAAATAAAGATTCTATTTCTATTTTGTTGGTAGATTTTCTTAATGTGCGGTAAACACAAAAGTAACGCATGAAGACCAACTTCATGCTGTTAAAATTTTGTGTCACAGTGATGCGCGCGCATCTTCAATTTCACTCTCATGATTTTTTCATAACGCGCCTAAAGAAGTATAACTTCAAAAAAAATATAGCTATAAATTCTTCAATCATTTAAATCGAAGCATTGATTTCTTATCCAAACAGCAAAGTGAATAAATACAAACTCGTATGAAACTTTTAAGATTTTCGATTAATTGGGCCTTAAGACACTGATATCAATAACTCTCAGATTAGATGCACCACGTGCTCTCAAAATGTGCCCGGATCAAGTAGTGCTTAACACCGCGTAATCACTAGGTACCTCGTCTACAGTCGTTATATTTATTTTTGATATTTCACAATGATGCACAATGGTGTCGATTCTAGCATGGTTCTCTAAACTTAAAACTAAATTTAGCATCAGTCTCTCCTTTTCATTCTGTATAGGGAATGACAAGTATACACTGTTGTCAAATTTAAGTTTAGGTTTAGAGATTCACGCCAGAATCGACAGCATTGTGTATATGAAAGTAACAATGTACTATTTTAGTTCTTCAAACGAAAGATTCTTGCATGAGACATGACATTTTTTAAAGAGGTCTTAAAAGGGCTGCTAGATCAAGTTTTTTTGGTGTGACCAAATTATTGACTTTCCAAAATTATCGTGGTTGGACTGTAGTACTTATCGCCCAAAATGTACCTATATGTTTTATACAAGGTCTAGGACATCATACAGACAAACATACAATAAAAGACAGATATAAAGTTTATAATATCACTTTATTTATGGTCGTATTACAATTAGCATGTTTACAACTCGGTACAGACGAATACGGCGATACGGTAGCCTACGAAAACCGAAATGAAAATTTACTAAGACGTAGGTATTCATTATTTTGTCAATATTAATAAATAGTATAATCAATAAATATTTATCATTGGTGTAATGGAAAACAATAATGAAGTTACTGTAAAATATGGTCTAGAAATAAAAAAATAATGATTAAAAACTTGACCCAACACGAATATCAACCGGGCCAGGAGATCTACTCTCTTTCTCCTAAACGAACTTTCGGTAACAAGTTCAGATGAAACTTCTTTTCGTTATTTGATGCTATACTTACTTTGGACGAAAAATTATTGGATTCAATTGTTCATTGAGCAAGCTTAGAGAATCTCAACCTCGATATAGAATCGTGCGAAGTTTCAATCGAAATTTCGTTTTTCGTTGAATTAGAGTAGGCTCACAGGCCAGGGGGCCATTCGCCTAATGGAAATGCTTTGGAAAACGCTTACGATTTCATTTTGTTATTTCTAGCCGCCTGAGGTTGTCAAATGCCCCGCGCTCTTTTTTTTCTTTTGCATTGGTAATAACAATATTTAAAAAAATGAGTGTGAGGTATTTGAAAACCTTCGGCGGTCAGAAATAACAAAATAAAATCGAAAGCGTTAGCGTTTTCCAAAGCATTTCCTTTAGGCGAATGGCCAAATCAAATATAGCGACGAAGCCAAGTTACTCACTTCAAGGGAGACTCCCTTTGCAGTCAAATAATACTTAGTAGGTATTTTACGTTAATTATAATATGTATTACGTTTAATAACACCAATTAGTCTTATTTTCGCTTCGACTTTCACAGGCATTATACTACACATTGATAGCTACGGCTGTCAAAGTTTAAATGATTATAGGTTATTTATTTATCATGAACAAGTCTCATCAGCATTTGATAGTGATCACAATACATGTCCAACTTTTTTACATACTTGTCATCTGTCAAAATAGTAAAATGGCAATTTTAAGATAAGTTATTAAATTATTTTTTCATGAACTTCAAGGCTCTGATTGTCTCAACTTATTTGTGTAAGTAGATTTCTGATTATTTTTGCAAATTAAGCGTAGATACATTTGAAAAAAGCAATTGAGTCAATTTAATACAAATTTATTTGATGATAGCAAATAAAATAGTGGAATGTATTTGCGTTTATGTTGCGTTTTGTTTGACGTAATCTTACATGGGCTATGCATATACTATTTCGACAGACTGTATATACCTACATAAATTTTTAAATTTGAAATTTTGCGACAAATTTGAGATCTGTGGTGCTCACAAAAATATTGCTTCATTATTATTTTTTTGTTTAAAAAAATCAAAGGTTCCTAAGAGTGATTTTTAACTACAAGAAATGCCAAAGTATTTGTTTTATACAATTAAGTCAGAGCCACTCTGTGAGTGAAACTACAAAAAGTGATACACAAAATTGCACACCGCCATTTTTACATTTTACAAAGTCAACACCCAGCCAATTAATGCCAAAACTGCCAATAGATTTTCAATCCTAACTAATTCGGCATAAAATCCAAAATATAAAACGCTTTACATTAAACTAAATGGTATGCTGACCGTATAATTTAAAAAACCAATTAGCACCTAATACAAACCGATACGCGACTACGATTGATGTATTATTCTACGTGAAGCATAAAAAAGGTCCGTATAAATAATGATTATGTGAAATATTTAGCTTAAGTGAATTACAGCAACATATTCTTTGATAATAACTGAATACGAATCGTGAAGTCATTAACAGCAGACGTGTTTGTACTAGATTAAAGTCTATGGAAAATTGCAATTTAATTATTTTTACTTACCGAGGAATTTGATTTTGCATTCGAAATTACACGAAGTGGCGTAACACATTTGATATCCCCACACCCCACTAACATCTACATGGATTGTATTTACTTTCTAAAACTCAAAAGTGCTTAAATTTGTGGGGTCGGGACTTCATGTCTTTATTGTGTTGCCAGGATAATAGTAAACTTTACCGTCTACTCTTGTTATGAACAATGATTCCGAGATTTGTGTAAATACAAAAAGTAAGTTAACCAATGTTGCCAACACTATCTACACGTGGTATTGCACGCCTCAAATTTGTATATCTATAACACATCGAATAGCACGCATATTTTACTAAGTGCATTCACAAACTTTTGTAGATACTTCTATTAAACAAATATAATTATAACTATTTATACTGGGTTTGAAACATTCAAAATGCGATATAATTTACAGTTTATGGTTTACCAAAGTTTTCATACTTCACCTGCTCTGCGTCGTAAGGCAAGAGGCTCCAAATAAATAAATTAATGACTAAAATTATATTTACACAGTTTCAAAAGCGCCTGTACGTAATGTACGCAGGTCAACAAATAAAATTACTACTTTAAAAAAAATACAAAATATGACGTTTAAAAATTAAATCATTTATGGCAAATTGTACTTGTATATCACCATTTTCACAAAAAAAAACTTTAAAAACAATAAAAATAAAAAAATCATTAAAAAATATTGTGGTTAATTTTCCAGCGGATGGGATGATTATAAATTACACGCAAAACTTAATTATGTCGAACGAAACCACTATAACTCGTGTCATTAAAGAAAGAAATCGCAAATGACGACGAAAGACATTCTGTCCCTCTCGCTATCTTGCTCATGCTATCTTCTGTAATAGCTCGAGTTATACCTTCAAAATTTGTATATGCCATATAGACCTTTATCGTCATCAATGTCTTTTCAATCTCGTTACAAATATGAACCTTATACACTCATGACAAAGTTCAATATGTCATTTATGCTAGTGGGCCTTAATGTTAATTATTTTGCAGGAAATAATATTTAAACTATACTATTTGGGTCAGAAACTAACTTAGCGCGCTACGCTATACAAAAAAAATGTACATTACAAAATGTAGGAAATAAAAAAATAGTGCAAAGCCATTATTATACAGAATACTTAAAACTATACATTAAAAAATAATAAGCGCTTTCAGTATTTTTTGACCATCAACCTCAAACATAAAAAAAAATATTTGCAGAAAGTTTTTCAACTGCCTTTACAAGGTGTACAATAAACTTGTAAAACCCAAATATTTTTTTTAAATAAAAAATAATGTTTTTATTTTATAATCGCAAACTTTTCGCACAACATTACATTCACAAAAATCTTATTTCATTAATGTATATAGTTATCGCGTCATCCGCCGGCTTCTAAGCACTCTTTGGCAAACACCAAATACATCTGGTACGTACGTTGTTATGCGAAACAGACACAATTTTTTTTTTAACTATATAATAACAAAGTCACAAATAGAATTTTTCATTTTTTAAGCATGTAACTGCTCGATGTTTATATCTAAAGAAAATATTACTAGAAAAAATTCCACGCGGGCCAGGCAGCAAACGGGACTCGAACCCGCACTCTTCGCTATCCGGGCGAATGCACCGACTATTATGCTACCGCGGCTCTGATAACCGTGTCGAATGCCTTGGCGCTTTCTTGCAGCTTAAGAAAGGCTAGAAAGAATTCGACACGGCCATCAGGGCCGCGGTAGCATAATTGTCAGTGCATTCGCCCGGATAGCGATGAGTGCGGGTTCGAGTTCCGTCTGCTGCCTGTTCCTCGTTAATTTTTTTCTAGTTATATTTTCTTTGGATCACAAATAGAATTTACTTTGTGTTAATGTTATTGAAAACTAGCAAACCCAGTGAACTCCGTTTCGCCACCAGATAGCTTCGTTTTATGTAACATTTCGTTTTGTGATTAAAAGAAAACGATTTTTTTTTTAATTTTTCCTGAATTTTCTTTGCTATAAACCTCACGGAGTCCGAGACCTTTCCAACGAATGCAAAACCGTGGAAATCGGTTCGTGCGTTCTGGAGTTATAGCGTCAGGAAGGAAAACCCGACTTATTTTTATATAGTAGATAAAATTCATTAGGTCTATTCATACAATGACTTTGTTCCTGAAAGAGTTCATTCTTATTTAACATAAGAACTTGTTGAATAAAAAATTAAAAACAGTTCCTTTAAAATATGAAAAATTAAAAAAAATATCCTACTTCAATCTAGGTGTAAGCAGAACACGCGAGTAAAATTTCGCCATTGTTGCTTCCCGTTTGACATAACGACGTTTGTTTCGCTGTGCACTAAAATAAAGATTAGTAATTTTTGAAATGCTGAAATGCCGTTATCGTATGGAACTATTCGCATGAGTATTATCGTATCGAAATGAACACCGTCAACGATATTTATTAATTAAATCATAATGGTGTTTAACAATAGGGTACAATAGTCAAAAACAACCAAATATCCCCTTTTTGTGTACTAGAAAAATATATGAATAGAGTAAATGTTTTGATTTAGATAAATGTCATCTACAATTTTAAAATTTTCGTTGTTTCATTTTTAAAACGCGGACTAAAATTAGCCTTTGTTTAAACCTAATGCTGTCTCTGTCTTCCTATTAGCAAACAAAAGGGGCGAAATCAATTTTAGACCAGGTTTAACTTTTGTTTTGTCAACGTTTTGTAATAATTCGGTCGTAGTCACAAGAAAGTGGTGTATAACTCAAATATAAGAGATCTATAACTTTTTTAAAAGTATTTAATTTAAATTTCCTTTTATCCTATTGCAGTTATTTTGAAATGTTCAGCATATTCATTATTTTTTTATTTATAGATAGGTCCGACAAATGGCTCCACCCCACCTGATGTTAAGTGAAGGTGAAGTCCAGACGCGAAGATAGCTGATACAGCAGTTCTACCTGCCACACCAGCCATCCTCACCCTGCCGGCCTGCATGTTGCTTCTTCACGCCTCTTCTGAAGGATCCCAGGTTGTAAGAGGGAGGGAACACGTGAGCGGGCAGAACATTCCATTATCGCCGTAAGGACAAAATGAGTATGCACACACAGTACACATTGATTTGGTTTCGACAGTACAATGTGGCTTATTAAAATTCATAATCAGTAAGTATTTCACTATAAGATCATATAGAGCTGAAATCCAAGTTATACATTTTTTGTAAATTTGATGCATAATGAAAATACAACTTTTATGGATAGTTACAAATTTTCTCCTACGCTAAAATATAGACTGGTATGGTTATTTATCAAAAACACATTAGTTTTTAATGATTTTGATTTTTATATATAAAGAATTATATTTCTATCTTCCTCCGCTAATAATATGTAGTTTAAATATTCTTGTGGGCTTAACGATTAAAAATGTAAAATAGGATCTATTAGTATGAATCTGTGATTGATTACCATTTAGTGATATCGTTTTTAATAAGTTTGTAGTTCTTTTGGAAACTGAACTTAAAAAAAATACAGAAATGACTACTCACTTTGGATTGTATCCAGCTCAAAGGACCACTTTACAACATTTAAAATACAATTAATAAATAAAACATATTTTGATAGTTAATAAAATACAAAACTTAATATTTTCTGGTGTGTATACACCGAGAACGACCATAGACAAGTAAGCCTGCGTAGTATCAATTTTCCATACAAAAACGTCTACTGAGCAAGTTTATTTGTCTTTGGATTTGCTCAAGAAATTTGCTGCTATCTCCTCAATATTTTTATAATAGTAACTGTACCCTATTGTTAAAACAGCCATACACAAAGATACGGCAATAAATTAAGTTTTTAATAATTTACACATTAACTTCCACGTGACTTATCAACGCTTCGTCTTATATTTCATAAATTTAGCACATAAAAAATAAAATTTAATTATTATAATAATTATTACAGTACGATAATGACTATAAATCACTAGTGGACTCACCGATACTCGATTACAAGGACTCTCATAACTTCATCGATATTTCTAGCTTAAAAGTTAAGCAAAAGTTACATGCACATTTACTTTTGCATAGAACAGAATGCGTTTTGATAGTAGAAACAAAATATAATTACACATAATATGCTAAAATTTATTTTGAATATGAAATAAACTTTAAACGCATTAAAAACATTTATTTTCACCGTAACTCAGAGACTCGAGTCAGAGAAACTAATGCTTCATTATATCATCCGTTGCCTTTTACTGTTATTATCGCAATGTGCAATTTAAGTTTTAATTAAATTTAACTTTTTTACGCAAGTGTCTCTAATGTTGCTTCAATAACAGTATATCGTCAGTATTTGATACTGATACAGTCTAGTACCCATTGGACCGTCAAGATTCGACCCGAAAGCAAAAAGTGCCCATTGGAACTCATTTATATGGCCCATTTGACCTTCTTAATTTTTTTATATTTAATGTGCATATTGGACCTTCAAGATTTGACCCTACTGCAACTGTACCCACTGGACCTTAATTGTTGATACATCAAAATATAAAAAATGACAAATCTTGACACATTTCTATTTTTTTTTTAATATTAGAACAATATTAAAATCTCTCTTCTACACCACCGACCAAGAATGATCAATATATATACTACTGGTAAAGCCAGTAATTTAGTTCCTTTAAAGTAACTTTAATTGCAGCATAATAACTTTGTCAGTACTAGTATCTAGTACTTTACAGAAAATCACAATAGAACAACAAAAATTGTTGGTGGTGTTGTGTTTCTGTTTGTCTGTTTGTCACCCTTTAAACATAAAAAACGAATTCAAACTTAAATAATATGAAAACCATGCGAAACTTATAACAGGGATGTTTTAACAAAACACATTCTGTTCGTTGTACTAAGGTCATTAAGAACGATAAAGAATTGTCTTGCAAGCGTCCGTTCGACTTTAGGCCCTATTCACTGGAGGATACAGTTGTTTTTGCGTTGGATCTCCACTTGGGAGAGGTTGCGCTCTATCGCGTCGTCGTCCGCTATCCTGTATGAGTGAAGAAATCATTATTTATTGGTCTTATTTGATGGAAAAGTGAGAAAAGCAAGGAGAGGGAAGAAAAGATCTCATTATTCATGTGTAGTTAAGGGACAATCTCTAGCGAATTTATATAATCACTAGCGGACCCGACAGACGTTGTCCTGTCTACACGTCTTTGTGAATCTAAACCATTCTCAGATCCCCTTGAACACACACAAAAAATTTCATCAAAATCGGTCCAGTCGTTTAAGAGAAGTTCAGTGACATACACACTCACAGAAGAATTATATATATAAAGATTTTGGCGCAATTACACTTGGACGTTAGCCCGAATGCGAGTGCTAATGAAATTCGGGTAAACGACTAAGTGTAAATGAACGAAGTCAAGTACGCCCGTATTCGGGCAGATTTGTTTTTAACTGCTAGATGTTTAAATCTAAAAACTAGAAAAAAATCCACGCAGGACATGCAGCAGACGGAACTTGAACCTGCACCCTCCGCTGTCCGGGCAAATGCACCATTATACTACCGCTGCCCTAATGGCCGTGTTGATTTTTGCACTGCAAGGCAGCGCCATCTCTTCGCATTGTAGGTAACCCACAATGTCAAACCAATAGCTTTACAAGTATTAAACATTTGAAAGAAGAATTAACATAGTAGATATACGGCATAGGATAACGGAGGTTACGGGATCGAGTCCCGTCTGTTGACTTGCCCGAGTGGATTTTTTTCTAGTTAAATTTTCTTTATATTATTATGTGCTTACTTCGCATCCAAAGTAAGTGTTGTTACTATCACAAGTGAATATCAAAAGAAAATTTGACACTGGCAATACTGTTTCCTTAAAATACAAATACAAATATATTTATTAAAATTTACATCATACAGTCAGCTTATAACCATGGGTCCCACACTAGGAGGTCCTGTATCGTGGGCACCCAATGAATGTAAAAAAAAATATTGCAACAGATGAAAAGTAAAATTACAGAATACAGAAACTAACTTTTTAACTACGTTATAAAGTAATAAAGTGTGTGTATGTGTGTGTGTGTGCGCTTGTCTGTACCTATGCATGTAGGACGGTGAGAGCCAAGGACTTCGGGTAAAAGGAACAATAGACAAGTTGCTAGAAAGTAATAAATAAACTCACGCTTTCTCCTGCTCGTCCATTTCTTGCACCAGTCTATCTCTTTCGTTCACAGCTGAGAGCAGCTCCTAAATAAATAAATAACAGTAAAAATTTTGATGTGTATCCTTAGCACGAACCAATTACAAATTCGAATAGATTGCGAGTCCGAAATGTCATTGTCAAATTTTGTATGGAAACTTCAACAGCAGCGCCACAACGGACGTAACTAGAACTAAAAATCTTAACAAATTTAACAATGACATTTCGGACTCGCAAACTATTCGAATTAGAAAATGGTTCGTGCTAAGGGTACTGGAGCTCTACTCTCTTTCTCCGAAACGAAATTTCGGCAACGAACTAATTTTAAACGAAATTTCGGCAGTGACTCTACTCTATTTCATCTTCGAACACGCACATAAAGTTCGGAATCACAGATAATTATCGTGAACGTATGGAATGAGTTATGTTTGTGAGTTCTTTTCGTCCACACTTTTTAGATAACGTTTTTTACTTCTAAACAATAGTACTTTATGACAACATTTTTGATTACATTAAAAAACCTCTTTTGACAGTGTTAGCCAACTAATTTGTAGAATTGATGCAATCGAATGTATGTCAACCTAAATTTGTCGTGTAACACTTTGAAGTATTGGCAATACAATAATAAACAAAAATTAGATTTATTTGTAAATTTTTCATACTAAAAAATTATCCTCACGCTAGGCAGCCTTAATTAAAAATACTCTAGTATCAATTTTTGGTTTTATTTAAACAAAAATCCCAAACCGAAAATAAAAAGGTAACACTTTTCATTTCGTCAATTTGAGGTAAAAATATCGAACAATTATTTGTCAAATGCAACTTTTAGTTCAATTTTATTGTGAATTAGAGTAGGCTTAGAGAATTTAAATGTCAAACTATTTTCGGACGAACTAATTTTCGAAATGAAATAGAAACAGAGTAAGGAACGTGCGAAATTTCGATCGAAATTTCGTTTTTCGTTGAAATAGAGTAGGCCTCCTGATTTGGGAACAAGTGAGCGGGCAGAGCATTCCATTCACGGATAGTGCGACAAAGAAATGAGTCACCAAATTTATTTGTACGCGTTGGAATTGTGGCCACAGTTAGACGGTGACAACGTAGGCCAGCGCGCGTGGTCCTCTGAAGGAAAGGGGAAGATGGAATAAGAGAGAATAAAAAAAGTTTGGACTAGTGCCATTTGTCATACAATGAACACAGACAAAACTTCATCATCATCAACAGCCTATCATAGTCCACTGCTGTGATCTTGGGCTACTCGCATCCAGCTCCTGCCAGCCACCTTGCGGAAATCGTCACTCCATCGCGTCTGAGGACGTCCTACACTACTTATACAAAAAAACTTACGAGTAACTAATCCAAGCTTGGTCTTCGTTTATGTTTAGTGGTAGTTACCTGCAGCAGTAATCTCTCGCGTCGCTTCTGTCCGGGCGTTTTCCGCCACTCGTCGACTCCCAGCGACAGGCGCAGTTCCCGAGCCAACAACTCGCAGCGACGACTCAGATCCTCTTCTTGCTCGCTTGAGTGGATGAAAACGAACAATATAATGCCCAAATCATGCTAATGTACTATTTTCTATGATCAGAATCACATTCGGAACATCCGACGCGACGCGATGCGCAAACGCATTAATAAGATCAGTAAGTGCATTACAATCGTACACCTCAACAAATATGAAGTTAAAAAGATCACAAAGATTTTACTTCACTTTTTGCCACGGCCCTATAAATATAAATGCTTATAATTATATATACACATACGCACCATACACATATATATACACACACGCATACACACACACACTTATTATATTAATGAACTGTAATATTGATTAACGTAAGAAAATATTGTACTCATGTTATTTGTATAGCCACATTGATTGCAACTAAACTACAGGATGAACTTCCTAGTTTGGCTGAGGATGTCGTCTGGATGGACTACTTTGTTTGCTGACCATGCAGTTGAAGTCGCAATGACCTACGACTAAACCGCAGAACAAAAACCAGTGCCACTGAAAGATGCGGTACTAGCAGCCATCAAACACCTTACAGAGAACAAGGCTATGGATGGAGTCCCGATGGGGGAAATCGAAGTAGAAATAAGCTACACATCATCTGTTGTCGAATTTGGGTCACCAGAGTTTGGCCGTGTGATTGGTCCCACTCTGTATTCATACCGCTGCATAAAAAGGGATCAACAAAAGTGTAGCAACTACAGACTCATTTCTCTCATCTCTCTCTGTCTCTCAAGCTGGTTTTGTAAAGGGTCAAGGTACTATCGCGGAATTTTGTGCTCTGTCACTTGGCGAACAAAATGCTTTGAACGGTTTTCTACAGTAGTTTTAACTACGGCCTTCGCGTCGGACGCGCCAATCCGGGCCGCCGCACAAAAGTAAGACAGAGAGCATTTCATTGATTGAATAATAAATTGAATTGCATTTGTTTTAGTTGCAATTTGTCATCCGCATCGTGATCGCGACAGCGCTATACGAAAAAGTAAGACAGCGATAATTACATGTCTATGAATGAATTTTTACTACGCCGCTACCGCAAGCGATTATGGCATTATGGGTGACAGAGCGGGTCTTTCCGCGAGTGTACAAGACAACAGCTGCTCATTCTGAGACAAGTTATAGAAAAGGCCAGAGAATTTAACATCATCCTTTACGTGTGCATCGTTGACTTTAGGAAAGGCTTCGATACGGTCAAATGGTGAAAACTGTGGTTGATATTGACGGAAATGGGGGTACCGCTGCACCTTATATATCTCATCAGACGGCTATACGGAATTGGTACTGCAGCTGTCCGAGTCGACGATATTCCCTCTGAACACTTCAAAACACAAGCCGGTATTAGACAGGGTTGTATATTGTCACCCCTACTATTTAATATATCGTCACAAACGTTCTCGAAACAAAACCGCGATACTAGCCACAGAATTTACCAAGAACTTCGCGGATCGCAATAAAGGTCGAGTAGTGCGGCTCATTCTAATATGAGCCTTATGCAGTGCGGCGTAAGGGAGAAAGTGCAACGACATCTGCATTTGTTTAAAACTTATGCGCGTTATCTACGTAGGTGTAAGTAGGTACTACGCACTCGCGGGTGCTAGTTAACTCTCTGGCAACTCATTATTATTTTCTTTTACCCTAGCTTGATTAAAACCTTACCTATACTACAATACCCTATTTGTATAGATACTTACAGTATGTTAAGTTGCATCTGTCTGCGCAGGAGTGCGTTTTTCTTGTTGACGAGATTAAACCATTGCGACATTAATCTGTCTTCCTCCTGGAAATAAACATTATTTTGTAAAAAAAAACACTTGACAACTACCTCTCAACGGTGATTTTAATTAAGCTATATTTTACATTACATTTGTGGATGTAATTCTAAATATTTACTGGGTCAACTTTACAAAACTACAAAATATAATCTATCGATTATTTATCATCATCATCAGCTTATTATTGTCCCCACTGGTGGGGCACAGGCCTTCTCTATGGATGGAATAGGGAGATTGGGCCATGACCCACCACGCGGGCCCAGTGGCGGGTGCTAACGACTGCAGATGCAGCAGGGACCAACGGCTTAACGTGCCTTCCGGAGTACGGAGGAACTCTAGATAGTAAATTTTTGGCCACCCATCCAATGACCGACCACTGCGAAAGTTATTTTTAACTTTAATGATCGCAGCCGAACTTGTGTCATCAAACTCCTCATTATATCAGATTACATATTTATCAGTTTAATCAATTTTGCGATAGTACACTCCCACATAACAATTACTATTATTATTATATTATAGTATTTACTACTCCTACATAACAATTACTCAAGTATACGACTAAAATCGACTATCTACTCCTTAAAGTACTGAATAAATTGTACCATATCTGCAGGGGGTAGCACGCACGACATAACAACTCTTCGCCATTTCCTCTGGAATTGCGACAATAATGTATACCTTTGTTTTTGGTTGTTGAAATGTTTCATTCAAGAATAGAAAAATAAATACGATATAAATTCTCCCTGCATTCCGCACCGCAAAACTCATATCATTATAAGTGAGAGAGATTTTAACAATAACACACACAAGTATAACAAAAAGAAAAAAATATATAAACAAAACGGCCATAATAATATGGATCCAGTTGACCACTTTCTCGACCGGCTCTAGTTGACTACAAGCATAACTTCTATATCTAAAGAAAATTTTACAAGAAAAAAACCACGCGGACCAAGCAGCAGACGGGACTCGAACCCGCACCCTTCGCTATCCGGGCGGATGCACTGACCATTATACTACCGCGGCCGTGTCGAATACTTTCTAGTATTTCTTCGGCGGCGGTAGCATAATGGTCAGTGCATCCGCTCGGATAGGAAAGGGTGCGGATTCGAGTACGGTCTGCTGCCTTGTCCACGTGGAATTAATTCCAGTACAATTGACTACTAATAGGTAATACTTATAATGATATACATATATACATACTTAAATACACATATACATACATACATATTTTGTATATATATGGCAGGAGGAGAAACAATGGAAAGAAGATAAAAGAGTCGATTGTGACACCCAGATTTTTGGAACGAAGTTCCTTACGGCAGGCTTGGAGGGGATAGGGATTTTGCTGCGCGACCGAACTGAAAAAAATGTGATAGTAAAACCGTAAGAAAAATCCGTGGAAAAAAGTGCGTGGAATAAAACCGTTAAATGAGACGTGCGCAGGCGCGACAGTCGCATACACAAGCGAGTTTGCAATTTGTGTCGATTCTACATTAGCCGAAGGAACTTCGTTCCTACCTGGTGTCCCACGACACCACCACATCATTTTTAACAGTGTCGCTGATTGGTATGTCTATCCCATATAATGACACCGATGGCAAATGAATGTTATGCAACGAATTAGAAATTATATGGAAGCATAACTCTCTTACAAAGGCCGCTAATACGTAGTTTCATACTCATACAATACACTTCAAGCGACACGTACATATACAAAAAAAAGAATACTTTGACAAATCAAAGCTCTACAAACAAAATTTGGGTATCCATTCATTGGGTAAGATAATTTTAAACGGAAATCCTAACCAATTCCATGATCGGCGTGATGATCGCAGTTTTTTCGCCCCGCCCACTTGATCGCAGTTTGCGTGGAACAACTTTTTAGCGCAGTTCGTATTCCATATTATTTCTAATTGATCGATGTTATGTGCAGCGTTACACACTATAATTGTCGCAAATTGCGATTTATTAAGGATCACCAGCTTCCGTAGCATGAGCACCATAATTTACATTATATCACGTTTTTTATCGCGTCAAACTATCAAACTCCATAGTAATTGACAATTGGGCGTGATAAAAACGCGTTATATATCATATCGCGGTGCTCATGCTAGGTGGGGCAAAAGACCGTAAGATTTTTCCCAAGTGCTGATGCGTGAAAGATCATCATTAATTGATAGAGAAACTGTTAGAATATATATAAACATCTAACAAATGCTCGTGTTCAGCATTTGTTAGATGTTTATATATATTTACTCATATATGCCTAAAATATATTTATTCTATCCGTTACACTAGTATCCCATAACAAAAGCCTAACAGTGCTCACTTTGGGGCTAAGCTAATTAGTGTGAGTGTGGGTAATACGATTATTATATATATCATCAACAATATTAAATACCCTAGGTACACCACGAGCGCTCAAAATGTGTCCCAATCAAGAAGTGCTTGAACTCCACTCAAGCACTTCTTGGTTCACAGTCACGCGCGGACCGTTACAAACTCAAGATGTCACAGAGCTCCGCGAAAAAAAAAGTGCTGTTTTTTCGACAGGTATTTAGTCAATGTTTGTTAATTTAATGCATTTGAAGCAAATTTTGATCTAATACTTACTATAAACTGATTTAATATAAAATATTTGTGATATTCAAATAAATGGTCGGTTATACGTCGCCACATAGCCGTCTCTATTCCTCGCGGTCCGTGCCTGCTATATTGCTAACAGCGCGTTCAGAATTGCGCGTAGAGTCAAAGAACTAAGGTCTAAATTCTTCCGCATATAGCAATAAGTCGTAAAATTTTACGAGTTTGCATTTCGAACTGTCAGAAGTCCTTGACGCATGCGTTTTCTTTAAGACCTTATACAGTATGTATTAAAGGTTAATTTCAATATTTATATAATGCCTTATATTGATTTTGACTACGCGATCAGCTTACGGAGCTCCGTGGATCGTTCAATGTACCTTTTGGACAGGTTTCGGGCACGATTTTGTTCGTGTTGGTGTATCTGGGGTATTTAATATCGTTGATATTATTATAATTGCTCACATCTGTGTTTCCATTTGCCTCCATGGCTTGTCGCAGTTGTTTCTCCAACGCGGCTGCTCTTTCATCTACAGCTTTTTGTTCGCGTTCCAAAGCCTCTAGCTCGCTTTGAATATAGGAGCCGGTCTCGCGATTCTGGCAAAGAAAGAATATACTTTATTATTTAAGCATTAATACAGCTATCAGTGGAGTTGGTTCTGGCCTGGTTCTCTAAACTTAAAACTAAATTTACGATCTATCTCTCCTTTTCATTATAAACAGAGAATTCTCTATAGAGAATGACAGGGATACACTGTTTTCAAATTAAATTTTAGGTTGAGAATAATGCATGAATCGACAACGTTATCAGCTGATAACGTTGTCCAAAATCAGAGTAGAATCTTACAGAGAAGATTTTTATCTAGCAGTTTAATACTGCTAGATTTTTTTTTATTAAAAGCTTCTCTGTCGGATTCGTCCCTGATTTCGCTAAGAAGGCGCAGGTTTGAATGATGCCTGACAACTTGACCGAATGGAACTGTTTTGTAGTTTCTTTTTCATATTTTTTTATAGAGAGGTTGATAAGAGTAATTATTCCAACTGAGATCAGTCGACCTATTCGCAAACTTTTTTGACATTTACAGTGTGTATAGTTATATAATAGTTATTGAGGAGCTTGATGGCGCAAGTGGTTAGCGCGTTCGGCTGCAATCGTTGAAGTTAAGCAACTTTCGCAGTGGCCGGTCATTGGATTAGTGAACAAAAATTTACCATCTCGAGATCCTCCGTGTTTCGGAAGGCACGTTAAGCCGTTGGTCCCGGCTGCATTTGCAGTCGTTAGCACCCACCAACCCGCACTGGGCCCGCGTGGTGAGTCATGGCCTGATCATCCTATTCCATCCATAGGGAAGGTATGTGCTTCAGCAGTGGGTATATTAATAGGCTAGTGATGATGATAATTACAATAAAGCAGTAGTGGATCAATAAATATCTCACTGATTATCACTTCCACCTGTTAAAAGCAGTTTGCGAATAGGCAACAGAGGGTCTAAAATTATAAGATTGTCTTCCAATTGCATTTAAGCTGCATAATATACTCAAAGAGTCTAAGGAACATGAACTTTTGAACAATGTTTAATATATTTTTTCATACTAACTAATAGGGTAGGGTTTGACAGTATTAAAAATAAAATGCCAATTGTTAGCATCTGTGTTTAGAATGAATATTGGCAGGGATTTTCACTATTTTAACAGAAAAAATATTCATAATTTTTCTAAAAACCCACGAAAAAGATAATAATTTTCTTATCTATTGTCACGTGACCTAAAACGCTTGGGATTGGCGGAGCCTAAGATGACGTCACACACAAGTAAACTTCCGGTTAAAGTGACATTACATTGTGTCATTTGACGTTTAAATAACAGTCGTGTGACGTCACACACTAGTAAGAGGCCATATTGTCCAGAGAAACGTTTTCGCGGCAACTTGAAAATGGAGTTTTTGATTTGGTTATTTTTACTGGAATCACAACAGAATGATGAATATCCACTTTTTACGGACTCCATAAACATAAGTCAATAACGTGAGATCGTTTTCTAAAACTTGTCAAATACCCTATTTGATATATTAGTGACTAAAGCAATAAAAAACCTCTTAATAAATTATACATGTCATAACCATAATATAAAATATCAACTGATAAAACTTGCAGTTTACGTAAATGATGCATGTTGCATAGACTCTTTTGATAAGTGTTTGTTAAATTTTTTCAATATTTTAAAGACAAGTTCTTTCATCAAACATAAAACGAAGCTTATATCATGAAATGTTTAATCTAAAAAAATTATGTAGGTGTGTAAAACAGTCATTAAGATGAAACGTCATAAATCAAACATATATTAGAGGCTTAATCCATATGTACATACTTCGTCGGGTATATCCTTGTCCGGCGTGAGTCTATCCACGAGCGCAGAAAATGACCTCAACGGGGAACCGCTCAAAGAACCCCGGCCTTCGCGACCGCTGCTCGAGCTCAAATCGTCTGTACCATACGGACATTATATTAAAATTACAATAATAGTGGTGTTGACTTCGGCATGATTGTCTAAACTTAAAACTAAATTCAACCGTCGGACTTTCCGTTTCTTTTTATATAGAGAATGACAAGGATTTTCTGCTTTAAATTTTAATTTTTAGGTTAAGAGTATCATGCCACTTAATGAAAACTTTAGTTTTATTGTAAAAAAGATAATGGTGTCGATTATCTAAACTTTAAAATTCTCTAAAGTTTACCATCAATCTCTTCTTTTCGTTCCGTATAGAGAATGACAAGGATACACACACCCCCTTTTTAATAAACGAAGACTAAGCTGGGATTAGTTACTCCATATTTTGTCTCTGTTCATTGAATGACAAATGACACTTGAGTGTTATGAACAAAACACGGCGCAATTAGTCAAAGCTTACTCTTCGTATATTAATAAGGGGGACAGTGTTTTCAAATTTAATTTTAGGTTTCAGGAATTAACGCTATCTCCATTGATAATATTTTTAATAAACGAACCTTATATTGTTTTAAACTTTCATGGTCACTTACATTATAGCTATTTACGGGATTGTTACCATGTACCTTGTTTTTTATGAGTCTCCGATATTTCGGCACTGTTGCAAGGGCCATGATCACGGAGTAACTGAAGTAATTGCGGGTAGATGTTATTGGCAGACATATCGGTCTACCCTCTGACGTCGTCTTTTACTGCGCTCGATACCCGTACTAATATATATCGGATATAATATCGGAGACTTATAAAAAACAAGGTACATGGTAACAATCCCGTTAATAGCTAAAACGAACCTTAACCTAGAAAATACAAAATAATGGATTTAAATACCAAATCGTTATAACTACACAGTTAAAATTATTTCATTTAAGGTTAAAGAAACTTTACTTCTGATATACAACCATTACAGCCGCTTGCATGATGAAACATTAGTTATGGTGCGATAGCACTTGGTCTTTAGTCCGAATACGAGAGCCAATGAAATTCGGGTAAACGAATAAGTGTAAATGAACGTTATCGATTATTCTAGTAGTTTTCGTTTTGTTTACCCGACACCGTTTACCAGTGTAAATATTGCTTCGGGTGCCCGAATTCGAGGAATGTATTTCGTGCACCTAGGCTCACCATCCGTCGGGATTAGTCCGGACATGTTCGGACTTTTAGTATATACCGGACTATAATCCGTACTTTGATCGGATTTTTTAAATTACATTGAATATGAATTACATTATGAACATTTGAAAAAAAAAGTACATATTGATTTTAATACCATACTATTGTAACTCAGTAAGTAATGGTACAATTTTGTGAATAAAACGTCTTGACTTTCTTCGAATTGACAGGATTTATTGTCAAGACTTTTGAAATTCCTAAATGGTAACCCTACCTACGTGCACCCGAATACGGGCTAGCGACCAAGTGCAACTGAACCATTAGACAAAAGTATTTGTGTGGTCCAGTCAGTAGGCGGTAGACGCGGCTCAGTCAGAATTAGTTCTTAGTTAAATCCAAATCATCAGGTATAATATGTTGTTTTAACGTCATATTAAAGATAGTGATTAATTCTGCCTCTTATACATAATCGGCTAACATGCTATCCTTCAAATGATATGGTTTTCTAACCGTAGCTGGTTTTCGATGTAGGGAGAACCAACTTGTTGTATATCCTAAGTAAAAATCTAGGCATTTTTTTTTTTATAGATAGTTCCGACAAATGAATCCTCACCCATGTTGCTTCCTCATGCCTCTTTTAAAGGATTAATTCGTGAGATCTAGTTCATTTAGGGTATTGGTGTGAATGCTAGTAATATTTATTTATTATTTTGTATTGGCCTACTGACCTGCATCAGGCGTGGCTGGACTGCGACTGCGCCGTGATGGACTCGCGGCCGATACCAAGTCTACCCCGCCACCCGCTGTTTAAAACCGTCAGCATTATATTAATACATGAACCAAAACTTAAATGCAATACAAAACTCTTTATTTGACGACCTCCGTGGTCGAGTGGTTTGTACGCCGGGTTTCATGGTGTCGCCGACTCGAGAGGTCCCGGGTTCGAATCCAGGCAGATATTTGTGTTAGATTATAAATATTTCCAACGCTCACATCAATTATTGGTGCGAGTGTTAGCAATATTTATTATTTATTTTACACCACAGTAAATATAAAATATGAAGTACATAATGACAGACTACAGTGCAATAATGGGCGGTCTTATCGCTAAGGGCGATCTCTTCCATACAAGCTTAGGATGGAGAGGACAAGAAACAGCTATAAGAAGGCAGAGGCTGTAATTATCAAACCGCACGTATGTCATACGACGTTTTATAACACATTTGCGAGGTAATAATACTACATACGTACGTACTTTCTGAAAATGAAATTGCACCTTTGTTTGTTTTCCATAAGATGAAATTTTGATACGCTTGACTGTTAGTATCTATTTTTCGGGCAAGAGGCTTAGCGTAGCCTTTTTCGACTTCTGGCGGTGTCAAATTAATAAATTCGTTACTACTTGACAATATTTTCAAATAAAAACAATACAGCGAAAAGAAAACGAAATAACTTTTTAACAGATTCGAGATGCGCGCGCACCAACGCTTTTTTTAAGCAAAGGAACAAAATACAGCCAGTGTTACTAATAAAGTTTTTTTTTTGTGAATTTGTTACCGATACATGGTTGTTATTTATTGTCAAAATCAATCAAATTGAAGAATTAAATGTTTATATATTATATTTTATCTCCCAAAGTTAATTTTATTAAGAAAATGATGGCTATCTTTCTGACATAAAAACTCTTTGCTAAGATTAAAAAGTATCGTTCATTTTTAGACGGAACATAATAAGCCGTGCGTTTTACTTTACATTACCGCACGCGTGTGTAATGTGATAGATAATGATATAGAAATTGGTGCAATAAAAGACGCTTTACGAGCAAATATGTTATAAATACATTTTCATTTGTCAATCATTATTTTTTAACGATTTATCATATAACTCTTTTGGTGATAATGATCATTTGTATTATTAATGTTGACAACGAATTAGAGAGGATATGAAAGTATAAGGTACTCTCTAACAAAGGCCGCTAAAACATAATCCGAACTCATACAACTGAACTTCTATACTAACACGACACGCACACAGATAAAACAAAATACTTTGACAAATCAAATATCTGCAATTGAATTCGGCTATCCGTTCATTGGGTAAGTTAATGTTAAACGGAAATCCTAACCCATCCCATGATCAGCGTGCTGATCACATTGTTTTATCCCGCTAACTACTTTTTAACGCATTTCATTGCATCATAGAGGTATAAAAATAGAGTGGGGAAGGTGGCTCTAAAAGTGTCCGTCTAGTAGAAAGAGAAAGAAAATGAGAGACCGCTAGCTATCTCTCTCTTTTGTGACGCACGCGGAGTCGTCTGTCCAATAGTTGGTCCAAGCATCACATCGAAATAGTAAGATGCTTACGGTTGCCAATGCGCATGCGCGATTAGAGAGAGAAAGCTAGCGGTCTCTTATCTTCTTTCTCTTTCTATTAGAGGGATACTTCCACTTGTAGTAGAGTCTATATCTCCCCTACTCTATTCTTATACTCGTACCTCTATGGTTGATCACATTGTTTTATCCCGCTCACTACTTTTTAACGCAGTTCGCATTCCATATTATTTCTGTTACGACAGCGCCATCTACTTATTCTAGGTGAATCTAGATAGCTTGAAAACTTCACATTATGTGTTCAGGTTTCGACACTTGGACTCTGAGATGGCGTTGTCGACAATGTATCAAGTATACGCAGAAAAATTAGTGTTTAAAAGACTTTTTATTGGCTTCCGAGCAGTAAACATCAAAACCTACATATCGCATTGTCTTTCATTTGAGCACCCACTTTATTACAATTTCTAATTCCATGGCAGTTAACGAACAAATCTATTACTACATTTAAGCTACTCGTTTTCACCAAGGTAAAAATATGCATGTAAGAAATTTTATACAATGTCTTCATTTTTTGTTCACGCTTATATAACGCCTGGAAGAGATCAATCTTAGCGATGAGACCGCCCATTATTACACTGTATTCTTTAATTATGTACTTCATGTTTTATGTTTTCTGTGGTGTGAAAATAAAGAGTTTTGTATTGTATTGTATACATATACATACATATATAAAACATGTAGTATACAATGCTTGCATCAAACTTGTTGGATAAATAAAATATGTTACGTAAATAGTGATTTATACTTGTAAAGATATTCGTTGCTCCTTGGTATGGTATGCAGTGTAAAAGAAATAATGTCGCAACAAGTATTCTGCAGGTTTTCTGTAAAGCCAGTATATGACTTGTTTCTTGGTGGAGCCGAAGTGTCATAAATACACCTAGTGGAAGTATAAGTCAAACAAAATTTTATTTCCAAGTACCTGCTGCTATTTCCTCCATGAGGGACTGTTTAGAGATGATTTCAAGCGTGGGCCTCGTTCTGGACGGCGATAGGGGCGATGTAGGGCTGTTCAAACATAACAATAATTGCACATTGAGCCACTGGTGGCGGCCACTGCACGCAGCCACTAGTGGCTTAGTGACGTCTAGAGACGGGCGTCAAGGGCGTCGCCAGCAATGTAATAGGTAAGGAAATCAATTGCTCGCACTTTGGTCGCTTTGCGGCTAGCTACATTTGATCTCTAGGGGGGTGGGCAACGGCCCCCCTGTTCCCCCTGGGCGACGCCCTTAGCGGGCGTTTTTAGATATTTGTAAATTCGATGCGCATCAATATCAGATAAATCGCATCCGATACGCGCGTCGATGCCGAGTGAATGTCAGTCATGCTAGTATCGAGTAGTATCATGATACGAGTAACGACAGATGCGTGTTTGTGTCGGTATGTCTCTTCGATTCATGAATCATGATTTGAAAATGTAATCAAAACCATTTATTTACTTTTAGGTATTTTAACTGAAAGTATTGAATAATTACCTAATCAAATAAGAAAAAAAAACTTGTTTCAATGTTTATCGTAGGGCTTTGAACGCACACACAGTACAGTACAGCGCCACAAACTTTCCTGCGCCGCCGGTGGCAAAAATTTGAACTACAATTTATCCATAACATTTTGTCATTTTTTGTTAAACACCGCTAGCGACATCTTCACCGGCACAGATCAGTTTGTGGCACTGTTGCTATAGTAACGTTGACAAAAACTAGACGGCATCGGCATCCAATAACGGTACCCAGTCGCATCGGATGCGCGCATCCAAACCTGACCCCTAGCATGAGCACCGCGAAATGATATTATACGCATTTTTATCCATAGAGGTATAAGAATAGAGTGGGGAAGGCGGCTCTAAAAGTGTCCGTCTAGTAGAAAGAGAAAGAAGATGAGAAACCGCTAGCTATCTCTCTCTCTTGTGACGCATGGCATTCAATGGCATCGAAATAGTAAGATACTTACGGTTGCCAATGCGCATGCGCGATTAGAGAAAGAAAGCTAGCTGTCTCTCATCTTCTTTCACTTTCTATTAGAGGGACACTTCCACTTGTAGTACAGTCTATATATCCCCTACTCTATTTTTATACCTCTATGTTTTTATCACGCTTAATAGTAAAATTACTATGGAGTTTGACAGTTAGACGCGATAAAAAACGTGATATAATGTGAATGTCAGTGCTCATGCTACGGGGGCTGGCATCGTTATTCTAAAAACACCCATCCCTATCAAGTGGCAGCCAAACGCTTAGTTTGCGCCAATACTATACAAAATGTAAGCAAAAACTCGACCGCTCTTGGAAGCATTTAGTGGCGGCTACTTGAAGATCAATGTGCGCTTGCTCTAATCATCGTCATATCATTCAATCAATAAACAATAATTATTATTTATGATATAAGTGCGGCAAGTTGGTTATTACAGACGAGCAGACAAACAAGTCAAGGGTTTACCATAGTTATGAGTTTGTAAATACCAATTCCGTACGAATATCGTACAACGTTTTTCAACACATTTGCGAGAAAAGAGTACCTTTAAGCACCAAATTTAAGTAATAAAGCAAACTTTATCTAATTAGAAAAAGGTGCGCTTTTCCAAAAGGGATGTGTAGGTGGCGAAAATTAGAACTACATGTTTGTCTCTTTTTCTCTTTAGTATCTTAGTGAAAAAAATATATAGATTCAAATTGTATGTGTTAGACTACAAGGTATTTATCTATGGACCTACGTAGCCTGATTTATAAATAAATAAATTATAAATAAAAAGTGTTTCCAAGAAGGTCCAACCGAAATTAAAAAACGTAAAAGAACCACACGGCGCCATGTATAGGAGCGTGCGGTAAAATGTTTTACCGCACGCTGCGTCGTATGGCCCGTAATTTTTAACTTTCGATAAATGTATACAACCTACGTAAATGCATTTTTCGAGCAAATGTGTTGAAAAATATTATGTAAAACGGTCAAGTCAAAAACTCCGATTTAAGGAATGAACATTGTTTAGATCATTTTAAAATTTGCTTTAATAGAGATGACGTGTGGTAAAGTAAGTCCGTCAGTAACATTATCAAATAAAAATGGAATTTAATCGAATAGAAATTAAGATCGATAAATAAAAAAAAATATTTTCAGTTGTTTGACATTAGTTGCACTTGGAGTGTGAATTTTAGTGTTAAGTTTGCGTGAATGACTCATGAAATTCTCAAATACTAAATGCAATATACTTTTATTAGCACAGAGTATCGAATTAAAGTATAGATATTTTAAGTACTAATATCGAATCTAAATTATTGATAATTAAAGAAACAGATTCAAAATTATATCGTGTCCCTACTGGTGACCTCCGAAAGAACACAATATTAATCACAACTGTCATTGCTAATTAATTTATATGTGGTAACTATCATTATAAATATTAGTTAAAAAGATGACCGATATGAAATCTTACCTTAATATTCCTGCTCTCGCATCCGCTATAAGCTTTCTCGCTCGCTCGCGTAACATCGCTTGTCTCTCTTCCTCTGTCATTGGCTGCGTAATATCAAATATAATTTGGTTACGAAAAAACCCATACAAGTGGCGGAATTCATAATTGCCGTCAGTCGTAAAAGTTCTGAATTTACATGGGAGAGTACGTAAGAAAATGAAAACTTTCAATAAAATACAGATTTCCGTTGTCTAATTTTAATTTGGTATTATCAGCAACTTATTAAGTTACAATTGAATGCCTTTCATTATGAATCTTGACTAAAAGCAAGATAAAGTTTGAAATTGGGGAAATTGAACAGTTTAAGATAACTAAACCTGTGGCTGTCTTTGCAACGCTGTTTCGTTAAAGTTCTAGGAAATATATTAATAAAAAAAACGACGGGTTGCACTCCGGGAGTGCCGTCAGAAGTGAAAACTTGAATATTAACGTTGTGCATTTTTGATATTTTGGAATGGTTAGGGAATAATTTTACACGATTTGCTTTAATTATCAGTATAAAAGTACTATCATGTATGTGGTAGAATTCAATATTTATTTATTGCGCTATCGCACACAAACATGACAATTTATATTACATTACAAAAGTTAATCTCTCTGAAAAATTAATTTACATGAATCACGTTTAAGCGCACTTAGCGACATCTATTGTAAAGAAATCAACTTACATGAATCATATTTAAGCGCACCTAGCGACATCTACTGTAAAAAAAATGCATTTTCTTCTCAATAAAGCTGCCACGTGGACGTCCTAGATAGATTTATTATTCTAACACGGTAAAATAAAATATAACTATGTTTCGTCCAATATATTGAAAGTCAACAACCTTTCAATTTTATTGTGTGTCTTGATGCGATCAGCCCACATGCTTAACCTGACTCGAGTTTAACATTTTTTACCCATTCACAAAAAAAAGTACAACGCCGCTAAAGAAGTTTTCACTTCACAAACAAAAAACCTACCGAAAACGTAAAGTTTATGGAAAGATGTATTATAATTTGCTAACAGAAACCCAATTAAATTGAAGTTTCAAAAGCTTAATGCTGTAAGCAATTTATTGTTTTTTTTATTAGATTATTCATCAGTCCATGAAATTCTCAAATCGCTTATACTTAATACGTACCTTCTTGGGACTGGCTTCGCCGTTCCTAAGGCCATTCTCTTTCACGACCTCGTTATTTTCCTTCTCTTTCGAACTCTGGCGTTTAAGTCTATCTTTCTCTCTCGCCTCTCTTTTCGTAGCTTCCAAGAGCTGTCTAGCTCTTTCCTTCAATTCATCGTGTCTAGATAATAATTGCTACAATCGGACGATTACAAACGGCCACACAAATCAACCAATCACGTAGCGTTTCGTTTGAGCGGCGCGAGTTTCGACCAATGGACACGAAGCGTCCGTACCGTCGGCCAATCGAAGCGTTCGAAGCGTTGCACACACAAGCAAAGCCGATGGCGTACGCAATGGAAAGAAATGATTCCAATGAGTTATTGATTATGCGGGAACTGACGTCATTATATTATTGCAATTTCAAAACTTGATATCAATTACACGTTTATGTTATTTTAAGCATAAAAAATAATAAAGTGGCAAAGATTTCGAATTTAGTGGATGCATTCAATTTTCATCTTAATGGAACCGTAAATAAACTATTCTGTAATTAAATAAAACAAGTTTCAACGGTATAGATGCACTGATTTATTTATTTATGATGTTTAGCATCCTTTTCAGGATGCGTCGTCAGAATTAGCAGTCTGAAAAGCTTACTTTGGTGCTAGGCTAATTGGTGTGAATGTTGGTAATATTTATTTTTATTTATAATAGTAGTTTAAATACTCAATTGAAAATAAAATTTTCTTGTTTTTAATTTATTATGCTATGGTACCTAATACATACTAAAGAATATTTACAGAAATTTTGTGGTTATTTTTTAATCTAATCTAATAATTTTCTATCTAAATACATATGTAAGTTTAAATCTAATAATGTCTTTCAGGTGAATTAAATAAAGGCAATGAATGAAACAACACAAAAAACAACATCTTTTTAAATATGAATTATTAATCTTTTACAATGGGTAAGGTCATATTTTACATTTCGCTCTGATGTAATTCTATTTACATCAAGTAAAGCTTGAGTATATCATAAATATTTCATTATAGAATAAAACAAATCAATTAATATTTATAATTTTGCTTTCTCATTTCATGTCTTTGTGAGTGTAGCATATGATTTTATACTTTAACATTAAGCTTATAAAGTTCAAAATAATAAAATGTGAAACTGCTATGATAGTGTAAGTCTAATTTGATATTACCAAAATGAATGTACAAGTAAAATTACCCTTACCCATTGAAAAGGAGATCTTCGATTTCTGCCCAATTTTGTACCATAGTACAAATTATCTCAAAAATACGTCTAAAATTATACTTAATAATAACTCACTTATCAAATTCTCATTAATTCAATAGAAATCGGTGAAAATATAAATTAAAATGTTTTTTTAAAGGAATCCGCATGTAAAGAAACTTTAATATAATGATGACAGCTAATACTATAGGTTCAAGTTCATTTCTTTGGTTGTCATTGGCTGTATCAAATATCACGTGACTGTTTTCGTCACGTTGTAACTATGGATATGACAGTGACATTTAGGCCCGTATTATAGAAAGAATCTCAGTAATTAATCTAGTCTTGAGCATAGTTAGAAAGGGATGTCGCTATATATAGCACATAGCGATATCCCTTTCTAACTGTACTCAAGTAAAGATCAACACTTAGTTGTCATTCTGTAATACGGGCCTTAATCGCCTCGGTATGTGTACCGATCCTTTTAGCCAATCCGTTCAGTTATTTAATATATGTATTGTCACAAACGCTCTCGAAACGTAACCGCGAAAGTACTAGATATCGAATTTGCCAGATCACCGCGGGTCGCGATAGAGGTCGAGTAAGGCGGCTCATTCTAAAATGAGCCTTATGCAGTGCCAAGTAATGGAGAAAGTGCAACGACATCTGCACTTGTTTACAAGTTATGCGCGTTACCTGCGTAGGTATAAGTAGGTACTTCGTACTCGCGGGTGCTAGCTAATTCTCAATTTAACAGGTACTTTCTAGAATGCGTCGATCGGCGTATATAAGCGCGATTGGCGCCACGCAGAGACAGTTGAGTTACAACAACGATTTCGGAGCGAATCCAAAGGCGATCAAAGTGCAACAAAAGTATTCCAGTGCGATAATTTAGTGACTTGTATAGTGAAATACAGTGTTTAGTGAGTGTTTTGTAATTAACATTGGGTGTAAATTGTGTGAACTGAGTGGTGAATAAAGAACTGTCAAGCGTGAACTGGCATATAATTACGAACCCCACCCCGACACGTAACGGTATTTTGATGAGCTTGCAAATAATATATTTTGTTATTTTATGATATCCGTAGCTGTTTTGGTTAGGGCCTAGCCAGTGACGTATGGAAGGTGCGAGTAACATCTATGGCAGGTAGGAGTATACGTTTATGAACGAAATATGTTCCAACATTAATTATAACCAAAAATTGGATAATTCAAGCTCTCTGTATTATTAATTTTGTAAAATTTGTTAAGGGGTGGCTGAAAAACAGCGTTGATTAAGGTCCAGGCTTGACCAACATTAGCTGAGCCATATCCTATTGTCTTGTATTTAATGAAATATTATTTAAATATCTGTTAGCATGCAAAAAAGACAATAAATTATTATTGTTATCGTTGTTAATTAAAAAAATTGGTGTATTTATTTATCTACACAAAAATGTATGATAATACTGGAGGTACAAAATTGGACAGAGTTATATGGAGAAAAGAATGGATCCTTTACGCTTATAATATCGGCTAGGCATTTTGATTAAAAGCCACAAAAGTAACAAATATTAAAAATTGACTCACAGGCGTCGGTTTTGGTAATTCTGGGGTAGGTGCTTTCTGCGCTTTGCCGTCTTCATCGACAGGTTGTGACTGGTTATCGCCCGGTTGGTTCCGGTTATCGGCTGGCAGGTTCCGGTTATCGTTGAGTGGCGTTTGGTTATCTGTTTCTGATTGGGCGAGACAATTCAAAGGGTCTGTGGTCGCCGGTTCTATATGTGGTTTTTGGTCGTTTTTAACTGTAATAAAAGTATAAATAAAATATATACTTGAATAAAAATAAAGTAACGTGCGAAAGAGACAGAATGCGTAGCGACGGCATTTTTAGATCCTTACTTTAATGGCACGAGTAATTTTAATCATTTCACGCAAGAAAAATAGAAACCGGTGATTACCGCAGTGTAAGCAGAACGTAAAATTCTCAGTAAATGGCTATTTAACAATTGAATTATGCCACTTTTTGTTGTAAAAATCAAAACGTCGCAAGAAACAAATTGTTATCGTATCTGTATTAAAAAAAATCTAGAAAATATCTTACACAAATTTGACAATTATTCTACCATTCGCTAAGCAACGAGTGGTTGAGACCACTCGACTAAGCAAAGAGTGGTTGAGACCACTCGACTGGTTGCATTCGAACAATTCAAAATACGGAATTTATTATATCGAATGTAAATTAGTAGAAATCGGGCGTTCGACGCAAGGCGAGCGTTTCAAGAAAAGAACTCCTGTTCGGTTTCAAATTATATTGAATGCGTTAGATATGATAACGTAACATTACATCCGCTTACCCACCTTTTCCTATCCCTTGGACGATTTTTTATTGTAATACGAGGGTAGACAGGCAGTATCTGTCAGTTGCCTGTGACAACTACGACGCCATAGCGATCGGTCGACTTACGAAAAGTCCCGATCCAAATTATATATTATCAGCGCGGCGGTTGTTCAACGAGCACAAAGGAACATCATCAAATCAACAGATTACGTGAAGGACAGTTAGGACTAGCTCAAGATAACATTCCTACAACATCTGGAAACTTACGAAAATACAGGCAGACCGGCGCTGCTCTAAAGGCTATCGGAGAAAATAAAAAATCGTAAGTCCAAATCACTTTCTGTCCCGCACAGCTCCAGGTAATGATGACACATCTCTTATCTATTAGACAAGTCCGTCCGTCCGTCCGCCCGTGGTGCTGTTTCAGCGGCCAAACCGTAAGAGATAGATATAGAGAATGTTTAAGTTATAAGTTAAGAATAGTCTGATAAGACTACAAACCGGATGTCAGTAACGTAGCACTTCCGGTTTTCGAGAAATCACGTGATTTCTATTTCATTCGAAACCACACAAAATCTCCGAAGTTCTCAATTAATTAAATACATTTTTTTTTTTTGGTGAACATTTGGTTCACTGGTTTGCTAGTATATTAATAATACTATACCTATATGTTGTGGTGATTCATCTTCTTCGTCTGATCCGAAAGGATCTGTCAGTTCTTTGCGAGTCATCAGGCGTTCGGGGCGAGTAATTGGCTGTGGAAAAAAACGCACAACCGAATTTAGTCTAACATATTCATTTTTTGTTAAACGGATAGCAAACAATCATATTATGTCTAGATGCCAGAATATATTACTTGAGATTCGTCTACTGTGATCCTATTCCCTACTCCCGTGGATACTAGTATCTACTACTGCTAGTAATGGAGAGATATTCCAAAAAAAAAAACAAAAAAAAATTTTTTTCTTTTTTTTTCTAAATTAACCCAAATCCTTGTCTGAAATAGTCAAAAGTTAAAATAACTTTATTGAAATTGGATGCACTACACAACTCTTTTGTAACGTCCAATTTTTTTACCTACCACCAGTTAAGGACATTTTTTTAGCTCTGGAGAAAAACTGTCGAAAAGAACTTCACAGCGTTAAATAATTATGTAAAACTACTATTAGCTATAATTTTTAATTTTTTAAAGCATGTAACTGCTTGATGTTTAAATCTAAAAAAAATATAACTAGAAAAAATTTCACGCGGACCAGGCAGCAGACGGGACTCGAACCCGCACCCTTCGCAATCCGGGCGAATGCACTGACCAATTATGCTACCGCGGCCGTCACGGACCGCGCCGAAATTCCTCTAGCCATTCTTAAGCTGCAAGGCAGCGCCATCTCTTCGTATTATAGGTAACCCACAATTGCACCTTAATAATGGCTAGAGGAATTTCGACGCGGGCCGTGAGGCCGCAGTAGCATAATTGGTCAGTACATTCGCCCGGATTGCGAAGGGTGCGGGTTCGAGTCCCGTCTACTATTAGCTAGTCAAGTTTCGCGGGTAACTCAAAATTGGACGTTGTTAAATGAAAAGGATCCGACCAACCCAAACTTAGTTTTGAGATATGATTTTATTTATTTCAGACTGTATTTCTTCTTAGATTCTCAACTTTATCTTTTTACAAAATCTCTTATCTAATAGAAAAGTCCGTCCGTCCGTCCGTGGTGCTGTTTCAACGGCCAAACCGTAAGAGATAGATATAGAGAATTTTTAAGTTATAAGTTAAGAATAGTCTGATAAGACTACAAACCGGATGTGAGTAACGTAGCACTTCCGGTTTTCGAGAAATCACGTGATTTCTATTTCAAACGAAACCACACAAAATCTCCGAAGTTCTCAATTAATTAAATACATTTTTTTTTTTGGTGAACATTTGGTTCACTGGTTTGCTAGTACAAAATCATATGACACTTGAATTTTACGTGGATCTTTGTCGTGATTTAATAGTTTTGACCTTAAGGAGTACTTTGGTATACTAAACTAATTTCAGATAAGGTTGTGGATTGAATCCTTTTCATTTAACAGCATCCAATTGACGGTGTATACTGACCTGTGGCGGAGTGAGCGGCGCGAACCATTGAGCCGTGGGTTTGGGTTCGTTCGGCGAACTCACTGGCCGGGCCGTTTCCGCCCCGCGTTCCGGACTGGGCCCGCTGCGTTACGTTCAATGTTAAATTATAATTATGTTTTTAATTGAGTCAGTATCACACTACATTCAGTACTAGCGGCCCCACGTGACTTCGTACGCGTGGAGTTAGTTAGAAATAAAGGTTCACCGCTCGTTCCCCGTAGGTGATAGCGTGATAATATGTAGCCTATATGTTGACCCGACTTCTTAATAATATTCGATGTTTCTAAAACTTTTTATCTAGAATAAACATAGCCGGTATAACCAGACTGATTACAAAATTACACATTGCAAAGTAAATTATTTGCTTTATCACTCCTCTTCAATATCAGTATTTTAATGCGTTCAAAGTTTGGCAAAAGCTACAGTTTTCGTTCTTTTAAATGTAACTTTTTTTTTTAAATATGATTTCATAATACGCATTAAATTCGACCTATTGTAAAACCTTTTATTTCAGAGAAAGTTGAATACAGTATAGATAGAGCTATCCAGATAAACCACGCAAAGAAAACGGCTCATGTTACGCGCAATGTGTGCGTGACTTTAATGTCAGATTGTTTGATGTAGGAATACCCAAAGGGAAGATCTTCCTCCGAGCTGGATGATGATGGCTAGGGGCCGCGAATCGACTGATTAGGCATTGTATGTATGGAGTGTTAGCATACGATTTTCACTTGCGCGATGTAGGCTTCCAAACGTATTGATCGCAGCGCCGGTAGCGCCATCTCTTGAGGAGGCGAGTGATTATTTCCTTAAATCCATTGGATATATGTAGGGCGTACAGATGTCGCCGCCATTTGAAATCAATGTGAGTGTGTGTAACGACTAGGGTATCTACTAAATGTAATAGATTTTTTTGAGTCGCTTCCGTGCAGTTAATTCAATATTAACACACCTAAACACGCCGGGTTTAAGTGTGTATATAATCAAAGAATATCCAATTACGATTTTTTGCTATCACCAAAATAAAGTGTAAACCACATAAGTACAAAAATTTAAAATAAAATAGTTAGTTTCATTAGTTTTTGTTTCTATACCAGATCTTTTGCCTATGAAGTGCATAATAAGTATTTCTAATTTTACCCTCTATATTTCGGTAGTACAACTTTTAGCAAATCACTTTAACGCGTGGAGCTCGATAGTTAAAGCGTTCGGCTGCGAAGTTAGAAGCTTAGAAGTACTAACGATCGTTAATGTTAAGCAACTTTCGCAGTGGTCGTTGTTTGGATGGGTGACCAAAAATGTTCTATCTCTCATTCCTTCGTGCTTCGGAAGGCACGTTAAGCCGTTGGCCCTGCATGCATCTGCAGTCGTTAGCACCCGCCAATCCGCACTGGGCCCGCGTGGTGGGTCATGGCCCGATCTCCCTATTCCATCCATAGGGAAGGCCTTTGCCCCAGCAGTGAGGACACTAATAGGCTGATGATGATGATGATGTGCGATTATAAGTGAGCGGTACTGGCTATAAGTATTAGAATGTATACTGACTTGATTTGCCTCGGTATAAGGTTTCTCGATCGCCTCGTAGCAACTTCTCTCGAGAACAGGTCTCTAGGCAGAGCGCCGTCCGTATCGTGCCTACCCACCAGGTACGATGATTCTGTCTCGTCGTTACCTAACCCCATAAAATAATATAATACAATAAAGAATAGGAAAAAAATCAGTGCGCACGGACCAAACATCAGTACCCTTAGTACGAGTTTGAGCTCACAAAAACTATCATAGTTTTCGTAATTGCAAATTATGTTTCTATGTCCATTTTTCTGAAAAGTAACCAATTAAACTAAAAATTTAAGAAGACGTAGATGCTTTAATGATAGAATTTAAACACCGTTTATTTGTTTGAAACGAAACCAGTAAAATAAGTACCTATAGTACGAGTGCGAAGTTCACGAAAACTATCATAGTTTTCGTAATCGTAAAACTCATATTAAGGGTACTGAAGTGAAACTTGTTTTCATAAATAAACTAACATTAGGCGGTTCATAAGGCATAGTAGAACAGGATCCCAAGACTGCCAGACCTCAATTATTTTGTCATAGACGAAATATGGATTATTATTGAGTAGTATTAGTGTTTACAACGAACGTATACACACACACTCGCTAACTTGTGCTGTGGGACATTTTTCACGAATCAGATGGCACAGGCACGTAAAAATTTTACTCACTTTACTTACAGTGGGGGGACTGATTATTACGTATGTAGTGGTAATGCCTGACACATTCTGTTCGCAGTATTTATTGCCAGACACTTTTAACGTCGAGAGCAAAAAACACCAACTTCCTTATTGTCTGAAATAATTTTAATAATTAGATAATAAGAAGTTTGTTTCTTAGGTTTTCACGCACATCACTCATTAAATAAAACTAGTTTTTACGGGTTAATGCACGAAACTTTATTTATTTATTGACGTTTCGTAGCCTTTACAAGCTACGTCGTCAGAATTAAACTTTTACTTAATTTGTCGAGCTACCTTCGAAAGACTTTTATTGAGCGTTCGGTTATTTCATTGTTCGATTTTTAAAGTTTTATTGTCTATGTATGAATTTATTATTTAATTTACTTAATAAAGTATTTTATTTAAAATTCTTTTTTGTAATTTTGAGTTTATTTATTTGACCCTAACTACCGTAAACTACCACCGGTTCCAAAATTGGGAGACCTTTCTTGTTTCGCCGGTTCTTCTCAGAAAGGTCTCCCAAGCCTGTAAAGGCTACGAAACGTCAATAAATAAATAAAGTTTCGTGCATTAACCCGTAAAAACTAGTTTTATTTAATAAGAAGTTATTTAATTATCGTAAAAGGCTTCCTTGCTCCATAACTTTACTGAAGCTGTATTAAAAAGACACTTTATAAGCATAAGCGCGCCTGTCCTCACAGTGGCAGTTCAAATAAGCTTAATCTTTGGCCCCGCAGTTTTGACCGGCAGCTTACAAAATATAATAATAGCCCCCTAAATGTCATAGATCAATATCAGGTCTCAGACTGTAAGTTTTGTGGTTTTTGCTTTCGACATTTAAAGTGTCTGGCAATAAATACTGCGAACAGAATGTGTCAGGCAGTATTAATTTCAAATTGTTTACAATATTCTTTACAACATACGTAATAATCAGTCCCCAGACTGAAAGTAAAGTGAGTAAAATAGGGATGATGACGGGGTACAGTAAACAAAATTCTATTTAGTCCGTCAGTTAGATGATCAAAAAATAATGGACACGTATTTTTTCTTTGGGCAATCAACCAAAAAATGACAAAGTTATAGCGCGTCAAAGTTTGGGAGTAGGGGCTCGTGACGTCACTTTTGAGTGAATTTCCACTTATAAGTTTACTCAAACGTGACGTCATGCGACTTGGCAAATCAATATATCTCTGCAATGTTTATATTATGTGAAAAAAGAATAAATACGTGTCCAATACTCTTTGATAATCTACCTGATAAACGAAGAAAAAAAATCATGCCTATTATTACGTGCTTGTGCCACCTGATTCATGAAAATTGGCCCACGGCACAAGTAAACGAGTATGTATATGTTCGTTGTACAAACTAATACTACTCGATAATCCATATTTCGTCCATGACAAAATAAGTGTAGTCACTGAAACTGTAGTAACTACGATCTAAAAGATCTATTGTGACTCGCCACCAAGTTAAAGTATCTCTTTTAGCTCGACAGATTCCAAGAAGCTCAAAACGGATTTCCTCTTAGCGTATTATATGTCGTCCCAGATGAATACTAAGTTTATGGATAAGAGGCCCACATTCACACAGAAGGTGTTTTGTATCTGCAAACATCAGTGACACTTTTTGTCATAAGAAATTGGTATCTATCTTTAATGAGTGATGTGCGTGAAAACCTAAGAAACAAATAAATTGGTATCTGTTGAGTTTGCAGTGTCGAGAAAAGGCTGTTACAATAGCATGGGGGCCATCCATAAATTACGTCACACTTTAAGGGGTAGGGAGGGGGTCGACGAAATGTGACATCGTGTGACAAGGGGTGGGAGGGGTCCTAAATTTCGTGACGTCACATTTCAAAATATATTAAAATCTAAGTGTTAAAACTATTACTTTACGAAAGCATTAACAACCCAAACGAGAACAAAGTGGTGCTATGCCAGTTATAAATAATTTAAAGGAGTGGGATCAATGTCCATGGACTCAAGATTATTAAGTTTGTATCTTTAATTTAATTATAATGCTATTAATATTTTATGTTTTGTTAATTTCTTTAATTAACATAGTCAATCACTTTTTGTTCGGTAATTTCTTTAATAAATATAATTAATCGTTTTTTTTTGTTTTGTTAATTGCCACATAACTCATATTTGCTATAATTAAGCCGAATAAATTTAAGAATAATTAAAACAAAAAATATACTATAACAATGAACCTAAAACTAAAAACCTTAAAAAATAAAATATAATAACTAAAATACATTATTAAAAGGAGTCCCTTTAGGCAAGGTTCCGAAGATACTGGCAGCGTTCCCCCTTTGGATAGCTAGACTTATTCTTTGTCCGAGGTAGCTGCCAGCTCTTCGGTCTCCTGTGATGTCGACTAATCTTTTCGCTATTTCTTTAAAAAGCCTTATAGCGCTAGGACCCCACGGACCAAGGGTCTCGAGACCGAATGGCACAAAATCATATTCGGAGCCTAGACCCCTGTATTTGCCTGCCTTAACTTTTTCAGCCGCTTCACAAGCCGCACCAGCTCTGTTGTTGGTTCCATGTAGATGGGAAGGTGCCAGCGTGTCTGAACAGGTTGCATCCCATACTAGCACCCGACCCATCTTCCATGGAATCAAACTCATACCGTCCGGTCTCTTGCCATCGTCTCTTGCAATACCAGTTGGCTCAAGTAGACTTGGCACGTTGACGGTGGCAAGGGACCGGCGTATGATATCGTTAAGTGCGGCGTGTCTCGAGAAGCGGCCTGCACTTTTTTGGCAAGACAGTCCATGATGTCCTAGCTTGTCGACATCACTGCCACAGGGACATTTATGAGGAGCGCAGACCGGGACCCCAAGCCGTAGACAGGTTGCCATTCGGAGTGTGTCAGGCTCAAGAAATGTGCCTGTATTTGTCGAAGGGTACGCGTGAAGCCAGTAGCCGGCCTCATGTGTACCCACGGCCAAAAGCCTAGCACGCGCCGTACCTGTACTGCAGCTCAAAAGGTTATTATAAGTTAATTTACAATTTATGTCGTCCCAGCTCCTCTGTGAATTTGGAGAAACTGGAAAATTTTGACCTGGGCATGCAATTAAGAAAGCGTTTCTAGCTTCTTCCAAGCCAGCAATCTCAAAGTTTGAAGGGGATGCCCTTAAAATTTTACTTATGAGATTTGCTGAACTATGGACAGAAGATAGGAAGGCTGGTAAAGCGACACTGGAAATTTTGCGAATCCCTAAACCACCATAACGGATGGGTAGGGATGCTTGGGTCCAAGATTGCTCGTTCAGCTGCATATTAAGAACCGATTCTAAGTTAATTTTGATTAAGTCGTCTAATTGTGACAAAAGATCTAAGTGATTCCAAAAGGAGCAGCAACGGAGCACATACGTAAATTTTGGGACAAAAAGACAGAATTTCAAGATGGAAAGTGCATAATGTGGACTAATTTCAAGGAGACGGTCGGCAGAATTTTGAAATTTATTAATTGAATTATTAATATATTCAGAAATAGATTCATCAAAAATTGGAGAACCTAAAAGGTAAAGGGAATTACTGTTAACTATTTTAATATTTGGAGCTAAAATATTAAATTTTTGTTTAACGTCATTTAAATTTAAGTCGTTGTTATTTATAAAAAGTTCGCATTTGCTAAAATTAAGCTCCAAACCGATGGCTTCAAATTTATTTTTGATTAAAAAAAGGTCCGAAAACACAGTATCCACATCACCTCCTAGGGTTCCGTCGTCCAAATACCAAACATTGAATTTAGAATTTAAATTTTTGATTATCGGATTTATGGCCAAACTAAAAATTGCAGGCCCAAGGGGATCACCCTGTTGACAACCTACTTCCGAGGACAGTTCATTAGAACGATATAACAATTTTGTTGGGTCGGCGTAACTGAGAAGAAGATAATTGTATATTTCCGGTATATGTTGTTTTATTTCTGTCAGCAGGGTATCCCTATTTACCGAATTGAATGCATTTTTGACATCAATTTTGAGCAACACGTCAGGCTGCCCGTAAGTTAGGAAGGAGCGTAGGGCATGGACGGCTGCCTCACACCCTCCTTTGATACCGAAGCCTAACTGTACGGGTTCAAATTCCGAATTTAGTTTTGGTAAAATATGTCGAACAGCAATTTTGGAGGCCAGACGTCGTAGTGTTGATCCAACAGCAATTGGTCTCACCCCTCCGTCCTTTTTGGTCAGGGCAATGAGGTTCGCGCCGAAAAGAATAGGAACAATTTCTGGATTGACACTACCGGAATACATAAAGTTGATTAATTTAGTGATCGAATTTACAAGTTGCTCGCCTGCATTACCCACAGAATGCGATGTTAAATCTTTCAAATGTTGGGGTGAGATTCCATCCAAACCTGCAAATTTCTCAATTTCAAATTCCTTTTGTTAATTGTTTGATTTGATTATAATAATACGGAAAAAACAATTTAAATGGAAATAAAACTGATTACAGAACCGCTGTTTTCATTCAATGATTTCTAAATGTAAATTTGCAAAATATGTGACGTCACTCTAGGGAGGGGGGGAGTCTTACAAATGTGACCAGCTGTGACAAGGACGGGGGGAGGGTCAAAAAAGACATGAAATTCGTGTGACGTAATTTATGGATGACCCCATGGGTGTTCGTGTACATAATCGATAACTATAGTTTAACTTTAATAAGTAGAATAACTGTAATATATTTAACAATAGAAAAAGTTTTTTTTTGTTTAAGCATTTAACTGCTAGATGTTTATATAAAGAAAGGTTTACTACAAAAAATTCGGTAGCATAATGGTCAGTGCATTCGCCCGGATAGCGAACGGTGCGGGTTCGAGTCCATAAGGGACTGCTGTCTGGTCCGCGTGGAATTTTTTCTAGTAATCTTTGTTTTTAAAAGAAGTTTTTAGATTTAAACTTGTAGCATTTACATGCTTAAAAGGTATAAAAAGAAGAAGATTTTGAAAAAAAACTCACCTAACTGTTCCACTTGCAGCTCGTTGTCAGTAAAATAAGCTCTCAATTGAAAGAGATATGTCATGATCTGGAAAGGATAATATTGTCATTTTGGGGGCTGCAAAATCTATGCAAAATTTATGACTTGAGACATCTTACAAACGTTGATGAAGAAGATGTTTCGGTAAGGTGTGTCCTAAATAGGGCATTTGACAAGTTTAAGAAGAATATTCAGAGACTTTTTATATATTTTTGTATTTTTTATGTATAATATCTGATTGTTTACCAGAACTATAATCTAAATATCATCATCATCATCAGCCTATTAATGTCCCCACTGCTGGGGCACAGGCTTCCCTATGGATGGAATAGGGAGATTGGGCCATGACCCACCACGCGGGCCCAGTGCAGATTGGTGGGTGCTAACAGCTGCAGATGCAGCCGGGACCAACGGCTTAACGTGCCTTCCGAAGCACGGAGGAGCTCGAGATAGTAAATTATGGTCACCCATCCAATGACCGACCACTGCGAAAGTTGCTTAAATTCAACGATCGCTGCGGAACGCGCTAACCACTTGCGCCATCGAGCTCCTCTAACTCTAAATATATATATATATATATATATATATATATATAAATTACGCGTCACGTTGTTTGTCCGGGATGGACTCCTAAATTACTTAACCGATTTTAATCAAAATTTGCACACCGTGTGCAGTTTGATCCAACTTGAAAGATAGGATAGCGTACATCTCAATTTATAGTCGCAATTTAATTTTATTGCAAATAGGGTATTTGACAGTATTAAAAATAAAGTGTCAATTGTTAGCATCTGTGTTTAGAATGAATATTGGCAGGGGTTTTTTACTATTATTACAAAAAAATGTTCATTATTTTACTAAAAACCCACGAAAAAGAAAATAGTTTTCTTATCTATTGTCACGTGACCCAAAACGCTTGGGATTGGCGGAGCCTAAAATGACGTCACACGCAAGTAAACTTCCGGTTAAAGTGACATTACATTGTATCGTTTGAAGTTTCAATAACAGTCGTGTGACGTCACACACTAGTAAGACGCCATATTATCCAGAAAAACGTTTTCGCGGCAACTTGAAAATGTAGTTTTTGATTTGGTTATTTTTACTGAAATACACAACAGAATGATTTCTATCTACTTTTTACGGACTCCATAAACATTAGTCAATAACGTGAGATCGTTTTCTAAAACTTGTCAAAGACCCTATTAATACTTTTAGGCAGAACGAAGTTCGCCGGGTCTGTATATGTGTATGATATGTCTTTTATTTATCTTTTACTTCTATCGATTGCCGTTTTTACTATTTTCACTAAATATATCAGTAAATCATTTCTCATGGTTCCATCTTCTATTATGTGTTGTAGTGTGGTTTTATTTATTTGGTACACTATGAATGACTGTTTTGATACGGGATAAGGTTGAATTTAATTTACTTTAGTGGTCCGTTCGCACTCTCACACGACGCGGTGTGAACTTATTAAACAGAGATACAAAATAAAACTATTTTTTTATTTATTTCATTGAGAGAAATCGAAAATGCCCGGCTGTGGGTGCAGCGGCGTCGCGCTAGTTTGTACCTTATGTATGACTGTTTAGATGTGTGTGTGTGTGTGTGTGTGTGTGTGTGTGTGTGTGTGTGTGTGTGTGTTTGTATACTCACAGCCAGTTTGTCAGGCGTAGGTCGCAGTACATCGGCGGGACACAAAACCTTCGGTAGTCCGAGAGCTGCGCTTGCCTCTAAAGCCACTTTGAGGTTTCCTTCCGCGTCTTCAGGCTGCAAGCCTGAGAAGTCACTGGAACAACACGTTTTGTTGTCATAACGTATAAGAAGAGAGGTGACACATGCAGTGCGACAAGGTCCTATATTTAGTACATTTGTATAAATTCAATTTAGTTTTAATTTCTAATATGTTTTTATTGATTAAGATGAATCAATTTAATTAAAAAAAAATCATGTCTGCTGATGAAAAATAGATGATGTCCGATTCTCAGACCTACTGAATATGCATATAAAATTTCACGAAAATCGGTCGGACCGTTTCGAAGTAGTTCAATTACGCACACCGTGACACGAGAATTTTATATATTAATTATTTTTAGAGCCCCCCACTCCCAAACTTTTTAGCGCTTTATCTTCGTAATAATTTAATTGATAAAGGAAAAATACGTGTCCATATTTTTTCCATAATTTAATCGACGAACTAAATAGAATTTCATTTACTTTACCCTGTTCTCTCAAAGTCTTTATAATAAGGTACAGATTATTTATTTATTGTAATAAAAACGACAATAAGCAATTACATTTATGACACATTTACATTTTTCAGTTACACACATTTTAAATGATTGTCATAATAAATTATACAACGTCAATATTAATATAAGATAATATAAATAAGGTAAGCATTTCAAATAAAAAATACATTACAAAATTACATAAAAATTACAGATGGGACTCACATCAGATCGGGTCTGTATCTATGTATGATGGCGCAGTAGGCGAGGCCGGATCTGAGGCCGGCTTCACACGCGGCCCTGGCTCCGTATTCTGTCCGAGTCACTATAATAATGTACAGATGGGACTCACATCAGATCGGGTCTGTATCTATGTATGATGGCGCAGTAGGCGAGGCCGGATCTGAGGCCGGCTTCACACGCGGCCCTGGCTCCGTATTCTGTCCGAGTCACTATAATAATGTACAGATGGGACTCACATCAGATCGGGTCTGTATCTATGTATGATGGCGCAGTAGGCGAGGCCGGATCTGAGGCCGGCTTCACACGCGGCCCTGGCTCCGTATTCTGTCCGAGTCACTATAATAATGTACAGATGGGACTCACATCAGATCGGGTCTGTATCTATGTATGATGGCGCAGTAGGCGAGGCCGGATCTGAGGCCGGCTTCACACGCGGCCCTGGCTCCGTATTCTGTCCGAGTCACTATAATAATGTACAGATGGGACTCACATCAGATCGGGTCTGTATCTATGTATGATGGCGCAGTAGGCGAGGCCGGATCTGAGGCCGGCTTCACACGCGGCCCTGGCTCCGTATTCTGTCCGAGTCACTATAATAATGTACAGATGGGACTCACATCAGATCGGGTCTGTATCTATGTATGATGGCGCAGTAGGCGAGGCCGGATCTGAGGCCGGCTTCACACGCGGCCCTGGCTCCGTATTCTGTCCGAGTCACTATAATAATGTACAGATGGGACTCACATCAGATCGGGTCTGTATCTATGTATGATGGCGCAGTAGGCGAGGCCGGATCTGAGGCCGGCTTCACACGCGGCCCTGGCTCCGTATTCTGTCCGAGTCACTATAATAATGTACAGATGGGACTCACATCAGATCGGGTCTGTATCTATGTATGATGGCGCAGTAGGCGAGGCCGGATCTGAGGCCGGCTTCACACGCGGCCCTGGCTCCGTATTCTGTCCGAGTCACTATAATAATGTACAGATGGGACTCACATCAGATCGGGTCTGTATCTATGTATGATGGCGCAGTAGGCGAGGCCGGATCTGAGGCCGGCTTCACACGCGGCCCTGGCTCCGTATTCTGTCCGAGTCACTATAATAATGTACAGATGGGACTCACATCAGATCGGGTCTGTATCTATGTATGATGGCGCAGTAGGCGAGGCCGGATCTGAGGCCGGCTTCACACGCGGCCCTGGCTCCGTATTCTGTCCGAGTCACTATAATAATGTACAGATGGGACTCACATCAGATCGGGTCTGTATCTATGTATGATGGCGCAGTAGGCGAGGCCGGATCTGAGGCCGGCTTCACACGCGGCCCTGGCTCCGTATTCTGTCCGAGTCACTATAATAATGTACAGATGGGACTCACATCAGATCGGGTCTGTATCTATGTATGATGGCGCAGTAGGCGAGGCCGGATCTGAGGCCGGCTTCACACGCGGCCCTGGCTCCGTATTCTGTCCGAGTCACTATAATAATGTACAGATGGGACTCACATCAGATCGGGTCTGTATCTATGTATGATGGCGCAGTAGGCGAGGCCGGATCTGAGGCCGGCTTCACACGCGGCCCTGGCTCCGTATTCTGTCCGAGTCACTATAATAATGTACAGATGGGACTCACATCAGATCGGGTCTGTATCTATGTATGATGGCGCAGTAGGCGAGGCCGGATCTGAGGCCGGCTTCACACGCGGCCCTGGCTCCGTATTCTGTCCGAGTCACTATAATAATGTACAGATGGGACTCACATCAGATCGGGTCTGTATCTATGTATGATGGCGCAGTAGGCGAGGCCGGATCTGAGGCCGGCTTCACACGCGGCCCTGGCTCCGTATTCTGTCCGAGTCACTATAATAATGTACAGATGGGACTCACATCAGATCGGGTCTGTATCTATGTATGATGGCGCAGTAGGCGAGGCCGGATCTGAGGCCGGCTTCACACGCGGCCCTGGCTCCGTATTCTGTCCGAGTCACTATAATAATGTACAGATGGGACTCACATCAGATCGGGTCTGTATCTATGTATGATGGCGCAGTAGGCGAGGCCGGATCTGAGGCCGGCTTCACACGCGGCCCTGGCTCCGTATTCTGTCCGAGTCACTATAATAATGTACAGATGGGACTCACATCAGATCGGGTCTGTATCTATGTATGATGGCGCAGTAGGCGAGGCCGGATCTGAGGCCGGCTTCACACGCGGCCCTGGCTCCGTATTCTGTCCGAGTCACTATAATAATGTACAGATGGGACTCACATCAGATCGGGTCTGTATCTATGTATGATGGCGCAGTAGGCGAGGCCGGATCTGAGGCCGGCTTCACACGCGGCCCTGGCTCCGTATTCTGTCCGAGTCACTATAATAATGTACAGATGGGACTCACATCAGATCGGGTCTGTATCTATGTATGATGGCGCAGTAGGCGAGGCCGGATCTGAGGCCGGCTTCACACGCGGCCCTGGCTCCGTATTCTGTCCGAGTCACTATAATAATGTACAGATGGGACTCACATCAGATCGGGTCTGTATCTATGTATGATGGCGCAGTAGGCGAGGCCGGATCTGAGGCCGGCTTCACACGCGGCCCTGGCTCCGTATTCTGTCCGAGTCACTATAATAATGTACAGATGGGACTCACATCAGATCGGGTCTGTATCTATGTATGATGGCGCAGTAGGCGAGGCCGGATCTGAGGCCGGCTTCACACGCGGCCCTGGCTCCGTATTCTGTCCGAGTCACTATAATAATGTACAGATGGGACTCACATCAGATCGGGTCTGTATCTATGTATGATGGCGCAGTAGGCGAGGCCGGATCTGAGGCCGGCTTCACACGCGGCCCTGGCTCCGTATTCTGTCCGAGTCACTATAATAATGTACAGATGGGACTCACATCAGATCGGGTCTGTATCTATGTATGATGGCGCAGTAGGCGAGGCCGGATCTGAGGCCGGCTTCACACGCGGCCCTGGCTCCGTATTCTGTCCGAGTCACTATAATAATGTACAGATGGGACTCACATCAGATCGGGTCTGTATCTATGTATGATGGCGCAGTAGGCGAGGCCGGATCTGAGGCCGGCTTCACACGCGGCCCTGGCTCCGTATTCACGAGTAACGCCGTCGCACCAACGGAGTAAGTCACCCACCTAAATAAATAAATATTTCCAACACTCACATCAATTCTGACAAATTTTTAAGACATCCGTGGCCAAGTGGTTTGTATGCCGGGTTTCGTCATGTCGCCTACTCGAGAGTTCCCGGATTCGAATCCCGATGGGGGCAGATGTTTGTGTGATGAATACGAGCATTTGTACTCCAGTCATGGATGTTTAATATGGTTTTCTATATAAATATGCTTATATATGTACAGTATATGTATTCTATCCGTTACCCTAGTATCCCATAACCCAAGCCTTACAGTGCTTACTTTGCGTACAAACCACTCGGCCACCGAGGTCGTCAATCACATAATGAACCTAATGACATAATGAACTTCAAAATATATCTAAACAAAATTTAACTATACTCTGATGAACTTCCTCTGAGCTAAATGGTTATCAGGTTTTTCAAAAGGTCTAATTTTATACGCATATACAACATAATAAAAAAAGCCACAGGAAAAATACCTAAAATTGTAGCTATTCCCAAATTTTTAACGCATTATAATACTACTAAATGGAAGGGTAATGATAAACCAAATAATTTACGTTGAATTGCGAATTTTGTTATCAGTCCAGTTACACCGGCCATCTTTACTCTTGATAAAAAAGTTTAAGAAACATTGGTTTATTTGTTAACTTTTTGTCACAGAATAAGTTGAATATAATATACAAAGGTCAGCTATGAAACACTAGAAAAATCAAGTGTACTTATGACCACACTACTGAAGTGAAACTTCTGTAGGTCCATCTGTATATCTTTATATATATAATTCTTCTGTGAGTGTTTATGTCACTGAACTTCTCTTAAACGACTGGACCGATTTTGATGAAATTTTTTGTGTGTGTTCAAGGGGATCTGAGAATGGTTTAGATTCACAATTTTGTCCGCTGGACAACCCCTATTTTTTTAGGGCGGTACGAAGTTCGCTGGGTCAGCTAGTATGTATATACATTAGTGATGTAGCGAATATTCGCATCCGCATTCGCATTCGCGAATTATCGCATATTTTTGAATATTCGCATTCACATTCGCATTCGCAAAATCTCTGCGTATGTTTTGCGATTATGAATATTAGAAAAAAAAATTTCAAAAACTTGTAGTTATTCCTTTCCTTGAATATTCATTGTTACACAGCTTTCATTTAGCTCCTTTAGCACCGCAAAGTGTGAAATAAGTCCATATTTCAGTAGAATTTGATTTACTCATGTTAATAAATCACTATTCAAACTCTAACCTCAAAATTCACTTGTTTTGTTTACGAAAAGACCGGCGCGAGCGGAATGACACTTCAGCCCAATAAGTTCATATCAACTCGGCAATTCGAACGAGACTGCCACCATGCCATAGACAATTGGCGCCAAATATTCGCATTTGCAATGTTCAAAATAAAATTCAAAAAATGACATTCGTTACATCACTAATATACATGTAAGTACATATACATACTTGATTTACTAACTATAAGAGAAAGAAAAGGTGCGCGCGCACTGCTTTCTCTTGCTTGCGTCTCGTGGGGGACCACGTAACTCCCGTTCGCCTCGCCCGAACACACTTTTTGTAACGCGTAACGCATTCGCCAGCTTACCCCCTAAGTCAAGCGTGCGTAAAGAAGTTTCACTTCAACATTGTTCAGTTTAATTGTTTACGTTTTGTCACAGAATAAGTTGAATATAATAACAAAGGTTAGCCATGCAAAAACTAGAAAAAAATAATGATAAAACAATAATGATAAAAATAATGATAAAACAAACTCACAGGCGTATTATCCTTCTCGGCGGGGAACAGGCTGTGCGTCCTATCCGCCGCAGTGGGAGTTTTGTCGGCGTCGTTTTCATTGAAATTGGTGTCCAAACCGATGTTGTTCAAGTTCGACTTTAACTCTAAAGGCTTAAGGTTCCTTTTGGCCACCGTCCGCGTTTTGAAAACAGCAGCTTGTAGAAAAAAAAAATATGTAAATAGTCAAGCACGTTTCAATAAGCAATCTGCAGATAGATATAGGTCTTTCACGGCCAGTTTCGGTAAACAATGTTCCAAAAAAAAGCTCCAATAGGTTTTTGATTATATTATTGAGACTGGTCGTAAGAGCATATATAAATATATTGGTTCTGATTTCTAATGTCGGCACTTCACCTGGCTATTCGTATTTCCTATTAGTGAACTTGACAACAATCTGTCCTTATCATCTTACTAATATTATGAATGTGAAAATTTGTATAGTTTGTTCCTCAATCACGCAAAAACTACCGAACGGATTTGGATGAAATCTGTTACGCATATAGTTTATAACCCGGATTGAGATATAGGATACATATCATCCGGGGAAAAAATTGGTTCCTGGGGGATACTCAAAAAACTCAAGTTACGAGGACAAAGTTGTGGGCGGCCGCTAGTGCTTTATAAGGATAGAAAGTTACGGACCGATGTCAAGTTTACAAATAGCAAACACAAATAGCCAAGTGAAGACAGGCGGGCCATATGCTTGTCTTCCATCCTTTTAACATAAAAAACAACAAAATTGGATATCTTATGAAAAAAATTGAGTCTCCCAACTGTGAAGTATGCTGTGTTGTAGAAGATCTCCAGCACTTGTTGATGGATTGTGTCCGGTACCAGAATGAGAGACAAGAGTTTGTTAACAAATGTAAATTGAATATGTCAGACATTGGTGTGTTTCACAGCATTCTGGCCCAACCGGTCTCGGAAGAGGCTAGAATCCTGTACCGCTTTATATGTCTGCCGCAACTTTCTTCCGACAATAACATATGAATTATTATACATATATTATTAATTGTTGGCTTAGATGATTTGTTAATTTATATAAGTACACGATGGGACTGACATGTCTGTAAAGATAAAAGTCCTTTAAATAAAGAGAGAAAAAAACATACTATATTTGACCTACCTTTTAAACTATCATCCAATAGAGGCGTAGAAGTGTAGACTTGTTCCTTAACCGCTGGTCGTTGTTCTTGAGGTTTTGGGGAGATCTCCCCTAAACTGGGTTGATTAGTTGGCGTGGTGGGGGAAGGGAGGGAGGTGGGAGTATTTGGGTCTAACTTTAGGCTTTGTACACTGTTGGGGGTGCAGGCTATATCGCTGCTCGTGAGGCTTTGGGTCATCTCTTCCATTTGTTGACGGAGATCTAACATCTAAGAGAGTGGAATGAGAGATTATTATTAGTCAAATGCTATAAACGCGTTCGAATGAAGATTTTCTGAAACAGCTCATCCGTCATATCGCATATGACGTCATTGTCTATAAACCAATTAAAATTATTGCTTCTCAGAACAAGAACTTTAAGCATAGAAAGAGTTTTAATTCAAATCATAGTTCGACTAATTTATCTTATTTTTACATATCACGATTAAAACACGGTGAAATAATAGACGTATTAGCCGCCACATTATTACGTCACAGTGTCAGCTGTCAACTCAGTACTTTTAATATTTTCGTAACCAAGGTAACGCATTTATTTACAGTACTAATGACGTCAAGACAGCAAAGCAATATGGCGTCCACTGCGCTTTCGTTTAACTACTCGCGAAATTAGAAAATGTTAAATTTAAATTCATTTTTAAATCAATTAATGATTGAATAAAAATCTTATGGTTAACCCTTTACAATTTCTTAAGACACCTTATAAAATGATTGTAATACCCTATTTTGTGATGAAAATTAAACACAGTTACGCAAACAAGGAACCACTATATGAGGTGATAAATAAAGAGAAAGAAATAATTTATTGACCAATAACATTTACAAATAGAAATAAAAGCATAAATAAAAAATAAAAGCACAAAAATAAGGTCAGCACAAAGCTGCTGCGGCGCTGATTTTCTGGTAGGGCCTAAGGTTGACGTGAATAAAAGTAGTAAATGACACAATCACGGTTAACAATACCACAAACAAAGAAACAATGTAAGTAAAAAAAAATTAAAAGGCTGAGTTATTTTTTTTCCTTTGCCTTAACTTTAACAACAATAAAAAAATAAACTTGATAGTCTCAAGTCTATGGTATAAATAGATATTCTTATACGTCACCTGCTTAGTGGAGTGGTCGGATAGTGTGATGTCATCTTCGTCCAAATCTTCTAACACAGCGATGTCTGAATTGTTATTCACCGACAATAGGGAAGCTACGGACTGCATGTCTTCATCGCTGGAACAAACTTGCTTTAAAGAAACGGCTATCTCTCGTTCTGATTCATTTAATGTTACATCTAGGCCCAGTTGCAGCAAATTTGCTAAATCTCGATTCAACTAAAACTAGATTCGACCCATAGGAAAATGTCAAAATTTCAATTTGACATAATTGTACGGGCTGAATCTAGTTTTTGTTAAATTGAGATTTAGCAACATTGATATAATTGGACCTTAGATACGGAATGTCTTTATTTTATCGTGCTGTGTACATGTCAGTATTAAACTTTAATAGAATTTCAATGTTAGTGACGTCTGCGTCTGAAGGCATAAGCTCAATAACATTGATCTATAATAATAATAATAAAATGTCTCCACAAAGTATTTTTTTATCTCTAGTCTAGTTTTTTTATTTATTTATTTCTCTCACAAAGTAACATTATAATTACAAAAGGGTGTTGAATTACAATTACGGTAAAACAATGCAGTTCTTTGAGAGAGCTGGAGATTGTACTAGGTTACAAAACCTGTGTTACGACCCCCAGGCTCAAAACCTCTTAAAACCCGTTTTCTTGCTAAAGATTCTTTTGCATAATACATTTTTCATTGTGATCTACCCTTGTAGTCTAGTATACATATACACATAAATTGAAATGGAAATAATATTATTTAAAACGGGAGGATTTTATTTTTCTCCTCTGGGATTTTGGTCTCCTCAAAAGTTTAAATTGCAAGTCTACATAAATGTGAAAGAAAATGTTCTTAAGTCGAAACATGCGGTCAACCTTATCTTATTAAAAAAAGGAGACATTGAGTATTAACACACATTGAAAAGATTTCAGTACTTACGTAGCTGGTCCTTCGCGCAGTAACACCGAATGTAGCGTCAAATGTATAGACGCAGATGCTACCTGTCATACAAACATATCATCATCATCATCTGTCTATTAATGTCCCCACTGCTGGGGCACAGGCCTTCTCTATGGATGGAATAGGGAGATTGGGTCATGACCCACCACGCGGACCCAGTGCGGATTGGCGGGTGCCTACGACTGCAGATGCAGCCGGGACCAACGGCTAAACGTGCCTTCTGAAGCACGGATGAAGTTGAGATAGAAGATTTTTGTTCACCCATCCCATGACCGACCACTGCGAAAGTTGCTGAACTTCAACGATTGCAGCTGAACGCGCTACCCACCCGCGCCATCGAGCACCTCACAAATATATACTGTTAGTTAAATAGTCTAACCATTGATGTAGATTCTATGATGATTCATAGTTATAGATACGTCATACACGCTTCTAATTTAGCAATACGAAAGTCAGGTAATTGCTAGACTTGCAATCAATCGATTAAATAGAACTTGTTTTTACGGGTTAATGCACGAAACTTTATTTATTTATTGACGTACAATATAAAACTTTATTAAGTAAAATCAAACTTTTATTACATAAAAGTTTGATTCTGACGACGTTGCCTGTAAAGGCTACGAAACGTCAATAAATAAATAAAGTTTCGTGCATTAACCCGTAAAAACTAGTTTTATTTAATGAGTGATGTGCGTGAAAACCTAAGAAACAAATATTAATCGATTAATTTTAAAATGCAATAGTTGTATTTTTTAAGCATTTAACTGCTTGATGCTTAAATCGAAATGAAAAATTCCACGCGGGCCAGGCAGCAGACGGGACTCGAACCCGCATCCTGCGCTATCCGGGCGGATGCACTGACCATTACGCTACTGCGGCCCTGGTGGCCCACAATGTTAAATGGATACCTTTGCAAGTATTAATTTACAATTAGTGTGGGTTACATACAATGCAAAAAGATGGCGCTGCCTTTCAGCCTAAGAAATGCTAGAGAAAATTCGACACAGCTGACAGCAACAATGTATGTTTAAAACGCATTCCGCATTGGCACGCCAAACACTTCAAGAAACATTAGAATGCGTCACACCGACATTCTAATGTAAATAAAAAAAGAAGATTAAGATTTGTATTTATGTATACTAGTGATGTAACGAATGTCATTTTTTGAACATTCGCGAATGCGAATGTCTGGTACCGACATTCGCGAATGCGAATGCGAATATTTAGTTTTTTTTTAAATTGGTGCCAATTATCTATGGCATGGTGGCAGTCCCGTTCGAATTGCCGAGTTGATATGAACTCATCCGACTGAAGTGTCATTCCGCTCGCACCGGTCTTTCCGTAAACAAAACAAGTGAATTTTGAGATTAGTGATTGTGAGTGGTAATAGTGATTTATTAACATGATTAAATCGAATTCTAGTGAAACATGAACTTATTTCACACTTTGCGATGCTGAACGAGCTAAATGCAAACTGTGTAACAATGAATATCAAGGAAAGGCAGAACTACATTTTCTCCAAATTGTTTTTTTCTAATATTCATATTCGCAAAACATTCGCAGAGATTTTGCAAATGCGAATGTGAATGCGAATATTCAAAAATATGCGAATATTCGCGAACGCGAATGCGAATATCCGTTACATCACTAATGTATACGACTGAAGGACTTGTATCCATGGTCATGAATAATTAAAAAAAAAGTGTTCGTTTTAAATTCATTTGGTTTTGAGAAGTAGTGTTGTGTTGCCGTGTAGTTTAGTGCAGTGTAGTGTTATACTGCAGTTATGTTGCATAGCATGTTACATTGTAGTCTGTCGTGTAGTGTAGTTCATACCTTCCCCGTAGACGGGTCTAGTTTGAGACGTAACGTTCTATGTGACGGTTCTAAACTGGCATGTTTGCGCATGTTGATGTTGCAGCACGCCACGCGACGACGTTTGCCGGTAGGAGATACCTGGATAACAATAACAAAAACCTTTAAAATATCGACAATCATTATCATCCTATTAATGTCAAATTACTGCTGGGGCACCGGCCTTCCCTATGGATGAAATAGGGAGAATGGACCAAGACCCACCACGCGGTCCCAGTGCGGATTGGCCAGTGCTAATATATATTTATAATCTAATGTAACATAATAAAAAAACGACAATAAATTACTATTATTAGTGAAAATATGTAATACCAGCAATCCGCCCCGGATATGCACAGGTAAACTTAATTTAGTGTGATAAAGGTGTCGATTCCGACATTAAATTTAAATTAAATGCTTAAATTTAGCATCAGTCTTTACTTTTCATACTTTATAGAGAACAACAAGGGTACATTGTCAAATTTTAGTTTAGGCATAGAGAATCATGCTAGAATCGATTCAAATATGGAGCATATGTTACTCAGGATAACTAAAGATTCTACTATAAAAGAATTTTTAAATTTGGTTCAGCGGTTCTTTAACCTCTAACCTATATCGAGTTCCTCCGTGTTTCGGAAGGCACGTTAAGCTGTTGGTCCCGGCTGCATCTGCAGTCGTCAGCACCCACCAATCCGCACTGGGCCCGCGTGGGTCATGGCCCAATCTCCCTATTCCATCCATAGGGAAGGCCTGTGCCCCAGTGTGGACATTAAAGGCTGATGATGATACATTTTTAATAATATAAAAATTACAAACCTATTAAAAAAATAAACATGAATTTTGATCCCACCGAAAAACCAATAGAAGAATGATATAATATTATCGGGTTGAACAATATATAAATCGCATATAAAAAGCTACTCACATCTTCTAATACGAACGTCCAGTCCTTATCTTCTAGCTCGTTGGTGCGAGAATCCTTGAACAACGTCACCGCTACCGTATGATTCTCGGGCAGGGGAAATATTACCGAGCCTCTGAAATATGAAATAGAACTTTAATATCTCTATCCAAGAATAATTTTGTTGAAAATCGATCTAGTAAATAGGGCATTGCAGTATAAAGCAAAACTAACTCCACATCACTAAGTTGTTTGCTAAGAAAATTTCTCGAGTGAAGTTTTAATGTTTAAATAATGCCTTATATTGTTTTTGACTACGCGATCATCTTACGGAGCTCCGTGGATCGTCCAATGTACCTTAAGGACGGGTTTCGGGCACGATTTTGATCGTGATGTTGTATCTAGGGCAGTGTTTCCTAACCTTTCCAATACGGCTACCTCTGTAACCTATTATGAAATTAGATTTTACCCCGACTTTAAAATGTTATGAATGCAAACAATACAAGCAAATTTTAATGTTTATTAATCAAAAATTTATTGATATCAACCAAAACAGACTACAAATTGCAGAATAGTATTACAATTTTATCTTGTTTCATATTTAAACTATGAATGAATAATAATTATCATTATGAAGGTTGGAATTATCTTGCATTTATAAGTTTTTTTATGTTAGGTTTAGTTATCGCATCTCAAGTCCTCATCATAAGACGGTTTCTGGCCTTTGTTTTTAATGGAGGTAACTAAAGTTGAAAAACCACCCTCGCATCTGTAGGTGGTGGCAAAGGGTATTATCATTTTTAAAGCTCTGTTAGCTATAACAGGATATTTGGCACCTGATTTTATCCAAATTGTGCTGACATCATACATTTTTAAATTCTACTTTGAAAGTACTACTTTCGCCCAGTCCAAGAATTCCAAATTAGCCGCTACATCTTTGTCTCTAATAATGTCATCATCAGGCGAAAATCTCGCCCCGCCTCCCACTCTCAGCACCCCGCGGTCTCGCTAGCAAGAAGGAGCGCATACCACGTGCGTTACTGCGCGGTGTACTGTATTTTATTATTATTAAGATTTGACCAAATAATGAGGTTCTTCGTAACCCCCCAAATATAGCTGATTTACCCCCAAGGGGGTAATTACCCCTAGGTTCGGAACCAAGGATCTAGGGTTGTGTGATTCGTCAGACCAAAGAAATGAGGATTCTCCGCATGGCAGGAGCATTGGCCAGTAGTTCAGTCCATCCATATGGAAGGTGAGTTTTCAGTACTGAGGAAATTAAAAGCTGATGTCGGTGATAATGATAACAATGATATTTCCCACATCTCACACCAATTAGGCCCCAAAGTGCTATGATTTGTTCGCCTGTTTTCAAGGTGTCGCCTACTCGAGAGATCCCGGGTCCCTGCCAAGGTATCGTATCCCGGTGGGGGCAGATGTTTATGTGATGCGATCCGATACACGGATATTTAATATGTATTTCTATATAAATAGGCATTCTATCCGTTATCCTAGGCTCCCATAGCACAGGCCTACAGAGCTTACTTTGGGGCTATCCAAACTAATGCGAGTTTTTCAAAACGAAAAAGAAGTTATGACCACACGACTGAAGTGAAACTTCTTTAGCTCCATCTGTATGTGTATATATATATATGTGTGTGTACAATATATACATGTATGTACATATACATATTTCATTTACTAGCTATAAGAGAAAGATAGAAAGAAAATGAGCGCGCGCACTGCTTTCTCTTGCTTATATCCCCCACTCAACTTTCATTCGCCTAGCCCGAACACACTTTTCGTAACGCGTAACGCATTCACCAGCTTACCCCCAAGTTAAGCGAGTGTAAAGAAGTTTCACTTCAAATGAAAAAAAAATGGTTGTCTGTAAAATCGGTTTATGGACGATAGTTTTACGTGATAACGTCATAAATAAAACATTTATGAAAAATTGCATAATTGCTAGCTCTGACGTCACGCGAGAAGAAAGATAAATGTGTAGGCGCCTCGGCTTGGGCCGATCGTGGCTCTCTATCGCTCGTTCCGCACTCTCGCTCGCACGCGCAGGCTCAGGCAGAACGTGACACTTTATTGTGCGTGCAGCCGGTATTCATCAATTTATGAATAGAATAGAATATACACACATCAAAAGTGTCTAGGGATCAAGCATTTTTATGCGGATTTCTTGAGATTGAGATGTGGCTTTGTAATAAATTTATGATTTTATAAATTTATATGGATCCTTTTTGGTGCATTTCATAATTTGAATCAGGAACTGTGAATCAAATTCGAGTAAAAGATGAAAATCAGCTGTCAATATTTTCCCTATAAAAACATACAACGCATTGAAGACATTATTAGTGCTACTGTTTCCCTACTACTGATTAAAACCAACGTTATTATGGAGCGGCGACGTCATTTAAGCAGGGAAGAAATGCTCAGAGCCGTGGGAATGATAGAAGCTGGTTCCCGGCAACGTACTGTGGCTTTAGCTCTGAATACAAGTCAGAGTGTTATCAGTCGACTTTGGACACGATACCGAAGCACTGGTACCGTGGCTGAGCGCCATGGAGGACGGTATCGCTGCACCACACGGAGACAAGACCGATACATTCAAATCTTAACTCGAAGAGCTCCAACAATAACCGCCATGATGTTAGCCGTGAGGCTTCATCACTCTTCAGGGAACTTAATTAGCGACCAAACAGTCAGAAACCGCTTGCATGAAGTGAACCTTCATTCCCGAAGACCGCTACGGGTACCACCTATAGCAATGCACAATCGTAGGATTCGATATCAATGGGCTCTTGAACACAGAAATTGGGCAGAAGAACAATGGCGTTTCGTGTGCTTTTCTGATGAGTCTCGTTTTGGTATGAGACCGGATACAAGACGTATACGACACTGGAGAACCCCTGGACGCCAACAGCGATTAAAATCCTGCCAGGAAGTCCATCCTTATAGTGGTGGAACCATCATGGTATGGGCGGGTATTTGGATCGGCGGAAGAACTGAGTTGATTTGGATCAGAGGCAACCTCAACGCTCAAATTTATGCTGAGACGATTGTATCAGACGTCATCGTTCCTCTACAAGTGCAAATCGGTCCCTTATTTCAGTTAATGCATGATAATGCACGACCGCACACCGCAAGAGTTGTAAGACAGACTCTCGCCGCAGCTAACATCAATGTCCTGCCCTGGCCTGCTCAGTCGCCAGACTTGAACCCGATTGAGCATGCAGTCGCAAGAAGACCTTTTTTTGTTGTTGCAACGAACATGGGCGGCCATTCCACAGCGTGATTTGGATGAACTCATTTTGAGTATGCCAAACCGATGTTCTTGTGTTGTTAGTGTTCGCGGTAGAAATACGGATTATTAATTGTTTAAGTTACCCAATAAAATTTTAGAGAAAACTGTTATTTCAGTCTTTTTTTCAAACTTTTGTGTTAGTGGTTCAAATGTCAAAAATCCCTTTATTAGGAAAATGGCAAATTTCTTTATTAATGCAAAGGTGACTTGGTTTATCGTTACTGTGACAAACGAAAACACTTTATTTGATGAATCCTTAAAGAAAATTTTAATTAATATCAATCAGGAGAAAAGTTATTGCAAAAATATATGTTGATCCCTAGACACTTTTGATGTGTGTAATATATTTTATTAACCCTCATATTAAAGATATTACACATTTACAGATACAAATTCAATAATCTCAGGGCTAATCAGGAACCTGCCTCAGCATTAGCTGACGTAACATTGTGTCGCACCAAAGCTGTTATTCTGGCAGAGCCTGTTTAGTGACACAAAAAAAAGACATGTCATAACATTTTTATTACTTGAAAAGATGTATGGGCTTAGCACAACGATATTAAATACACTAGATACACCAACACGAACAAAATCGTGGTCGAAACCTGACCAAAAGGCACATTGAACGATCCACGGAGCTCCGTAAGATGATCGCGTAGTGAAAATCAGTATAAGGCATTATATAAATATTGTAATTAACCTTTAATACATACTGTATAAGGTCTTAAATAAAACGCATGCGTCAAGGACTTCTGACAGTTCGAAATGCAAACTCGTAAAATTTTACGACTTATTGCTATATGCGGAAGAATTTAGACCTTAGTTCTTTGACTCTACGCGCAATTCTGAACGCGCTGTTAGCAATATAGCAGGCACGGACCGCGAGGAACAGAGACGGCTATATGGCGACGTATAACCGACCATGCATTTGAATATCACAAATATTTTATATTAAATCAGTTTATAGTAAGCATTAGATCAAAATTTGCTTCAAATGCGTTAAATTAACAAATATTGACAAGATACCTGTCGAAAAAACGTCAGTTTTCGTACTCTAAATATTATTTTCGCAATTTTTCGCAGAGCTCTGTGGCATCTTGACTTTGTAACGGTCCGCGCGTGACTGTGAACCAAGGAGTGCTTGAGTGGAGTTCAAGCACTTCTCGATTGGGACACATTCTGAGCGCTCTCGGTGTATCTACGGTATTTAATATCGTTGGCTTAGCATCATTTGGTTTCGTAACAAAATATAAAAATGACACGTTATCACGTCAAAAAAAGTAATGGAAACGGTTGCTCACTTGAGAGGCTCCTTGAGCGAGGGCTCCCAGTCGCGTGGCTCCGTGGCCACGCGCCGCGACCGACGGCTCCACACTATACTCAACTTGTTGGGTTTCCTGCACACAAACAGACACACGCATGCCATAAACATTGTTAAACCTGCTCCCCCTTATTAATAAACTAATACTACGCATGGTTTATTTACTCCATGTTTTGTCTCTGTGTATTGAGTGACAAATGAGTAACATGAACAAAACACGGCGTAATTAGTCTAAGCTTATTCCTTGTTTATTGATAAGGGGGACTCGGTTTACCCACTGAGAACATATTACACATATACATTTATATACAGAGTGTTACAAAAATACAAATAAAACTTGAAGAGCGATGAAGTACATCATATAAGGAGTCTTGTCTAATTTTCTTAAAATATTTGAATGAACTTTTAACCTTTTAAAAAAACAGTTATTTTTAATGTTCCTCGAACTAGTAAAGTCTCTTAAAAATATCGATATTTTTTTTAATCATTAAAAACAACTGTTTTTATAAAAAGTTAAAACTTATTGCAAAAATTTTAAGAAAATTAGAAAAGACTCCTTACATGATGTACTTCAACGCCCTTCAAGCTTTATTTGTATTTTTGTAACACGCTGTATATGTATACATATTATGTATGTCGTTATATATAAACTTTTAAATATGTGTCACTAGACACTTTTTGCCACTCTTTCTTATACTACTGCATGCCACTCTGGTATTAATAAATAAATTAAATATATGTTATTTCCCCAACAAATAACAAGTAACATTAACACTTATAAAAAAATGCGTGAATGTCATGGAACATTCGGTGGAAACGAAGTTAAAAGTATTTATATACCACCGTATCATGTATAAATACTGCAAAATCTCGAACGTTAAAATTCTCATACGTTTGGCGGCCTCGCCCGCGACCATACAGATCGTGTGACAGCACCTTCACACAGTGCTGCTCTATGAAATATCATGAAAATGCGGACGTCCGCCCCGTGTTCCCGCCCGTCACAGAAGTAGCTATAATATATATTAATATATCGAAATATATATTATATTATAGCAAACTACCACAGACGGGAGCTATACTATAATATATATTTTGCCCTCACTCGGTCTGCGGTCGTACTTTACCGTAATATACCGAAATATATCTGTCGACATATTGTGGTGACGTCATAGAAATATATATTATAGCTGCGTGTGCGGTCACTCGAAAATTTGTAAGTATTGAAAATATGTTGTAATATGTCTTGCTGTGATTCATATTAATATATATTATAGCTACGTCTGTGACGAGCTTAACGCAGCGCACACCCTTAGGCTTACCATTTAGGCGTAGTCTCTAGATCGATCCGATGGTAAGAGGCGGTGTACTCGAATTTAGCGGCGCGCTTGTTCACGCGCTGCAGTCGTTTCCACACCGACGCCATTGCGATGCAGCACTCTGTAAATATATATATATATATATATACACGCCGTCAAAAATCTGGATGCATAAACAATATACAACGAAGCCTGCGCAGTAGCAATTTTACACACAAAAACCTTAGATTAAAACAAAAAGTAGGTAAACAAAGGTAAGATACGGTACGCTCATATTAGCATTAGGTAAATACTAGCAAACCAGTGAACCAAATGTTCACCAAAAAAAAAATGTATTTAATTAATTGAGAACTTCGGAGATTTTGTGTGGTTTCGTTTGAAATAGAAATCACGTGATTTCTCGAAAACCGGAAGTGCTACGTTACTCAAATCCGGTTTGTAGTCTTATCAGACTATTCTTAACATATAACTTAAACATTCTCTTTATCTATCTCTTACGGTTTGGCCGCTGAAACAGCACCACGGACGGACGGACGGACTTGTCTAATAGATAAGAGATAATATGCTTCAACTCTCCGACTTAACTACATAAGCAACTGTCACACACGCACACTTCTATAAATAAATATTCAATCGAGCGAGCGAGACAACTGTACGCTTCAACACAGCGCGAGCGAAACGGCGAGTCCGTGTCGCTTTGCAGCCGAGTGAGCTGTATTGTTGTCCTTTTCTTGATAACAAATGGCGAATCAGTAACTTAAATTCATGGCAAACCGTGATTGTAGAGGTTTTTTTGGAACGAAGTTCCTTACGGCAGGCTTGGAGGGGATAGGGATTTTGCTGCGCGACCGAACTGAAAAAAATGTGATAGTAAAACCGTAAGAAAAAATCCGTGGAAAAAAGTGCGTGGAATAAAACCGTTAAATGAGACGTGCGCAGGCGCGACAGTCGCATACACAAGCGAGTTTGCAATTTGTGTCGATTCTACAATAGCCGAAGGAACTTCGTTCCTACCGTGTGTTTGGATGTCCAATTGTGACTAGGGATAAAACGATACGAGTAAATACAAGTAACTACTCGATACTTTTCTTTCGATACCAAGTACTTTTGGCATCGATACTTTAAAACAGAGTAACAAGTAGTATCGAGAAGTAAGTACTAGTATCGGTACTCGGTCGGTCACTCACTGAGAAGTATCAAAAAACCCATAGGAAGATTATTTACTCTATGGTAAGGTGTCTAGTTGGATTTTTTTGTTTCGCGAAGGCATCTTTTCTACTGCTCAGTAAGTCATTCGTTCATCGCGTGGCGTGAGACGTTATTTTGTTTTCGTTAAATTAAAACTGTGACCGAATTTGTAATTGTTATATCGTTCGTCAAGATTTATCGATACAAGTAAGTATCGATACTTTTCATTCGGTACCGAGTAGGCATCCATACTCTTTGACCGATACAGTATCGATACCTAGATCAGATGGTTTCGTTTCATCCCTTTGTGACTAAAGCGGATTGTGGTCATGCACCACAATTTAAGCGGATCACTTTGGAGCCGCGAGTGCCATATCTTCCCTTTTTGTTTTAATCTAAGACAAAAACCGTCTCCTGAACAAACTGTGTTTTTGGGGTTGCTTACCCAAAGGGTAAAAGCGAGTCCCTATTAGTTAACTCCACTGGCCGTCCGTCCGTCTGTTTGTATGTCACCAGGCTGTATCTCATGAACCGTGACAACTAGATATATAGTTGAAATTTTCAGATACGATGTGTTATTAGTGAAATTTGAATAGTAAACAAAATTAAAATTTGAAGTTAAGCAACTATTGCAGTGGTCGGCATTTAAGCCGTTGGTCCCGGCTGCATCTGCAGTCGTTAGCACCCACCAATCCGCTATGGGCCCGCGTGGTGGGTCATGGTCCAATCTGCCTATTCCATCCATAGGGAAGGCCTGTGCGCCAGCAGTGGGGACATTAATAGGCTGATGATGATGAATGGTAAAATTTCACATGGCTACTCCCGTCCGAGTCACATTCATATTGCCTTAACGTCCATGCACCAGCTATCTTCGCGTTGGACTTTACCACCACTTTACATGGGGCGGGTAGTCATTTGCCCACCTATATTATACTCTATTCAATTTTCTCCGAGACAAAAGATAAACGAACCACAAAAAGGATTTTCAATAGGTCGAATTATAAGCGCATATAAAATAATAATTTAAAAAATAAATGACATTAGAAAGACCTAAACCTGTAGCTATTCCCAAACTTTGAACGCATTATAATACTACAAAATTGAAGAGTAGTGATAAAGTGTAGGAATTTAGGTTGAAATGAGGCATTTTGTAATCAATCTGGTTACACAGGCCAATTTAGTTTTAGAAAAATTGGTTTGTATTTTTTTGTGTCAGAAGCAGTTGAATGAAATTATACTTTATTCAAATTGACTTGTAGAAAGAAAGCACTTCTGAATCGTCCAATAGTTTTCCCTACCACCCAATCAGATATAGAGTATAGCTTTAAAAATATGAACAAATGATATATCTCAAAAACTCACATCTACTTTCGCCGCATATGTTCAACCGAAGCGCCACATTATCCACTCGGCTCTGAAACAAATTAAATTATTGTTATAAATAACAGATCGCATCAATTTGTTATCATTAATGCGACGCTTATCGCAATACTAGCGCAAATAATACTTCTGTACAGTAGTTGTTCAGTGAGTAGCATCATTTCATTTGACGACCTGCATAGCACCAGCTTTTTGAAGAGTCGCCTAATTAGATGTCCTGGGTTGAAATCCCGGTGTGGCAAATATTAGTATGATGAATACCTAATATATACTTTTATCAATTTGACTTATTGAAAGATCTATTGAATCGTACAATATTTTTCCTACTATTCAGGACATATTTTAGATTTTAGCTGATGAAAAGAATGAGCGCAAGAAACTCATCAGCATTTGACAGAAACAGCAACATCATGTCGCTACCGATACAGTTATGTATTCTTAACAGTAATTCAAAATCAATACCGCAGCACCCGTTCACGAGCATGACACATGAACCAGCCATCGCTTCGTTTAACCACATTTTAGGGAATGTAACGAACGACCCGCCTCACACGACACGACACGACAATACGAACTTTAGTACCTAAATCTTAACTGTGAGAGAAAATCTCATTTATTAATATTTATTTTCCAAAAATATTCAATGCCAGCGACTGTCCAAACTGCTCACTTATTCTTCGTTTATTTAAGACGCTATCAATCAATATCAAAAAGTAAATAATCGATGTAGCCGTAGCACGCCTTATATTAAGAGCGAACGCGAGCTGACAGACATATGAGAAATAGGTATTTGAAAATACTATTGCTGTCAAGCATGCATTGGCTCTCTGAAAATACGGTTAAAAATTACGAAATTTCAGGTTTAGATTTCTTCCTCGTATAGTAGTAGTAGTTGCTTAAGTTCAACAATCGCAGCCGAACGCGCTAACCACTTACGGTATCGAGCTCCTCAAATTGGTATATGTAATACCAAAAAAATCACTCGCACCGTTGCCTACCCTGACCAATCGCCATGAAGCCCTGGAACCGTACTCACGGACAGAAACACCACAAAAAAGAAGTGTTATAAATCTAAAGAAAAGTTTACTAGAAAAAAATCCACGCGGGCCAGGCAGCGGACGGGACTCGAACCCGCACCCTTCGCAATCCGGGCGAATGCACTAACCATTATGCTACCACGGCCCTATTCGCCGCGTCGAAATTTTCCTAGCCTTAAGCTGCAAGGCAGCGCCATCTCTTCGCATTTTGGTAACCCACAATGCCGTGGTATCATAATGGTCAGTGCATTCGCCCGGATTGCGAAGGGTGCGGGTTCGAGTCCCGTCCGCTGCCTGGTCCGCGTCGATTTCTTTCTAGTACACTTTTCTTTAGATTTAAACATCTAGCAGTAAAATGCTTAAAAAATAAATAAAAACATAAGAAGTGTTATTTTACTGTGGTCTTCTGTAAGGTGGAGGTTACTTCAAAATCAGCTATGCCCTAACTCTCTTGTAAACAAAGACGTGAGCACAACTAGATCACACTAATATTATATAGGCGAAAGTTTGTGAGTTCGTGCACGGTTCCCAACTTAGGGGTTTTGCCCCCAGATTTAGGGGCTACAAGTGTTAAAACGGACTTTTTAGGGGCTGGAATTTTTTGGGGGTTCTTTTAGGGGCCTTTTATCAAAACTTTCAATTAAATCGAAAAACAAAGCGTGTGTTTTCTTTCAGTTTTGTGTATAGAATGGATCGCACCACGATATGAAACGACTGAACTGACTGTGTGGCGGGTCGTTTCCTAATGCTGTATGGACTAAAGTTAAAAAGCACCTAAATAAGATTTAACAGCCTGTCAGCTCATTTTCGTTTGATCGATTGTCCTTTGGGGAACTGTATTTATTCAATAAAATAATTTACTATAATTAAATATGTAACGTTTTAATTTATGAGCAACGAAAGAAATTGGGTAATACGTAGGTACATATAAAATTCGATATATAGGGGATTTTAGGGGAATTTAAAAAATACTTAGGGGAAAATTTTGGTAAGGGTTGGTAACACTGAGTTCGTGAGCATGTATGTTTGTTACTTCTTCACGTCTAAACGGCTGGAGTGATTTTAATAAAATTTGGTATGGAGTTAGCTGACACCCTAGATTAACACATAGGCTACGATTTACTGCGGGTAAATATCCCTAATAAACCGCGGGTAACACCGCGGGGCGCAACTAGATATTTCATAAACGCAACACGGAATAGTGTCGTTCTATTATTACTGAACAAATGAATATCCGATCACGTTGAGGTGTGACCCGACACTGCCGCAAAGGGGTCAAGGTTGTGATTAAATAATAAATAAACCTCGCGTTTATCTAGTGCTATTTAAAGATACACTTAGACTAAACAAATGAGGTTATAATCACTATACAGTAGATCGCCGATTATCCGAACGCCTATTAACCGAATCGCCAATTATCCGAATCGGTCCTAAGCGTAATATAAAAAATTGAAACCAAGTTTTTTTGTTGTAACACGTTGGAACTCGCTGGAGTCCAGATATATTTCAACTGTTATGGTTGTAAGCTAGAGGCGAGACACTACATGTTTTGCTTCGCGTGGTTTTTTTTTGCTACTATGTACCTCTATTATTGTATTTAGTATTGTAGAACTATGTTTGTTAAACATAATAAGGTTTATTCTATGTGTGACAGTTCGTTTTTCTTTATTACTAGTCTAAGTCCGATTATCCAAATTTTCGATTATCCGAATCGACCCCGGTCCTAATTAATTCGGACAATCGGCGTTCTACTGTATTTTAAATGTTTAAAGGAAGGTTAAGGCCCTTTATATTGCGAGTATGGTTAGGGGTTCGTTGACAACAAAGTAACGCGGCATTGGTCATTGTCGTGGATATAATGCAGTTTCTCTCCCCGTCATCGAAAAAAAAATGGAGTGAACTCGTATATCTATATTATAAAACGGAAGTTTGTTTGTTTGGTTGGTTGAATGTGCTAATATCAGAAACTACTGAACCAATTTGAAAAAAATATTTATATATGTATATAGTCTTTCAATTTGGATAGTGCATTTATCGATGAAGGTAATAGAAAGGCTATATGCAGACTCGTCTTTCCCAGTGGGCACTTTGGGCAAGTGCCCAGGGCCCCGCGTTCGATAGAGGGCCCCCTCAGATCAAATACAAAGTCCCTAGTGCCTGTTAAATCAGCAAACGGAAGTTATAGGGGCTCCATTATTCATATGCCCAGGGCCTCCAATAGGTCAAAGACGGCACTGACTATGCCCTAACTCTCTTGTAAACAAAGTCGCGAGCACAGCTAGTTATTTCATAAACGCAACACGGAACAGTGTCTTTCTTTTATTACTGAACAAATGAATATCCGATCACGTGTGACCCGCCACTGCCGCAAAAGGGTCAAGGTTGTGATTAAATAATAAATAAACCTCGCGTTTATCTAGTGCTATTTAAAGATACACTTAGACTAAACAAATGAGGTTATAATCACGATATTTTAAATGTGGAAGAAGGTTAAAGCCCTTTATATTGCGAGTATGATTAGGGGTTTGTTGACAACCAACTAACGCGGCATTGGTCATTGTCGTGGATATAATGCATTTTCTCTCCCCGTCATCGAAAAGAAGGGGTTCAACTCGTATATATATATATATATATACTAATATTATAAAACTGAAGTTTGTTTGTTTGGTTGGTTGAATGTGCTAATCTCAGAAACTACTGCCCCAATTAGAAAAAAATATTTATATATGTATATAGTCTTTCAATTTGGATAGTGCATTTATCGAGGAAGGTAATATAAAGGCTATATGTATAACATGGAGGAGCTCGATGGCGCAAGTGGTTAGCGCGTTCCGCAGCGATCGTTGAATTTAAGCAGCTTTCGCAGTGGTCGGTCATTGGATGGGTGACCATAATTTACTATCTCGAGCTCCTCCGTGTTTCGGAAGGCACGTTAAGCCGTTGGTCCCGGCTGCATCTGCAGTCGTTAGCACCCACCAACCCGCACTGGGCCCGCGTGGTGGGTCATGGCCCAATCTCCTTATTCCATCCATAGGGAAGCCTGTGCCCCAGCAGTGGGGACATTAATAGGCTGATGATGATGATGTATAACATGAGGAGCTCGATGGCGCGTTTCGGCTGCGATCGTTGAACTTAAGCAACTTTCGCAGTGATCGGTCATTGGATGGGTGACCAAAAATTACTATCTCGAGCTCCTCCGTGCTTCGGAAGGCACGTCAAGCCGTTGGTCCCGGCTGCATCTGCAGTCGTTAGCACCCACCAATCCGCTCTGGGCCCGCGTGGTGGGTCATGGCCCAATCTCCCTATTCCATCCATAGGGAAGGCCTGTGTCCCAGCAGTGGGGACATTAATAGGCTGATGATGATGTATAACATATTAACATAAGCATACGATCAATAGGAGCAGAGCACCAAGGAAAAGGGTCAAAATATTCCATTTGAGAGGTTCTGTCCCGTCGCGCGTTAACGGTAAAGGTACTCAAAAATCAGGTACGACGGAATTGTACTCCTTTAAAAGTTCTACAAAAAAGTCCGCGGCAGCATACGTCTATCTTTGAACGGTGACCCACTACTTAACCCGAAAATCAATGCGGGTGAAACTGCAGGACACCTCTAGTAGAGGATTTGGAAGAAAGTCTGAATTGCCAGAATTACGCACAGAATTTACGGAGTTTTACTTGCAGAATGGAAGAAGGTTATTTTGAAACACAGAGTTAATAAAATCAATACAAGAGGACAAAATACAAGTTGAAAGTAGGTTGAACAGTTAAAAGATAGCATGAAGACGCTGGCGAAGGCCGAAACTCGTCTATAAAGATTGGATCAAACGCGATTTCAAATGTAGGTCCTTAGAGCAAAACAGACGCACGTCACCTCTGGTGACGTCAGAAGCGGTACAAACGTATTAAAAACGATTAAGTAATACTCATTTTAATCTAAAATTTGCGAAAGATATGATCAGTCTGTTCTGTCACAACACCTCGTTACTGAGTGAAGATAATGTGCGTTTGAACCAAGTGGTGACGTCGATAAATGAATGTTATTTAATTATTATACAGCACTTAATCTGCGCTCTTGAAAGTAAAGCAACTTTCGCAATGGTCGGTCACTGGATGGGTGACGCAAAAGTTTTTATCTCGAGCTCCACCGTGCTTAGGGAGGTACGTTAATCCGTTGGTCCCGGGTGCATTTGTACGCACGAACCAATATCGAATTCGAATAGTTTGCGAGTCCGAAAAGCTGTCATTAGCACCCACTAATTCGTACTGGGGTCTCCCTATTCTATCCAGAGGGAAAGCCTGTGCCCCAGCGTGGGGACATTAAAAGACTGATCATGGCTAAACTTAATAAAGAAACATATGTAATACAATCTAAGTTTAATAAGCCTGTTTGATGAAGTAGAAAGTTTTGAATAATGGGATGTTGATTATATTAGGTATGGCGTCAATCCATATGAATCTATACTTTAGAGTGTTGACGCAAATGAGTAATATCAGCGCTTTTTTCGCAGCTTCCTCATTTTTGTCGCGAACATCGTCATTATCACATATAAAAGACAAACAACAATTTACTCTATTGCAAAAGAAATAGAGTGCTAAATAAATATGAATAATGGTAGACTATAAATGTAACTGTCACACCCACACTTGGTGGAATGCACCCAAACAAATATAAGTGAATAAAATCATCATGCATTATATTATTACTCAGGCAGCAGTATTTGTTGTTCTGTGGGAATACATTCCTATTTCTATATAGTTAGTTATATAGATAGTGGAACTTGATACAGCAACTGGATAAGGGACCAATAGACAATGTTGAATTATAATGAGTAGCTTTGGTTGTTTTATACTACAGTGGAAACCGGATATAGCAACATTGAAGGGACCATATAACTTCAGACGTGTCCTGTAGTTGTTATAAGCAATATACAAAAGTAATCATATTATTGTCATATGTATGTATGTAGTATGGTTATAGATAATAAATATATGCTTAGTAATAAGTTTACTATGAAAAAATGGAAGTACCTACAGTATATTTTGTTTTGGTGGAACAAATAAAATGGTTAGTCATTATAGCTGATGAATATCGATATGAACTTTATCAATATTCATGGGCTATAAGTCGTTTTAAGCGGTATTTGCGGTTTGTTTACTTAGGGGTTTATATAGTTTCGGTCGGGACCTTGCCAATTGGTCGTAATAACTTTTTTCGTCGTATTAACGGTTTTGACTGTATATGTATTTTATTTTTCAGTAATCTTTATCTTTTCTGTTCTTAAAACACCGAAACTATGTATAATTATTATAAATTTACTTTTTACAATTATTATTATCCTAAGTTTAATATCAATTTCTGCAATGAGTAATCAAATTGATAGTGAATAAAAGTACACTGGTAAAATTAAATCCAAAATATTTTTATGAAGTATCAACATTAACCTGCAGGTAGCACATTAACAGTTTCAATAAAAACCATTTCGATAACAGCATGCCGCATGAGTAACTCCCGTTTGAAGCTGTATCTAATAATGCAGATTTCCTGTTGACCATTACCATCCGTTAATATAAATTATTATTAACTTTATACTGATAAACATAACATGGTCGCTTTATTTATTACTGATGTTTAATTGGTTACTTATTATAAAACATTAATATATTTTTCAAATCCCATTACATTAAGTAATGTTTTCTCAAACAAAAATTTAATTATATTCATTCATTTGTAATATTACATACATGCAAAATAATATTTAATAAAAACATGAACTGGTGAGATGACTGAGAACTGAAATTGAGGGAAGAAGTCTCGTTATTCTATGTATTCTCTTAAAAAATAAAATATGTTACCTGCTTATATAAAAAAGTTGAATATTAAATTCACTATGCCTAAATTAAAATTTCTTTTGAGTTTTAAATTAATCATTTAATGAAGAATACAACAATATCAATATCTTATTCTTCTTAGAAATAAAACTTTACTCAATAACTATAGCTACCAGCTCATACACATTAATTATAACTATTAATTATACTAGTGTTATGGACAACATACACACAATTAACTTGCAACTCATAAGAAGCATACTAAACAAAACAGATCAGCATTAATTAATACATCATATATATATACCTTTATCTGTACTATAAGACGTTATTTCGTACCAAATTTCAAGATTCTAAGTTCACGGGAAGTACCCTGTAGGTTTTGATTCCTGTGCGAGTTTCAAAAATTTGAGACATAAACGGCAGTATCTTTTGATTACTTTGGCTTACAAGTTTGATTATTTCACAACTCCAAGGGAAAATAGACATGAGTATTAGATATGAATTACAGTTTGATACCTCCATGCGTTACTGAGAAAAAAGTATTGACAAACAGACGGATGGACAACAAAGTGATCCTATAAGGGTTCCGTTTTTCCTTTTGAGGTACGGATCCCTAAAAACACCAATAAATTGTGTAAATACAACATGTTTATTGATATTCGAATTTTCTATAATCCAGTTTCAATATTAATTGATAATTAATTTAAATCACCTGCAGAATAAATTACAGCAATAAGATGTAATATAGGTTTAAAAACATTTTCAATACACCAATAAATAAATGAAAATTATATAAAGCATCATTTATATGGAGTCAAAGTAAATTGTTGTTACATTGGCATGTTTTTTTTCCTGTTTTTCGAATCAGTTCACAAATCAATTGCTTTAATAAATATTTTACTTAATATTGACAATTAAACACAATATAGCTACTAAGTTATATATTTTTTACTTGGGAAGGAATATCAAAGAGACTCATTCTCTTCAAAGTTTAGTTGTCTAGTAACCTATAATTTAAAGTAAGTTTAGTAAGTACAGTAGAAATTGTTCTAGTAAGAGCTATGAAGTATAAAAACGACATGAAAGCACATTTTACAACGGATGAACTGCATTATTATTTCTAGTCATTCTATGGCATACAGACAAGTAAACAAGGGCCTGGTGTAAACACCAGACAGGCCGAACAAACAAACAGACCAGTGCGTCCAACGCGATGTCTAAAAATAACTCAAACCAATCAAAAGAAACCTTATAGAGACACTCTTGTACTTTACATTACATCACTTTATGGAAGTTCAAAAACTGTACCGTGATATCATCATTTCCTGGTCGTGCACCCCACTGCATTAATTAACACCGAGCAAATACACAAGAGCCTTGGGTGCAATAATAAGCTTTAAAGTCAAAATCTCAATGAAACTACTCACAAGCAATTTTTCGTCTACAGTGATTCTCCAAAAAAGAAGATTCCCTAAATGCACTTCGCCTGTTATTCACCACTGGACACAAAACTGTAACTTTATTCACTTGTTCCCAATTGATCACTGGCGAGAATTTTTTGTAGGCTTATTTTTTATGTAAATTACAGTAGGTACATTAACAACCAGATTTTTTCAGTACATTTTTAGTGACATTTTACTTTTTTTTTGGTGTAGCCTACTGCAATAAATTAAATATCGTAATCAGCTGTTTATATTTTTATATGTATTTTAGTGTCAATATTTGTTTCAGAAACAAATATGTAAGTTTGTAAATATGTTTATAAGTAATTGAAAAGAAGAGTTTTTTTATAAAACTATTTTAAATAAATGCCAACCACCATGAAATTCAGGGCAGTATTAATGTATGTACCCTTGCCATGCCATGCCCATATGGTCGATGAGCCAATGACAAATTCCGTCCGTGGAATGAAATGTCAAATTTGTCAAATGAAATAAAAAAAACGTCTTCGGACTTATTTCGAAAATAGTAATAAAATATGATTTTTAATGATTTACAAGTTGATTGTGTAATCTTTTTTCAATAAAGTTCAAGGGTATTACAATTTGTTTGGCGCGATTTCACTTTACAATAAGAACCGGTATAGGTTATGCGATAAATTATTAGTTTCGCATTTTGGTTATGTTTATGCAATAACATTTCTTAGAGAAATTGAAGGAATTACGTAAACAATGTCGAGAATACTGCATAATCGAATGAGGTGAGCTGAAAGCGAGTGCCAATTTCAATAACATTACATTAATTCTTTAGACATTGTACTAAATTACATTTGTTGATACTATTTAGCACTACTTCTTTGGATATGGTTTGATTTTCAATTAAATTAACATAAACGGTAAAATAAAATCATCTTATTTTGTAAAATGTAACAGTGGTACACACACATATATCTGAATTCGATTTTTTTTTTCTCCATATGTATTTGATAAACATAAACTCAAGAAAAGGAACTAACATATCTTTCGTAGAAGTTACGTAGATAACCCTTGTCCTCTAGTATAATTTACTGGACTTTTCATTAGCTGATATAAATTGGGGAACTGTTTTAATATTAAAAACATTGTGTGAGTGTTATGTAAAAATGCACTATATACTCTTGTATTTGCACTATTGAATTCCGTTTAGTTGTCATAGAGTGTGTGATTGCCGTACACAAAAGTATACTTACAATTACATAAATGATTTACTATATAACATCTAATTATATTAAAGATTCTCATAGATATTTTCATTTTTTTATATATATTTTCAGAGCATCCCTACGAAAGCCTACAGCTTGGTCATGTGTAGATAAGCGTGCTGTAGCATTCTCAGTATGGACTGGTAGGAGTATGCTCCTTCGGAAACCGATAGACACAAGTCATGTCCATAAGAGACGATATGGAATGCTGGTAGCGAGAGCTGTTAGGGGTGTGCTGAAGATAAGGTATCTTCTACTTGGAGGGGCTGTTGGTGGAGGAATGACCCTGAATAAGGTATAAATCATTTCTGATCATAAACTGAATGTGTAATGTATTTAGATAACTCTAAAATAGAGTATCTCCCTCTTTTTTCATGTAGGCTACTTTATAATGTATTCGCCAATAAAGTGAGCTAAAATACTCTATTTATAAAGAGCAATAAAAAAAATGTTTTAAGGACAAATAATGAAAAAAACTGTTTGTTTTTTATGTTGTGTACTTTATTTTTGTTCTACCAAAATGAAAAAATAATTAGCCCCAAAAAACGGTGGCAACCATAGGTGTATTACATATTTTCACTATAATGTTAGTAATAGTTCATGAGGAATCATTGAAATAAAATGAACTCTGTACATTATTCAGAACTTCATAGAAATTTGTATTGTATGTAAAACGTATGTGATGAATTACTATTTGTGTCATCAACAGAAATATACTGAATGGAAAGATGGCCTTCCTGATATGGGATGGCTAAACGACCTCCTACCTGACAACGAAAAGTGGGATCGTTTCACAACTACCCTCATCACAGCAAAGGACAAAATCGGAGACCAGCTACAGATTGGTAAGTGACAGTATTTTTTTTCTATTGTATTGTTGAAGTGTGATATTGTAAATAGAGTCTTGCTAGAAGAAGCTATTAATTAATAAAAGTCTTATTAGATGTAAACATCTTTTTAGGTATCCTGTTTGGTAGGAGTATTTAATTAGTAAAAAAATAGGTATTTAAAGCCAGTGAAATATTCCTAATTAATGATATCATAATTGGTATTTTAACATACTAAGTAATCAATATACTGAAATAATTGTTTTGATCAGATCTTGCTTCATACCAAACCATACACACTATTAATATAAGGGGTCAGTGTACATGTATAATGATTGTAAATTAGTCCAAAATATTCAATCAGTTTGTTATACAAATTCTACAAAAAATGTATATCTATAAATAATAAAAAAAGAATTTGTGTATAAACAAAACTTTAGTGTTCATTTCATTGTGCAAGGCTAATATGCTGTATTAACCTAACAACAGAACTTATTGTGAAAACATTGTTTATTTCTAATTTACTTTATATATGGTCACTCAAAAGTCAAAAATTATAAAAAAAAATGAGACTTTTAGCTCAGTTGGTTTCGATAAAGTAGGTCAGTATTAGGTTCTTGACGAGTCGTCTACTGGTAGGTCTACAACTGACGCTGTCGCTACACTCAGATCCGCGCCTCTGCGACGCGACGCTGGTGTACCCAAGGTGGCGAAACTTTGCTAGTGGCTAATAATTCTGTAATAATAATGCTTCTGCTTCCTAATAACTTTAAACAGGACCACTTTAATGATAAAAAAAATACTTACGTCAAAATATTAGAAAAAGTTCAATACTTTTAGCTAAAAAGTCGGTATTCAATAAAGTAGGTCTAGTATTAGGTTCTCGACGAGTAGTCTACTGGTAGGTGTGCAACTGACGCTGTTGCGCTTTGAATGTTCCAAAAGATATACTAAATATTTCAAAAAGTTAAAAACTTATAGCTGGAAAGCCAGTTTAAAAACGCGTATATCAACCAAGTAGGTTATATTTCTTGACAAGAGGTCTACTGGTAGGTGTGCTACTGACGCTGTCGCTACACTCAGATCCGCGCCTCCGCGACGCTCGTGTGGCCAAAGTGACGCATCTACACGAGTGACTAAAAATATTGCTTGTACTTCTTACTAACTTAAAATAGGAGCACTTTTGTGATATAAATATTAATAAACGTCAAATTATTACAAAAAGTTTGATACTTTTAGCTAAAAAGTCGGTCGCTTTTTAATAAAGTAGGTCTAGTATTAGGTTCTTGACGAGTGGTCTACTGGTAGGTGTGCCACTGACGCTGTCGCTACACTCAGATCCGCGCCTCCGCGACGCTGGTGTGGCCAAGGCGGCGGAACTCCGCGAGTGGTTGGCGCAGCGCTACGAGGACGCCGTAGCTGCTGCCGCCGCTAACAATGCTACTACGCAAATGGGTCAGTGTTGCCAGTTTTTAGTGTTTTGCTATTATTTTGGTAATATGCTTGTTGGTTTCAAGTTTTGAAGTTTGTTTAATTTTTATTATATACGAATTTTATTCCATTCCTATTTCTGATTAATTAAAGTAATGGTCGGAAATGTGTTTCTATAATTTCTTCTAATCTTTGTAATATAATGCACATTCTTTTTTATGTTTAAGAAAATTATTTTTTTAAATGAAGTATTTATTTAATCTTAGTGTAATATAACCCGTTTTGTTCCAATTCAAATCCTCGTGGAAAATTTCTCATTTCAGTATCAATTGTTATACTCAATGTACACTAATATCACCTTTAAACACTTTTCATACTGTTATCTTCCATGCGTAACTAAGAAAATTACCAGGATATGTTTGATTCTTTCTAATTTACAGAATCAGCTCCGAAGATAGTGAACAATTTGCAGAGCAGACCGGCACCTAGCCCTGCTCGAGGGTCGAGCGAAGACTCCACTACATATGGTAACTTATTAAAATATAGAATGAATTTTACAGTACTGTATTTAAAATCTAGTGCAAAATATGTGTTTTAGATGAATAACGTAGTAATACAGCTTAGTGAGTCTATACAAAAAGGTTTTTTCAATAAATATTGGGAGATTAATCGCTACATAGATACTAGTACTACATTCTTTCAACGAATTAGGAATAATATGGAATGCGAACTGCGCTTATAAGTGGTTCTACGCAAATTGCGATCAAGTGGGCGGGGCAAAAAAGAGCGATCAACGCGCCGATCATGGGATTGGTTCAGATTACCGTTTAACATTATCTTAACCAATAAATGGATAGCTGAATTCATTTGCAGAAATATTAGATTTGTGAAAGTATTTTGTTTTGTCAGTCAAGTTTATCTGTATGAGTTTGGAACTATGTTTTAGCGGCATTAGTTCGAGGGTAATGCTTCCATATCATTTCTAATTTGTTGCTTTTTATTCTAAATTAACCTTCAGGACAAACTTAAAACCATAAAATCCCCAATCAAAAAGTGATTTTTGTAGGTGCACTATAATATGACGTAAATATATCAAGTTCTATGTATTGTATTCATTGCCCTAGTATCCCATAATACTAGCCCTACAGTTATTTGGGACCAGGCTAATAGGGTATTTGACAAGTTTTAGAAAACGATCTCACGTTATTGACTAATGTTTATGGAGACCGTGAAAAGTGAATATTCATCATTCTGTTGTGTATTTCAGTAAAAATAACCAAATCAAAAACTCTATTTTCAAGTTGCCGCGAAAACGTTTTTCTGGCCAATATGGCGTCTTACTAGTATGTGACGTCACACGACTGTTATTAAAACGTCAAACGATACAATGTAATGTCACTTTAACCGGAAGTTTACTTGCGTTTGACGTCATTTTAGGGTCCGCCAATCCCAAGCATTTTGGGTCACGTGACAATAGATAAGAAAACTATTATCTTTTTCGTGGGTTTTTAATAAAATTATGAATATTTTTTTGTAAAAATAGTAAAAACCCCTGCCAATATTCATTCTAAACACAAATGCTAACAATTGGCACTTTATTTTTAATACTGTCAAATACCCTATTGAAATTATTGTTAGAAATATTTATGTATTATTGTTTTTTTTACTTGAAACCATAAAATCCTCAGAAAACAGTGAATTTATGTAGGCGCCACTATAATATGCTGTATTGTACACATTAATATTTTATCACTTCTAATTATTCTATCCATTGCCCTAGTATCCCATAATACTAGCTTTACAGTACTTTGTAACTAGGTTTATTAATGTGTTAGAGATATTTATGTATTATTATTTTATTTATTGTTATATTTTAGAGAAACGCGTTCACGCGTTGCAAGAGGAAGTGCTAGCACTACAGGCTCGGTACCAACGTGAACTACAACGGTTGGAACAAGAAAACAGGGAGCTGAGACAGCAAAATATGTTGCTAAGGCAGGGAAGACAGCCTCCGACGAGGAAAGTCAAGGTATCATCAGAATTGTCCCCACTGCTGGGGTACACGCCTACCTTGTAAATTGATAAATAAACCACATTACACAGAAAGAGGTTTAGGAGGTTTATAGACCGTTTGTACGGGAACCAATGTCGCCGGCTCGCCTCCACTACACCTCCATGTAATAGATAACAGCCAATCAAACGACGCGACATTAAATAATCGAACTAATCAGAACTCACACACGAGATCAACGACCGACCAGAACCAAGTTTTGGTCGAGTTATGAGCATTTGTTCATACATAACTTTGGCGTGCCCGCCCCGCCGTCCAGGCTCGTCCGACCTCTTTTTGTGTTTTGTGAAATAAACCGAGACTGACTGCTCAGCGTACTTCCGAAGCAAGTAAAAGCTCTTAATAATAAAGTTATACCTTGTAAAACATTATGAATATATCTACTTTATTTCCCTTTGGCACTGATTTAAAGAGGTAGTTGTAAATAGCAGTTTTGGTAAGTTAGAAATTGTAAATGGCACGTTTAATAACTAGTTCAGCAGTTAAAACTAAGTAGTAGAGTAAACAAGAATGAGTAATAAAAAATAATGAAATGGATCAGTGAATATATAACTGAACAGGAAAATAATTAAATGGGCGGTTAAAAATATTGAACGAGCATCCGCTCGTTCAATATTGACGAAATGAATGACTTGACTCACTAGACGCTAGCAAACGTGTCAATAAATGCATCAATCTCTGAGCATTAACAAGTTGTGACTTGATTAGTTCAAACAAAACAAACTTCAGTCGATGCCGACGCGTACACATGTCACTCTGTATTAAACCGGTTTATTAAGGTTTTAGGTACCTCTTTCATTTCGGACGCTCTCCGAACGAAACCTTTACTAAAAACCGTTATTAACCTTTATTTACCGGTATTTTCGAAACCGGTCAAAAGCCCTGACATAAACATCGCTAATGCTGATGCACAGGCCTTTCCTATGGAGGGAATGGGGAGTTTCAGCGGAGACCCGTCACGCCCGCTCAGTGTGAATTAATTATACCGGAGTATCTCTTATCTATTAGACAAGTCCGTCCGTCCGTCTGTCTGTGGTGCTGTTTCAGCGGCCAAACCGTAAGAGATAGATAAAGAGAATGTTTAAGTTATAAGCTAAGAATAGTCTGATAAGACTACAAACCGGATTTCAGTAACGTAGCACTTCCGGTTTTCGAGAAATCACGAATTTCAAACGAAACCACACAAAATCTCCGAAGTTCTCAATTAATTAAATACATTTTGACGTGACAACGTCTTAAATTAGGTTGCGGCTGGGAGTCACTTATGAAAAAGTGTAACGCTCGGTAACGTTACGATGAGTCTCTCGTGTTAAGTTTAAGTTTACATGTACAATGTTTTAGTAAACAAAATATATTTCTATAGTTAAAATTTGTGCAATTCTTATTTTCATTCAATTCCTTGTTCCTATTGTGCAATTTAATTATATTCATATCAATAAATATTCTACCGAGAAAAAGACGTTGTCACGTAAAATCTTCGCCCGTAAAACCGACTTTACAGGCAACCATTTTTTTTTTTTTTGAAATCGTGTTTTGGTGAACATTTGGTTCACCGGTTTGCTAGTTAGCCGTAATAACTCAGGTTTATTGGTCGGTCCAGCGCTCGCTGATCGACATGTATTCGGGCGTGCTGGACGAGCTGGCGGGCTGGGACGCGGGGGACACTGACCGGCTCCCGCGAGTCGTGGTGGTGGGAGACCAGAGTGCCGGCAAGACCTCCGTGCTGGAGATGATCGCGCAGGCCAGGATATTCCCGCGCGGAGGGGGGGAGATGTGCACCAGGTAACGTTGCCTATCGCTTCTTCATTAAATATACAAATACTGTTACAGATATAACTACCTGCCTGCATATAGTCAATGTTGTACATGCCTGCAATGGCAATTCACACGGTTGAGTATAACCTGCATCTTTAGTGAAATTGTCGATGGTATCTCTTATCTATTAGACAAGTCCGGCCGTCCGTCCGTCCATCCATGGTGCTGTTTCAGCGGCCAAACCGTAAGAAATAGATAAAGAGAATGTTTAAGTTATAAGTTGAGAATAGTCTGATAAGACTACAAACCGGATGTGAGTAACGTAGGTTTTCGAGAAATCACGTGATTTCTATTTCAAACGAAACCACACAAAATCTCCGAAGTTCTCAATTAATTAAATACATTTTTTTTTTGGTGAACATTTGGTTCACTGGTTTGCTAGTGTCAAATAAATAAATTTACTATCCAGCGTTTCCAATGCATCTACATTAGCCTACCCTGGTCTACCTTGTATCTACCTTCGACTACCTCATTCTACCTGCCTGCCTTGCGTTTACGTTGTTCGACCTCACTCTATCCTATGTATACCTCATTGTACCCTGCTTGAACACCGCTCAAGTACTTCTTGGTTCATTGTCATGCGCGAACCGCTGAAAAGTCAAGATGCCACAAAGCACCATGAAAATATGCGAAAAATATATTTATAGTATGTAAAGTATCGTTTTTTCGACAGGTAAATAATCAATGTTTGTTAATTTAACGCATTTGAAGCAAATTGTATTCTAATAATTACTATAAACTAATTTAATAGAAAATATTTGTGATAGTCAAATGCATGGTCGGTTATATAGCCATCTCTTTTCCTCGCGGTCCGTACCTGCTATATTGTTAAAAGCGCATTTACAATTGCGTGTAAAGTCAAAGAAATAAGATCTATATTTTCCCGAATATACTAATAAATCAAAAAAATTACAAGCTTGCATTTCGTACTCAAATAAATGTCATAACTCTTTGACGCATACGTTTTAATTAAGACCTTATACAGTATGCGTTAAAGGTGACTTTCAATGTTTAAATGTAAATGCCTTATATTGTTTTTGACTACGCGATTATCATACGGAGCTCCGTGGATCGACTAATGTACCTTTTGGACAGGTTTCGGTCACGATTTTGTTGTGTTGTATCTAAGGTATTGAATCATCATCATCAGCCTATTAATGTCCCCACTGCTGGGGCACAGGCCTTCCCTATGGATGGAATAGGGAGTTTGAGCCATGACCCACTACGCAAGCCCAGTGCGGATTGGTGGGTGCCAACGACTGCAGATGCAGCCGGGACCAACGGCTTAACGTGCCTTCCGAAGCGCGGAGAAACTCGAGATAGTAAATTTTTGGTCACCCATCCCAATGACCGACCACTGCGAAAGTTACTTAACTTTGACGATCGCAGTCGAACGCGCTAACCACTTGCGCCATCGAGCTCCTCAATTCTTTATTTAGGTAACATAGTTAGGTAAGGTATTGAATATAGCTGGGAAACCATTTTAGTTTCAATACGAAATGTACACTATTAATTTATTTGATCACCAACACAATAAACATTAACACAACAATGAAGCAGGTAATGATAAAGTGCTTGAATCTAATATTATTATAATTTTAGGTAAAGAACACATGCGTTATAGAATAGAAGCAACAAATACTGGTAAACTATCTATGAAAAAAGTCTACTTACTAAGATTAAAAAAATACGTTCAATTAACAGTCTTAGTTGAAATAATGCATTGAAAGAAAAATTGCAATCGAAAAAGTAAGTCAAATTATATTTAAAAAAATGATGTGGTGTCGTGGACACCAGGTAGGAACGAAGTTCCATTTAACGGTTTTATTCCACGGATTTTTTCTTACGGTTTTACTATCACATTTTTTTCAGTTCGGTCGCGCAGCAAAATCACTTCGTTCTAAAAAGTTTATTATTATTATTAATATTATTATTATAAGTAATTCTTATTAATCAGTCTCGTCATCAAATTCTATTGATAGAAAGGAGAAAGACAAAGGTATTATACACTACTCGCTTGTGTATGCGACTGTCGCGCCTGCGCACGTCTCATTTAACGGTTTTATTCCACGCACTTTTTTCCACGGATTTTTTCTTACGGTTTTACTATCACATTTTTTTCAGTTCGGTCGCGCAGCAAAATCCCTATCCCCTCCAAGCCTGCCGTAAGGAACTTCGTTCCAAAAATATTGAAACAAAATTAATTAATCGCAACAAATTACAGATACCATTAATTTATAGGAATAATGACACAATTAAAATCATTTAGTAAGATTCCACGAAATTATTATATCTTGAAAAGCGAGATAGTTTTAATGGAGCAGAAAATGACAGAGTTTATGTTATGTAATATGGTTCACTAGGTAATATAGGATTAAAATACGGTAGGTCACAGTAGGATAGAACTGGGAAGGCAGGGTATTGTATGAAAACCGAGCGTGGCATATTTCGAAAACAAATTTAGTTGAAAAAAAAACATGGTTCCCGGTCACCCGTTTCAATTCTATCGTTTTTGCAGCTTCATGTAGTACAATAATGGCTCAATTACATTTGGTCGTTAACCCGTATCCGGATGCACGAAAGACATAATTCGAATTCGGGCACCCAAAGTAATATTTACACTGGAATATAGGCTGGAAGACGAGATCTGGCAACCAAAACAAAAACTTCCATGAGATATCCGGTACAAACAAATCAAAGCTAAATATAATCAGCGATAGACTCAAAATCAATCTCACGAGTTCTCAAGACGCCGTTACAGTGACAAAAAAACGTTTCATTACCCGCGCACGAAAAATAATTCAAATTATGCGGACACCGCACGGCAGTGAAGTTAGGGATGTGCCGTTTTATTCGTAACATTGTCTGTCCACAGAGCACCTGTGAAAGTGACCCTGTCAGAAGGCCCCTACCACGTGGCGCAATTCCGTGACTCCTCCAGAGAGTTCGACTTGAACAAGGAATCTGACTTGGCTGACCTGAGAAAGTAAGAACACCCTCTTGTAGCCTTCACGACATAATCATCATAAATAAATTATGAAATCTAATAATTCATTAGTCATTTTTAAGTGAATACTGTACCAAACCGTAACGCCATGCGACATTTCAAATCAATATATCTCGGTAATATATTGATTGTGTGAAAGAAGAAAAAATACGTTTCCAATACAATTGACGACCTCCGTGGCCGAGTGGTTGTACGCCGGGTTTCATGGTGTCGCCGACTCGAGAGGTCGCGGGTTCGAATCCCGGTGGGGGCAGATGTTTGTGTGATGAATACGAGCATTTGTACTCCAGTCATGGATGTTTAATATGTATTTATATAAATATACACTTATATATGTACGGTATATATATTCTATCCGTAACCCTAGTATCTCATAACACAAGCCTTATAGTGCTTACTTTGGGGCTAGGCTAATTGGTGTGAGTGTTGGAAATATTTATTTATGTATTATTTATTTAGTACTTTTTGATAATCTACCTGATAGACGAAGAGCAAAGTTAGTCGTCATCTCTTTTCTCGTTCCTTCCGTTGTGGCGCTGTTCATACAAAACTTCTTGATATTTGTTGCGTACGAATTCAACTATTAATCGAATTCGATATTAGTTCGTGCTAAGGATACAGGTCCGGTATAGTTAATAACTTTGCGTTGACATTACCTAGAAATTACCAAAGGTCAACTTCCATTACATTTTTAGTAGGTATATAGGAAGCGACTTCATATACCACATTATTGTTATGAAAAATGTCTAATACCATTACATTACAAGAAACACTATGTCCATGCATTACGGTCATTAAGATAATCATCAACTTTATAATAGCCCTAACTTATAAGAGTATTCTTGATCTGAGATTTAAATTTGGTCAGAGGAAGCACAACCGATCAGACCTTGAGGAACTTTATTAAACAGTGAAAACATTTGAAATACCGCCTTATTCCCAGGGAGGTAGAGTTGAGAATGCGGAACAGCGTTCGTGGCGGTCGCACCGTTTCCACTGACGTCATTTCTATGACAGTCAAAGGGCCGGGGCTACATCGCATGGTATTGGTGGATTTACCAGGAGTTATATCGGTGAGTGCACATGATTATATACTTTATTTCTCTAGGTATATGATCTAGTATTGTTATCAATTTCTGCTATTTTCTTAACAACTGTGAACTGCCCTTTCACGGGTCAAAACTTCATTGCATGATGCTATTTTTATAGACGTTAAGTTAATTTTAGCATATCACTGATTATGTCACTTTTTCCATTGTTCTTTCTAGTTGTATTTAAATATGAGTTTAATAGTTATTGTACATTTATCAATATTTCTTGTACTCCTGAGTAAAAAACTCTGGGTCTGGTTTAGAAGCTACGCCATCGGTTGGCAAAGCTACGGATATAAAGAAAGTCGAGAATGGCTGTCATTTAAACGTCAAACGGAGCACTAACATCACTTTGACTGGAAGTTTACCTATGTTTGACGCCATTTGAGTTTTCGATCACGTAACGCAGATAAAAAAAAAACTATTTTCTCTGTTGCGGTTTTTTAGTTAAATCACCATTTTTTATTTATTTTTTTGTTTCTTGACCGCCTTTTTTCGTAACACTATGAAAACAATTGTTTATTGAATAAATCCTTAACTAATTACAAAGTTTCACAACATGTAAAAATATTAAAAACCCCTACCAATATTCATTCTGTCTACAGATGCCAACAATTGACACTGTTTTTATACTGTCAAATACCCTATACTTAATTATGCGAACTGCAGACCGCACGATCGCTTCGTCTCTCTTACACTCTTCTACCCGTATTTCCTTAAAGGTAGCGGTGTCGATTCTGCCATGATTCTCTAAACATATCTTTGTCATTCTATATACAGATTGAAAAGGGGAAACTGATGTTAAATTTAGTTTTAGGTTTGTTGAATCATCTTAACCCTCGTTTTCACCTAGAAACAAGTCATAGACTAGTTTTTTACAAAACTTGTAGATAACTCTTTGTGGTTGTTTAAAACATTTGTTCGTTTACACTGCATAGACAACTAGTATCTTGACAAGTATTTATCACTTATTTACTTCACATATTTTGTTTCTCCTCTTCTTGAGGAGCTCGATGGCGCCAGTGGTAAACGCGTTCGGCTGCGGTCGTTGAAGTTGAGTAACCTTCGCAGTGGTCGGTCATTGGATGGGTGACTAAAAATTTACTATCTCGAGTTCCTCCGTGCTTCGGAAGGCACGTTAAGCCGTTGGTCCCGGCTGCATCTGCAGTCGTTAGCACCCACCAACCCGCACTGGGCCCGCGTGGTGGGTCATGGCCCAATTTCCCTAACCCATCCATAGGGAAGGCCTGTGCCCCAGCAGTGGGGACATTAATAGGCTGTTGACGATGATGATGATTTTGTTTCTCCGACAAGTTTGAACGTTTTCGAGGAGTTATTCTACCTTATCCCTCCATCACCTTTTCTTCAGAGGAGCACGCGCGCTGGCCTACGTTGCCACCGACTTCCTGTGGCCACTATTCCTACACGAACAAAGAACTTTGGTGACTCATTTCTTTGTCGCACTATTCGTAAGTGGAATTCTTTACCCGAGCAAGTGTTCCCTCCTTCCTATAATCTGGGGTCCTTTAAGAGAGGCGTGAAGAAGCATTTTTGCAGTCCGGCAAGGTGAGGATGGTTGGTGTAGCAGTTTATTATTGCTGTACCAGCTATCTTGGCGTTTTGACTTTATCACCACTTAACACCAGTAAGTACCCTTAGTACGAGTTTTACAATTACGAAAACTGATTTTATTGTTTTCGTTTCAATACAAATAAACAGTGTGTACATTCTGACATTAATTCATTTGCGTCTTCTTAAATTTTTAGTATATTTGGTTACTTTTCACCAAAATGGACATAGAAACATAATTTACAATTACGAAAACTATGATAGTTTTCGTGAGCTCAAACTCGTACTATTAGGCTGGTGGGGTAGAGTCATTTGCCTACCTCGCTATAAAAAAAAGTATGATACAAGTATTGTATACTACATGTTTTATACATGTATATGAGTGTGAACAAAAAATGAAGACTTGCATAAAATTTGTTATATACCTTGTGCATACGAGGGCTTCGAATCTACACCTTTATACTCTCAGTATACAGTCTTATATTCATATATTTTTACAGACTCAAACTGTAGATATGGCGGCAGACACTCGCGACGCCATCAAGCAGATGACTAAGCAATATATGGACAACCCCAATGCCATCATACTATGTATACAGGTATAATATTAAATCAGAAATACACTTGAACTCATTTTTAAGCATGTATTTTTTGATTATTTTGTGCACTGCAGTAAGACTAACTATAATTTATATGTAGAAAGAGAACAGAGATAGAGATGTACACACAATGAGGAGCTCGATGTTGCAAGTGGTTAGCGCGTTCCGCTGCGATCGTTGAAGTTAAGCAACTTTCGCAGTGGTCGGTCATTGGATGGGTGACCACAAGTTTACTATCTCGAGCTCCTCCGTGCTTCGGAAGGCACGTTAAGCCGTTGGTCCCGGCTGCATCTGCAGTCGTTAGCACCCACCAATCAGCACTGGGTCCGCGTGGTGGGTCATGGCCTAAACTCCCTATTCCATCCATAGGAAAGGCCTGTGCCCTAGCAGTGGAGATATTCATAAGCTGATGATGATGACACAATGATTATATTATTTCTGTTTCATTAATAGTTTTGCTAAAGTATAGTCGCCGAGCAGAAAGAATTTCGTACAATGACCCCCTACCCATTGTTATCGCTCGCGAGCACTTATGTTGCTGTCTAGGACTGTGTGCAAGCGAGACAGCAACATAATTGCGCGCGAGTGATAAGGATGGGTAGCATGGGGTCATTGTACGAAATTCTTTCTGCTCGGCGACCGTTCTATAGCAATTCACATTGCTATTCATGTTTGCCATTCGTCATTATGTCAGCAGGTTATTCTTACCTAATCTAGAGCAAACCTTTTTTGGAATAAATAAAAATCGCGAAACTCCAACATTTGGTTTATCGAACCCTGTTTGAGAACCATTTCTCTATAGGGAGTTACAAAGTGGTGCTGCTGTCAAGTTCACAAATAGCAAACACGAACGAAATGACCCAGCCAACTTCGCAGCGTCATAAAATTAGGAGTGGGGGGAAAAAGAGTGTAATTGTTGGGTTGTGTGTATTTTTGATCAGAATCATAAAAAAAAAGATTTTGTCCAAAAAAATAACATTTTTTGACCACCCTTCTTTTTTAGGGGTATAAAAATAGTTTACGCCCCATTCTCTGTGTCTGACCTGTCTATTTGAGGAGTTAAAAGGACATTAAATAATAAAATATGGAGTACGTAATACAACGTTTAATCGGCGATGACAGACTGCCTCAGTAACATCTTTTATAATGCCTTTACCCACAATACAAATATACTATACTCAGACTTATTAAATATAGACAGAAAAGTTTCATAAGAATCGGTCAACCCTTTTCCGAGGGTTACAAACAATGTGACACTATAATTGTATATATTAGATTTTGACCAATAGACAATACAAAAAATAAAACTAGTTTTTACGGGTTAATGCACGAAACTTTATTTATTTATTGACGATTCGAAGCCTTTACAGGCTACGTCGTCAGAATAAAACTTTTATTCAATTTGTCGAGCTACCTTCGAAAGACTTTTATTGAGCGTTTGGTTATTTCATTGTTCGATTTTTAAGTTTTATTGTCTATGTATGAATATATTATTTAATTTACTTAATAAAGTATTTTATTTCAAATTCTTTTTTGTAATTTTGAGTTTATTTATTTTACCCTAACTACCGTAAACTACCACCGGTTCCAAAATTAGGAGACCTTTCTGAGAAGAACCGGCGAAACGAACTCAAGAGAGGCTTTCTATCTCCTTCTTATGTTAAATTATGCAAACAAAAAGAACTAATAGTATCTGATGGTCTTGCAGTGTGTGCTCGGGGTTGGGATTTTATCTCCTGTATAATAGGTTCCCAAGCTCGTGGTATATACCAACCATCTTCCCTATTGAAATTTGGATATTTTTTAATCTCAATAGCTTCGCGCATCATTCGAGGAACGAACCGCCGCTCAGCTGCAAGGATCTGTGGTCTATCAAATCTAATGTAGTGGTTTGGTCCCCCTAATGCATGTTAACCCGTAAAAACTAGTTTTATTTAATGAGTGATGTGCGTGAAAACCTAAGAAACAAATACAAAAAATGCTTATTAAAATTCGTTTAAAGTAATAAAACAACATTGTGCCCCCAGGACGGTTCAGTAGATGCCGAACGAAGCAACGTAACAGACTTAGTTTCATCATGCGATCCTCAGGGCAAGAGGACCATATTCGTGCTAACTAAAGTCGATTTGGCTGAAGAAAATTTGGCTAATCCTAACCGGGTGAGTTTTGACATTAATCTTACTCAATGTTAGCTATAATACCCCCTTGTGGAAAACTTCTAAGCGGGTGAGTTTCTATACAAGTCTTTACTCAAAGTTAGCTATAATGCATCTTTATGGAAATATTTTAACCGGGTGAGTTTTAACACTAGTCTTTCTCAAAGTGTCCTATAACACCTCCTTCTGAAAACTTTCTAACCGGGTGAGATATAACACTAGTCTTTCTTAAAGTTAGCTATAATACCCCCTTGTGAAAACTTTCTAACCGGGTGAGTTTCTATACAAGTCTTTACTCAAAGTTAGCTATAATGCCTCTTTGTGGAAACGATTTAACCGGGTGAGTTTTATCACTAGTCTTTCTCAAAGTGTCCTATAACACCTTCGTCTGGAAATTTTTCTAACCTAATTCTAATTTTAAAATTTACAATCTTATCAGAAAAAGAAATTACAAAAAAGTCTTCTGTAATACAAAAAACAATCTATTGTTCAAAGTGATCGCAAACCTTTTTTTGATGTGTATATAGTTTTAGTACAGCTTTGAGTCCATTGCCCCCTAGATCCATCGCATTCTGGAGGGCAAGTTGTTGTTGTTGCTAGATTTAAGAGTAATGAAGGGAAACCAGAGTTCGGGGGAACTCAATGGCGCGGGTGGTTAGCGCGTTCGGCTGCGATCGTTGAAGTTAAGCAACTTTCGCAGTGGTCAGTCATTGGATGGGTGACCAAAAATCTATCTCTCACTCCCCCGTGCTTCGGAAGGCACGTTAAGCCGTCGGTCCCGGCTGCATCTGCAGTCGTTAGCACAAGCCAATCCGCTCTGGTCCCGCGTGGTGGGTCATGACCCAATCTCTTTATTCCATCCATAGCGAAGGCCTGGGCCCCAGCTATGGGAACATTAATAGGCAGACGATGTATGGTTTTAGTAGAGCTTTGAGTCCATTGTGTCCAGATCCGTCGCATCCTAGAAGGCAAGTTGTTCCCGATGCGCGCGCTGGGGTACTACGCAGTCGTGACGGGCCGCAGCAGGCGGGACGACTCCATACAGAACATTACCGACTACGAGGAGAGGTTCTTTAGATCCTCCAAGCTGTTCAAGTGAGTTACACACACACACACACACATCTCTCTAAAAAATTTAGGACAAAATTGAAAATGTAGGAAGGCCAAAGGGGAAGATCTTCCTCCGAGCTGGGTGATGTTAGCTCGGGGGCCGCGGCCCGACTGATATTAGTCGGGCATCGTATATATGAAGAGTTAGCCTCCGAATTTAATTTGCGCGATGTAGGCTTCCATACTATTAAGATCGCAGTGCAGGTAACGCCACTTTTGAGGATGGTGAGTAATGATCTCCATCCGTTGTATATATGTGGGGCATATAGATGTCGCCGCCACAAAAATATATTTATTAGATAAATGCTTTTACACCATAGATGAATACTTTGCAACAAAGTAATATTAATGCCTCATTTTCAATTTTCTCAATTTTGTGATCTTTAAAATACAAACCTAGATTATTATATTCATGTTTATTGACATATTATTTTATTTTTATTGACATATTTATCAATTTTAATTATTAACAAATTTAATTTTATAAACGAATTTCCATAATAATAATTACAAAATTAAACTAGTACTGTAAATAAGATCAAATAAAATTAATGAAAACAGATGACATTTATGCATGCTTTGAGAAAAAAGTTGTTTAATAAAAATTAGGTTCTTCATATAGATTAGTTATTTATTATACAAGAGTGGAAAGTTCCTTTTTAACCGCGTGCTCGATTTGGATGACCGAGCAAGCGAAGGATTCTAAAGTTGAATCACGAGCGCAGCGAGTGATTCTAAATTAGAATCCTGAGCGTCAGCGAGGGAAACAAACGAGCACAAGGTGAAAAATCTTTCCACTCGAGTGCAATACGTAACTTTTCATCCCACCTCAGCGAGGAAATGACAAAATGAAAAAGAAAACAATTTATAATGACAAAATATTTTTATTTCAATTAAAACACATTAAGATAATCTATAAATTGAAGAAAATAATAAGAAGTAGAAAATAATTAAGAAATATTAAATGTAACGTTGCTACAGTTACTTATGTTAAGTTTAATATTTTTGTTAGGTAATGTTATGTTGGTGTTTGTGAATTGTGCGCTGTTTTGTGGTAAACTACTCGTATCAGTAATTTTAAATAGTTGTGCCGATTCATTGGATTCTATTGGCGTAAATGTTGGCGAGAGAGGGCTATTGTTTCCAATCTTATGGGGGCTCATTTTAGATGTAGAAGGGCGAGACCAAGAATCTGACAGAGGTTCTTTCAGCGTTATGGCCTCCACGATACTATTACAAATTTTTGATTTACTTTGGATTGAATCCTCTATGTATCCCTCTACAACCGAATTAGACTTCCAGCCTCCATGGCGCTTAAGCGATAGAAGATCAGCCCCTGATTCGGCCAAAAGTGTGGCTGAGGTTCTTCTAAAACAGTGACCGGTGTATAACGGGGGTTCTAAAAGTCCGAGAAAAGTTGCTATTTCTCGTGGAATACTGCCAATTTTATTCTGACCCATAGGTTGTCGGATACACTTTCCGTTGCGATATTGTAGAAAAAATCGTTCAATTGGGGTGTTAGAAGGACGTAAAGCTTGATATTTCTGAACAATGTTTACATATTCCTTGCGAATAACGAAGTTGCGGTCTTTTTTTGTCTTGGTATTTAGTACATTAATTAATAGCAATTCATCAGAATTATGAGAATATTTTGATACGTTATTGACATTAAGTAGTGTAAGTTCATTTCTTCGACATGCTCCGGTTATACCAATAATAAGAACAACCTGTAACAAAAGAAGTATTTATAATCGTAAATAAATTAATCAAATTAAAAATATTGTAAGTACTATGTACAATTTTATCAACAACAAAAAATTACACGTATTGACTTACTTTTGCCGCTAAATATACGGAATCAGGTGCTTCATTAATAAACTTTGCAATTTCAGATGCTGTGAAAACCTTCGATTTTTTTGGTTTATAACCAGATGAGGCTCTTTTTAAAAATGCCACTAATTTATGATAGGTGTCGATATGAACGTCTTTCTTCATCTTAATTGTTAATTTTAGCATTGAATACGTACTCCATAGCGTGCTTGCTTTCTTGGTCTCAGATAATTCTATAAAATATGCCAGCAAAACGTTTTCGGAGAAAGTTTTTGCTCCTTTAGCTAGTCGCCACATGTTAAATATATCGTACTGTTTCAAATACTTCTCTCGTGATTGCTGAGGGAGAAGGCTCATTTGCGCATTATTAACTGTTTCAGTTAACTCAGTTGGCGTTAGATAAACTTCATCGTCGCTAATGTCACTCATTTTAGTTGATTTTTTTGTACAGTTTTTAGGTTATGTTAATTATATTAAGCAATAAAACGTGAAAAACTAGAATGGCGCGAAGCACGCAAATAAAACAAAGAAACCAAGAAGGTTCCAAATTTAAATTTTTTCACAATTTAAAAAGTTCTAATCATAAATTTGGCACCATAGAGGTTACATTAAATAGGTTTAATGACGTTTTGAATTTACAATTATATTGAGTACTCATTATATGTGATGTTCTAAATTCAAATCTACTTTGCCGCTCAAGCGAATAAAATAGAATTTTCCAGCCAGATTTCGAAGCGCAAAATTACACTTTCCGAGGTGGTGGGATGAAAAATTGTTTATTTGTTAAATTCTCTTTTGTAATTTTTATCTATATTGCGATACCCTGACAGGGTTCATGTTAGGTACTTTATGCATTTTGTAACTTGTAACCATCCATGTAACCACATGAATTGAATTGAATTGAAAATCAAAATCATTTATTCAGTTTAGACTGTTACAAGCACTCATGAATGTCTAGATGCTACGTCATCGGTACGTAAATCTACGGCGGGAGACCGGCGGGGGAGTACTGAGAAAAACCGACAAGAAAGTCAGCAAGCTGTTTTGTTCTCCCTGTTTTATTATTTACAGAGTCGACAAGATGAAAAATGATTTCAAAGATAATGACATAAAGTCACCAAGTCACCTTTCATTACATAATGAGAAATATACATTAATTGTTTGCCTGCATTTTAATTGCATGCTGTGTCATACAGTTTAAATATAAATAGTGTTATTTATATTAGGTGTAACTAGACATTAACATGGTAAATATCAAAGTAGTTAGGACAGACTCATCTCCGCTGCCAGCACCCGTTCACGAGCATGACGCATGAACTAGCCGTCGCTTCGCTCAACCATATTTTAGGGAACTTAACGATCCATCCGACTCTATCTATATTGTTTCATGTCGTGATGGAATTCAAAATGATGATGCCAGTTTACGCTTGACAGTTCTTTATTCACCACACAATTCTATTGTAAGCACCACAGCACACAGAAAGAGCCTTGTGGGCGGAGCAGAAGCGCCACAATAAAGTTACGTCGTTGCTCTCCGGTGTGAGCGCTGATTGGCCCGAATGTTTGATCTCGCGTCGTTTGATTGGCTAATAAGTGAAAGTGTAGTGCGGGCGAGCTGACTACACGGATTTCCGTAAAAACGGTATAAGATCATCCTTCTAACGTCTTTCTGTGTTCTGTGGTAAACACAAAATAATACACTCAGTGTACACTTATCAGGGGGCCATTCGCCTAACGGAAATGCTTTGGAAAACGATAACGCTTACGTTTTCATTTTGTTATTTCTAGCCGCCTGAGGTTTTCAAATGCCTCGCGCTCTTTTTTTCTTTTGCATTGGTAATAACTATATTAAAAAAAAATGAGCGTGAGGTATTTGAAAACCTTCGGCGGTCAGAAATAACAAAATGAAATCGAAAGTGTTAGCGTTTTACGAAGCATTTCCTTTAGGCGAATGGCCCCGTGTTTAAACAATTACTTTATTTTATGTGGTTAGATTTGCCTACTTCCTTATTGAGTTTTGCCTCAGAACAAGAACTAAAGCCTATAATGAGTTTAAATTCAACTCTTAAAGTCGACTCAGGTAGTTATCTGATTTTTACATATAGGCCGGAAAAGAGACAAATGTATGATACTATAAAAAGCGTGCGTACCGCTGTATAAACATCAAATTGGATATCTTTGACCTTTTTACGCCTTGTTACCTTGTGGCCTTGTTACCTTTACGATACCGAATCAAAAAGTGATCTTGTGTCAAATGCAACCGGCAAACTTTTTTTTTATGTTATAGGGGGGGGGGCATACGAGCAGACGGCTCACCTGATGGTAAGTGATCACCGTCGCCCACGGACACTTGCAACACCAGGAGTATCACAAATGCGATGCCGGCCTTTAAGGAAGGAGTACGCTCTTTTTTGAAGGTTTTTGGGTCGTCTTGGTCCGGAAACACTGCTGGCGACAATATATTCCACAGTTTTGTCGTACGTGGTAAAAAATTTCGACAAAAACGAACGGTTGTGGATAGCCACGCATCAAGATGATGGGGATGAAATTTTTGTTGCGATGTACGATGGCGAAATGCAGCAGCTGGAATTAATCCGAACAATTCCTCAGAACACTCCCCGTGATAAATGCCACTAATATTTTTTGGCTGGGTAATACTTTGTTTTGAAATCGATTTTATTTGTTTATTGTCTATGGAAGTATACGCTCAAACGTCATACTTCTATGCTTTAGATCCACTTGCAGCAAGTTTGCGAAATCTAGATTTAACCTATAGAAAAATGTCTAAACGTCAATGTCAAATTCACAATATTTACTTGTTCTGAGGTTAGAAATGGACTATGTCATCCCCTGGTCTGTGTAAATGCCAGATTTCTGCCACGAGTTGAGATAATTATTTTCATTTTTTGCGTTTTATCATATTTAGTGATGGTTTTTAATTTACACATCTAATATGAAATGAAATGAAATGAAATGAAAAGTCATTTATTCAATCTAGGCTGTTACAAGCACTTGTGAAAGTCAAGAAGCTACGCCATCGGTTCGCAAAACTACGGCGGGAGACCTTGTACTGAGAAGAACCGGCAAGAAACTCAGCAAGGGCTGCTTTTTTTTCCCTGTATTGATATATACAGAGTCGTCAAGTTGAAAAATGACTTCAGACATACTTCTGAAGTCACCTTCCATTACATTATTTAGGGTATAGATATATAGTTACAACAAATTTTATATTTAGTATATATAGGAAGCGGCATTAGATAGGTACCATACTACTGTTACAAAACTGACTCATACCCATCAAATAAGAAATTACAAGAAACACTATGTCCATGCATTACGATCATTTAGATAATCATTAACTTTATAATAGCCCTTATTCATAAGAGTATTCTTAATCTGAGATTTAAATTTGGTTAGTGGAAGCTCAATCAGATCTTGGGGAACTTTGTTAAACAATGCAATACTACATCCCAGAAATGAACCTCTAGATTTTTGGAGTCTGAAACATGGAACGGCAAGCTTGTTCTTAAATCTCGTGTTTAAGTTATGGGTTTGACTTTTTTTTGCAAATGCGTCATAGTTTCTTCTTACATATATTATATTTTCATAGATGTATATAAATATATAGATAAGTTTGTAGAGAAGAATAGAATAGAATAGAAAGCTTTATTGTCATGCTGAGTACAATTGTGTTACAAGTAATTTCTTAGTTCTAGGCAGCTGTCTATTTCGGACGTACAATATTCATTATAGGTAAATGCTATTAAAAATTTCGAGAATACTCTTTTAAATTATAAAAACATTTATCTATTAACCATTTCTTTAATTTAATTTTAAATTCCAATAAATTTAAATCTTTAATGTCATTGAGCAAATTGTTAAATATTTCAGGATTGATTTAAGACATAAATGAAGCCTGGATGTACAATAGAACTCGAATAATAAGAGGAAAATTGGCAGGATTTCTTTTTTATTTTCCGGCCGTGAAAAACTAACTGCCGGGGTTACAAAAACAGGGATTCGACGGCAATTTTGCTTATACAGTTGACGGGCTAAGACGTATACCATAAAGAATATAACGTTTCCGCCATAGAGACGGAGTAGTGACGCCATCGCAAGTGACGACCCGCAACTTGTCTCTGGCCGTGGCTGATTGTTTCTGGCGAATGGTGCGAGCTTCTGTGGAACAACAGGCCGACGCTTTCAAAGCGATGCGTTTCAACCTGGAGACTGAGTGGAAGAATACTTTTCCCAGGTAAGTTCCTAAGAATTAAAAAAAAACACGCTCTAATTAGCCTAGACCAAAACTAATCACTCTAGGTGGTCACGCCACTAAACGAAAAAAAATCCCGGCGCGGATGAGCGATTATGTACAAGAAGAAAAACACAAATAATATTTTAGTTTTGATTCACTATTTTAGCGGTAATGACTCACACATTAAAAATAGATATATGGTGTCACGGGCTTTTTTTTAGAAGTATTTAAGAGATACATTTTCACTCTACATTACATTCATGTAACTTTTATTGTTTTTGCAGTGCAGGCCAAAATGGCTCGCAGATGGGAGATTTTTTTCCGTCTTATGTGACACTTATTGTTATATATTGGCCAATTCACTCAATAACTACATAAATTATTATATATATTATCATATATGAGCTATATTACTGTTAAGTTTCATTAAAATCCATTCAGTATTTTTTAGGTGAAAGAGTAACAAAAATCCATACAAACGTAAGATGAAATTAAAAGCGTAAGTGGTTAAAATACAACTTTAAAGCGTTGTAGATCCTGAACGTTCATATTAAATGCAAAATGGTGTTAGGAACCTAAATATGATTTTTGATTATCTAGACAGTGATACCCCACTCGACATATTTTGTCAACTTATTTTTTTTACTTCGTCACAATATGGCGCCTAATTTTGCCCATATTGAATTTTGATTACTATCATATCTTTAGTAGCACTCCCATGATTGAGACGAATCGATTGATGTATGAATCATCAGAATCGGTCCAGGCGTTTGGTCTCTAGTGTGCCACAAAGGAACAAACATACATATATAGACTGTTAAACACATAACCCTGTCTGCGCGTCGCGCTCTGCGATCTTGCAATGCGCAGCCGGGTAAAAATTAGAAGGAAACTGAAGGGGTACCTGGTGGTTTGTGAGCTGGTTCCTTTTGATGCCTGTTCTTCCTGTCCTGGAGAAATGTTCGCCTGTGGCACGCCACAATTTTTTTTACACTAATGTTCGCGGGCCCCAAGGCGGAAATATTTAAATATATGCGAAAAGTGTCTCCGGAGCGCGGTTTCTTCGCAGTCGTGGGAGTTTTCTCCTTGTATCTCCTCTCGCGGCGATCAGAGCACACACGACCGTTGCTTTTTCTCTCGTCCGTTCGTTCGAAGGACATTGATGGCAGCGCCGCGGATAAAGTTGACAACAGGTGAGTTTAGGGGCAGGGAGAAGGATATGTGTTTTCATAAGCTTACGATAGATGGCGTTAACACTAGGCTTGTGTTATAGGATACAAGGATACATTATACATTTAGATATCGTGTGGAATAGTGCTTCAAGTTTTTTATTTTCGTCTTTCTATTTATTAGGTCTCTTCTATCTGTATATTTTTAATTTAATTTTCAAATATCTGTTGCTTCTCTACTATTGAATAAGTCAACGAGCTCTATAATTGTTCATAGACAACGCGAACTAGACCGCGACGAGTTATTCGAACGCGCGCGCGCAGAGTTGCTCGACCAGTCGGCCGAACTATCCGCCGTGCCCGCCCCCATATGGGAGCAACGACTGCACGACGCTTTATGGACCACGGCTTCTGATAGAATACTGCACGGGATATATCTGCCTAGCGCTGCTCAGGCTCAAGAAGACGTGGGTGAGTCGGTACATATATAGATAGATAATATAATCATCGAGCTAGATCGCGACGAGTCGCTCGACCAGTCGGCCGAACTATCCGCCGTGCCCGCCCCCATATGGGAGCAACGACTGCACGACGCTTTATGGACCACGGCTTCTGATAGAATACTGCACGGGATATATCTGCCTAGCGCTGCTCAGGCTCAAGAAGACGTGGGTGAGTCGGTACATATATAGATAGATAATATAATCATCGAGCTAGATCGCGACGAGTCGCTCGACCAGTCGGCCGAACTATCCGCCGTGCCCGCCCCCATATGGGAGCAACGACTGCACGACGCTTTATGGACCACGGCTTCTGATAGAATACTGCACGGGATATATCTGCCTAGCGCTGCTCAGGCTCAAGAAGACGTGGGTGAGTCGGTACATATATAGATAGATAATCATAAGAGATTTGCACCCCTCCCCCCCCCCTGAAAAAATAAATCTTCAAATCAAACCCCCCATCACCCCCCAGAATTAAAACATCCAGCGGTGTCATTTGTTATAAGTTTATTTTGTTACGAAAGCATATCGGATCGGAATCCGGGACAATAAGGTCTAATTACTGGACGCGGGACACGACGCAAAACTCCGGGGCAATCCCGGATTTCCCGGCCATCTGGCAAGCACTAGGCTTGCGTGTGTCGTAGTCACAGTTTTGTTTTATATGAGTGTACATTAAACTGCGTTTGTGTGCATATCGCCCTCCGCATATGAATATAATAGAAAGATATGAATAGTGTTATGTCGCTATGGCTACTCTCTTCCGTGTTGTTCTATGGTAGGATATAGGATCTAATCTGGTACATAATAATATTTCCCACGCTCACATCAATTAGCCAAGCTCCAAAGTAATCACTGTAAGGCTTTGGTTATGTGATACTAGGGTAACATGGTTTATGTATGTAACGTTAGAAGCTGCAAGGAAAGCGTTGGCTCAACAAGTGAAGTTCAAACATTCTGGCGGCGTGCACAGCGCCACACTGTACATAGAACCGAGCGATATTGATTTCAGTAAGGTTACAAACATTCACAACAACTTAGTAGAAGTTGAGTTGCAGTTATCAGTTCAAACTTTAAGAAAATTTACGTAAATATTAAATATATTTTTGTTTGTTTTTCGAAAGTAAATTACCGAAGTGAATTAAAGTATATTATAGTCTGTCGTTATTCAACATATTTTTTCAAAAAGAGACAGTTTTTTGGGGTAATATTTCTTTAAAGGATTAACCTTTCTCGAAATAGTCGTTTAGCTAAGTAGCTATTTTACGAATTAGGCATTATGCGAAGTAGTCCTTTAGCTAAGTCGTCGTTTTGCGAAGTAGCCTTTTCGAGACTCGGTGGGCATTTTGCAAATTATGCATTATGTGACTAAACGTTTATTTAGATCCCATTTCCAATTTTAGTTTATGTGCTCATAACATTACGAGTATTTTAATGTGGTATTTGTTTTTAGTTTCATGTATTTACTTTCTCGTTTGTAAATAGCTATCATTGTTAATAGGTTGTAGTTGTTCATTCAAATTTTGTTGTATTTTGATCTTTCTATTGTCAGTAGGTGATGAAAAATCATCACCCTTTCTTAATTTAAGTATTGGTCATATTCTGATATGTTAATACAATTTATAACATACAAATGTTTTTTCCCCAATGTTTGTTAGATTCAATAGGGTATTTGACAAGTTTTAAAAAACGATCTCACTTTATTGACTAATGTTTATGAAGTCTGTAAAAAGTGGATATTCATCCTTCTGTTGTTTATTTCAGTAAAAATAACCAAATCAAAAACACCATTTCCAAGTTGCCGCGAAAACGTTTCTCTGGACAATATGGCGTCTTACTAGTGTGTCACGTCACACGACTGTTATTAAAACGTCAAACGATACAATGTCACTTTAACTGGAAGTTTACATGCGTGTGACGTCATTTTAGGTTCCGCCAATCCCAAGCGTTTTGGGTCACGTGACAATAGATAAGAAAACTATTGTCTTTTTCGTGGGTTTTTAGTAAAATTATGAATATTCTTTTTGTAAAAATAGTAAAATCCCCTGCCAATATTCATCCTAAACACAGATGCTATCAATTGGAAGTTTATTTTTAATACTGTCAAATACCCTATTCTAGGCCTTATATGTTGAACCTCATATTATACCTCTTCCGTTACCTAATAATACCCTAAGTCCTCACTGAAAGCCCAACAAGACTTTGCTTATAAACCTAAAAAGGGAAAACGACTGCTAACGACTACAGAAGTGCAGATGCAGCCAGGATCAACGGTTAAATCACCTTCCGATGACTGGCTATTGCAAAAGTTTCACAGCTTTCCATTGCATCAAAAGACGTCATATATTATCTTTTATTCAAATGATCTATACTCATGATTTAAATACTCCCATTAAGTTTCTAAAAGATTTACGCATTAAACCACCCGGTCTCAATGCAACCATAAGACTATTCAAAAAAGTTATAACGTTGTCCTAAATTGCATTAAAGAACTGTTTTCGCCTCATTTCAAAACGCTGACTAAATTTAAACCTGGTTTAAAACCGATGCTGTCACTTTTGTTTGCTAAAAAGAAGACAAGAGACAGCATTAGGATTAAACTATGACTAACTTCAGTCAGCGTTTCGGAAAAAGACGGTCATGGTTTTCGTTTTTAAACAGCTTTTATACGGCTCTAGCTAGTTTGAAACAGTCTCGATCCCATCGGGGCATAGAGGTCTATTCATCAGACAGTAATTTTGATCATCGAGAGCGAAGGTATTTGAGGACAGCTTGCACCCTTTTCAACTTATCATACGATCCACGCACCCCTGGATATCTGAAATCGCGGTTTCAGTTTCTGGGGTCTTCCCATCAATTAAATCTCCGCTCAAATGATAACTTGATACTTGAAGTACCGATTCACCATACTAGGTTTGTCTCCAGTTCATTCACCCTTACTGCCATTCGGCTCTGGAATGCACTTCCTCTAGACGTTCGAAACGCTCCAAACAGCGGCCTGACCGCCTAAGTCAAAGCGAGAGCAATACGAAAGTTGACAGCCATAACTTTTTCAAACTCTGTCTGCGATAAAATCGAAACGCCTAAAATTCACGACGTGTCGTAATGCTTATGGTTATCAAATGCTTACGTGAGTGAACGATTCAATTGCGTTATGTTCATGTATTTTTTTACAAAATTCTTTTCATTTTATAGTTGACTGAAATACATTAATATTTAATTTACAAATGTATATTATCATAGGGTGGCATAAATATTAATATTTAATAATTAGTCTTACAAAATTATTCTTAAATCAAAGACATAAGAAAATTTTAATTGGGTACCATAAATTGCACAAACAAAACGCTATGTCTGTTACATCTGCCTACGTTCTAAACTTATGCTCTGGGTGCATTTTTTTTACCCTGATTTATCAATTTTGACATAAAATGTATTAAATAAAACAAGTTTCAACGGGTTAGATGCACTGATTTTATTTATTTATCAAACCTAAGAAACAAATACATAAAATGTATGTCAAAATATACATTGTTCGTACCTGAAGCATATGTTCTGAACGTATGCCATAACTGCTGTCAGCACTTCACTTGGCTATTCGTGTTTGCTGTTTGTTAATTTGACCGCAGTCTGTCCTTATCATGCTTTATAAAGAATGAAAAGGACAAGCTGATGTCAAGTATAAATATAACAAACTCGAAACTATTGAGCATACGTCGCATAGAAATTAGAAATCTGATAACTTTTAGAAAGAAAGTATCACATCGAAGAAACTTGACTAAGTAAGTACTTTTTGAGTAAACAAAAATAATTCAAGAAATTTAATAACTTTACTTTATCACGAAGATCATGTTAATTTTGTCAAAGATAATCGCATTTTCGTCATTATAATTTAGTACTTATTTAACATTTTAGAAACCGGCACCATATTAAGTCTACAACTCCAACGTACAGTTGGAGGCCTTACTAATATGGATGGAGGAGCACCCATTCCAGGCTAGAGGGATGCAAATTGGAGCCCCGCACAGGCCAAACAGGCTTCGATGGGCCTATGGAAGAGTTTAGCGTCCCTCCTAAACGCAATTAATGATGTTACTAAAACACCAAAGGAGTGGTGATTTAAAGTAAGTGGTACTTTACTATTATTTTGTATAAAGTTTATAAGGCATCTTGTTATGTGTTCTGTATTTGTACTATTGCATGGAATTCAATTACTAATTTGAAAATGGTAACTCCCCATACATAAGGTGCTGTTAAAAGCTTAACTATTTTTTTTTCTATTTGGCTGAGCCTGGCTTATGATCAATCAATGTTATTTTATTCACCTACTTAATAACATTGTAAGTTCAATTATGTTGCCTTATCTGTTTTAATTAAGCATCCATCCTATGGAAAGTACCAAGAGTAAAGTGTTACCTATAAAAACCTTTGGAGGTCTATATCTTTACCATTGATTAATTTCATGTAACATGGTAGGACTCATAGACTCATTTGTAAAGAATAATAACATACCACTTAATAAGTTTCAAAAACTGGAAAATACAAACAATCCCTTTTTAAAAAACGCTGGTAATTTGTTTCAGCTGTATTGGATTTTTGAGCTGGAAAACTGCCGGCTTTGCGACAGTCAACTGCATGGGGAAAATTTGAGGAGCCGCGACTGGAGGAACAGCAATTGCGGAGGGACGTGCTCCGAGCATTGAGAGATATTACTCATGTATTATGTTGGTTCTATAAGACTGTAACTCATGGAAATAAATAATGTGCATTTGTATCTGAAGTTGTTTATGGTAATCTTTTTACTAAAATATAACAGCAATACTACTGAATGTTTTATTTACTGAATATTATTATCGTAAGCTCCCTCCTCAACTTTATCACCTTGCAACCTTTTTCTAGGTCATGGTCTCACAGCTGTTGTTCATTGAGTAAAAAAGTAGAATAAAAATCTATTAAGAGTTAATAGCTAATAGGTGTTATTAAATTAGTAGGTCTTTGGAGACATACTGGCTGGTTTCTGAATAGCGGTGTGACCACAGTTACAAGGTCTACCATGCTTCTCAACAATAGGGTAGTCAGGAAATGAAATTATTTCCTTAAAGTTGATTAGTACCTACTAAAAAGTTTGAAACAGTTTTGAAATGAAATCATTTATTTATTTAGAGTCTATATTCAGAGTTAACAATGGTGTCAATTCTAGCACTATTTTTTAAACCTAAACTTAAAGTTAACAGCAGTATATCCTTGTCATTCTCTATACAGCATGAAAAGGACAGTCTGATGTTAAATTTAGTTTTAAGTTTAGAGAATCACGCCAGAATTGGCACCATTGTTTATATAAAAATAAATTATTGTGTTCATTTTAATACTCTTTTAACTCTGTGCGCCTTTTGACAAAGGCCTCCTTAAACTTTTTCCAGTTTTTGCTCTCCAAGCCAGCTTTGTCCAAGGGGTTTCCCTTTTATTTCTCAAATGAATAAATTCAATTTGTACCCAATTAGTAACTTGCTAATAGAAAGTAAATTTAGAATATTTGAACACTAACATAAGAAATAAATTTTATTGTTATGAATATTTAACAACAACTTATAAAATTACAGTTATATAAATCAAATTAAACTAGAGTATTAATAATAACTAGTTTCTCATTTAAAGTTAGTACATATTCAAAAGTTGTATTTAAATAAAACAAATTTGAAATGAAATCATATTTTATTCAAATTAAGTTATTGAGAGCTCTTTAATCATCCTACATTTTTTTCCTACTACCACACAGGACATCTTCTAGCTGGTGAGAAGAATGGGCGCAAGAAACTCATCAGCATTTAACATTTACATCAAATCATGTAGCTACCAATACATACAGGAAGATATAAAAATGACATGTTAAATTTAGACATTAAACTTAGGTGCTAATTAATAATTAATTAGTATAATAAAAATAAAATACAATAAATTGTAAACTAAACTTATGATACCTATTTTATCTTGTATGGTGCCTCTGCTCACAGATCCTTCTTCACACAAGTTTCTGTAAACAGTTTTAAATGGTCAATTATGGTTATGACTACTCCAGAGTAACTGACTGTCTTGCAGGACAGATGCCACGGACAGGCCTGTCTCCACTTGTGGCAAGTATGTCACGCTGTGGTTGGCGGACATGATCACACGCATGACATCCTCATCAATCTTGATACATGAGTCGCAAATAAGGTTGTGTAAAACAACACATGCATTTAAGATTTTCCCTGCTTTCTGATTTGGGTCTTGAAGATGCCAAAGCATCTTTCTATGACATTCCTAGTCCGCACATGTGAATTTGTGTAGTGATCCTCTTGTCTCCCTGGGTCAGCATGGAGGATTGGCGTCATCATCCATGCCCTTCGGGCATAGCCAGAGTCATCTGTAAAATAAATATTGTAAAACTAACACTGAAAAATACTAACATACAAAAACACTTATTTTGTATGAAAATATTCAAATAAAATGATAACAAATGATTTTTAATACACATACCCAAGAACCAGTAGATCTGTCCAATATCATAGAGTCTTTCAATTCCATTTTTCACAGGGCAACAATTCCAAACATGAGAGTCATGACTTGCACCACCAAATGATGCATCCATATGCAAAATATGTAAGTCTGCATCACACATCTGTAACAAGAGTATAATATTAAGGTTTAAACAACTATTTTATTTCATATGAGTATCACATTCCAAGAAATTATTTTTGAAAAGTTATGGTATAAATGCTTTTGGTATAGTACCTACCTTTGTGTAAAGTGTTATTTTATTAAACTAAATTTTGTTGGTATAAAGTGATTCTAATATAATATAATTCATTTAACACAAAATTTGTTAAGAGACAATTGATTAAAAAATAAGTTGCTTCATATATTTACTGTTTTATAAATAAATGTAGAGTATTTGATTGTTAAAAGGTTTTATTATAATTCAATAGACCACATTTATTCAAAAATATAGAAATAATATGTGATTCTGTAATCATGTAAGCATTTGGAAGAGATTTAGGAAGCGGTTTTAATGTAATTATTACTTACCGCAAGCACATTAAGCACAGGGAGAGGTACATTTTCCTGTTAAAATATGCTTCTTCATAGTCTTTAGGTCGTTCTGTGCGTCGAATGTTTGCATTCGACAACAAAAACGGCATCAAGTCGTCGCAAAGAGTAAGGAAATTATCCTTACTCAGGCGGAACGTTTGGACAAACGTTCGCTCCGGCAGCAACATAGGCATGCTGTCCTCCCGCAACTGTCTTCTTCGCAAGGTCAGCATTGTCTTCTGGCTCTCCTCCTCAGCTACCACCAACAGAAATATTCGAGCCATTTCTCACTAAAACAGAAAAAAAACTACAAGAGTACACAATCTTAGGTTAACAAAAGACAAAAGTAGCTATATTTTAATTTTATAAAGCAAAATAAATTGAATTATAAATATCGTATGAAAGCATGAGATGAAAACAGTGAGTCTATAGGTGTCTGCTTATCTGACAGCTTTAACGCTTACCCGCCATCTTGAAATCGCTTTCACTTTTTTTAGGCGTTTCGATTTCCTGTCAAATTAGTAGCGAGAAATTGAACGATGTCATTCAAAATTGTTAATGGCTGTCATCGGCCGCAAAGTAAATGTGAAAGCGTTATGGCTTTCATAGGCGTTTCCAAATGACAGTGTGACGTCATAAACTTTAGCATTTTTAAAGCAACGCGAGTTAGGCGATCAGGCCCCAGGACGGTGTTTAAGAGTTCGGTGCGGGAACATTATTTGAATTTGTTGCATAGTGCTTAATTTGAATCGGGATGCTAAAATCGGACACTATATTATAGGTATATTATGTATATATGTATGTATATTTATGTTTCTATGTATGTATATGTGTATGTATTAAACGCTATTTAATTTTGTTTTTCATTGTTTGATGTTTGCTCTTTCCTATGATTGTCTGCCGTTTTATTGACTCTGCACGTTCTTTCCGGTTGACTGGTAGAGAATGCCATGCTGGCATTAAGTCCGCCAAATGCAATGTAAAGGCATTAAAGATTAAATAAATAAATAAATCATTATATAATTAGATAGATATTAAATTAGTCATACTTTCAACAATAACTAATCAAAAACCCGTTTGACGCAGACAAATTCAACACAAATGTGGATATAAAACTCCGCGAATGGGCGGAGAACGAACTGCCTTCTCAGTCAGTGAGAGCGGCCAGAGATTCACTCGGAGCTGAGTTCAGAGTGCTGATGTCTCGGCAACAGGACGCGGACCCTATATATGCGCCGTTGAAGCAGGCGGCTGTCGAACAAGCTTTGGATAGGCACCATTGGGAAGATCGGGCTACTGATGTAAGTATTACCATTGTTTTATGTTTTTTTTTTTATGTTATAGGGGGCATACGAGCAGACGGCTCACCTGATGGTAAGTGATATGATATGATATGTTGTATCGGTTCGCCAATTTCAGATCTGGGTCTATGCAGTCCTCAATAGATAATAGGGATGATGACTAATGTTTTTCTTCTTCGTTTATCAGGTAGATTATCAAAAAGTATTGGACAATTTTTTTTTTCTTTTTTCACATAATATAAACATTGCAGAGATATATTGATTTGAAAAGTCGCATGACGTCACGTTTGAGTACACTTATAAGTGAAAATTCACTAAATGGTGACGTCACGAGCCCCTACTCCCAAACTTTGGCGCGCTATAACTTTGTCATTTTTTGGTTGATTGCCCAAAGAAAAAATACGTGTCCGTTATTTTTTGATCATCTAACTGACGGACTAAATAGAATTTCGTTTACTGTACCCCGTGATCACCCCTATGGGATTAAGTGCTCTGGGGTCCTTTAAAATAGGCGTGAAGAAGCATTTCTGCAGGCCGGCAAGGTGAGAATGGGTGATGTGGAAGTTATTAACCGCTGTACCATCTATCTTCGCGTCTGGACTTTACCACCACTTAACAACTGGTGGGGTAGAGTCATTTGCCTTCATTATCAGCCTATTAATGTCCCCACTGCTGGAACACAGGCCTTCTCTATGGATGGAATATGGAGATTGGGTCATGCCCCACCACGCGGGCCCAGTGCGGATTGGTGGGTGCTAACGACTGCAGATGCAGCCGGGACCAACGGCTTAACGTGCCTACCAAGCACGGAGGAACATGAGATAGAAGTTTTTTTTGGTTTTGTCACCCATCCAATGAACGACCACTGCTAAAGTTGCTTAGTAGAAGCACGAAGGAACTCGAGATAGAAAATTTTTGGTCACCCATCCAATGACCATTGCGAAAGTGGCGCTAGCCACCTGCGCCATCGAGATCCTCATGATGTAAATATTACCATAGTTACATGTTCTATACTTCAAATCTAGGTCTATGTATTCCTCAATGGATCTATCTATAGTCAGTGCTCTGTGGTCCTTTAAAAGAGGCGTGAAGAATTTTATTCAGCAGAACGATGTATGTTTTGTACGAGACTCGAACCTTCGCCTTCCACTATCTGGAGGGACGCACTAACCAACTATGCTACCGAGACCACAGTGGCTGTGTCGAATTTCTTATAGTAAACACTCTCATAACGGAAGGCAGAGGTTCGAATCCTCTCTGATACTTAACGAAGAAGCCAAAAATTTAAAAGCTTAAAGGTCCCTAGATTGTGGGAAGGAGGTGTGTGCGGGCAAAAAATTCCACTTGCAAATAAGAAGTGACAACAAAGAAATGAGTCGCCAAATTACCTTGTAGATGTCATGTATTGACATCGACTGAGTGGGTTTTTTGGAGTATTTTTTTACGTTTATTAATTTAACAGTAAAATTATTGAAATAGCAATATAATCAACATACTAGGATAACATAGAATTACTATTAAACCTGCTTTAATAGTAATTCTATGTAACTAAAAAACAAAAATTGACTTTGTTTTTTACACATCGCTGACGAGACATTTGAGAAATAGATATTTGAAAAAACTTTTGCTGGCACGCATTGGCGAATACCGTGCAATAGGGACAACATTAATTAACGCTGAAAATTGCATATAAAAATTGCAAACTTCGAGGTTTGGCTCTCGACGATTTCTTCCTCGAATATTAAACGTAAAATAATTTAAAGAAAAGTTTACTAGAAAAAAATCCACGCGGACCAGGCAGCGGACGGGACTCGAACCCGCATCCTTCGCTATCCGGGCGAATGCACTGACCATTATGCTACCACGGCCCTATTTGTCGCGTATTTTTTCGAAAAAATTTCGACGCGGCAAATAGGGCCGTGGTAGCATAATGGTCAGTGCATTCGCCCGGATAGCGAAGGATGCGGGTTCGAGTCCCGTCCGCTGCCTGGTCCGCGTGGATTTTTTTCTAGTAAACTTTTCTTTAGATTTAAACATCTAGCAGTTAAATGCTTAAAAAATAAATAAAATCGTAAAATAATTTTTACCCATGGAATAAAAAGTACGTAAACTATGCCTCTATGTTTTGCTTTTTTTGTAAATGTTTATTCAATCTCCACACTAGACGTGTTAGTGGTGATAAAAAAAAAATTTTTGGCATTTTTAAGGGATTCTAGTTTTTTTTATACACAAGTTATCGAAAAAAGGAAGACATACGGACATATAATGAGCAAAATTATATTTTATGTATAAAAATCAATTCCTTAGTGATAAAAATCAAGAAGGAATCAGTCGTGAACGTTTGTATGGAAAAAATATTATCGTCTGACAGAATAGGGTATTTGACAGTGTTAAAAATAAAGTGCCAATTGTTGGCATCTGTGTTTAGAATGAATATTGGCAGGGTATTTACTATTTTTACAAAAAAATATTCATAATTTTACTAAAAACTAACGAAAAAGATAAAAGTTTTCTTATCTATTGTCATGTGACTCAAAACGCTTGGGATTGGCGGAGCCTAAAATGACGTCACACGCAAGTAAACTTCCGGATAGAGTGACATAACATTGTATCGTTTGACGTTTTATTAACAGTCGTGTGACGTCACACACTAGTAAGACGCCATATCGCCCAGAGAAACGTTTTCGCAGCAACTTGAAAATGGAGTTTTTTATTTGGTTATTTTTACTGAAATACACAACAGAACGAACCCTATTCAAACTAAATTAATATTTCGGTTCTTCTCAGTAGAAGGTCTCATGTCTGTATCGGCGAACGGATGGCGTAGTTTTTCGACATTCTTTGGCACCTAAAATTAGATAAGCTATATTGAATTTCATAATTTCATTTTTACTTGTGTCAGCTGCTCCATCTTGCCAATGATGTCATTCCCAAGCTTGTTTGACAGCCACCTGTTTTAATGGCGTATAAAATAGGGTTCGCGTCTTGTTGACTAGACATTAGGGGTTCCTAGTATCACAGTCATAATAGATATTTCGGGTCGCATATTTTTATTGGTAGGCGAATGACTCTATCCCACCTGATGTTAAGTGGTGGTAAAGTCCAGATGTGAAGATAGATGGTAGGTACATCGGTCAGGAGCTGCCACACCAACCATTCTATAGGCATTTCTTTGTCGTCACTTCTTCGTTTTCTATTAAAAAAAAAATGGGTGCGTGTACTTAAGTACGCGCGTGAGAAGTTATACTTCTTTTTGGAATTATTAAAAAATAGTTTTTAATTGCATGCAGATAATTAATTACAATAAGATAATAAAAGGATTGGAAAAGGATAGTCAATAAAATTCAGTTTGAATTTGAAAAATTTAATAAATAATCAAAATATTCAATTTAAATCACTACTGAATTTAAGTTATTAGTCCATATGTAATTAGCACTTGTAAGTAACTAAAACACGTTGTGTCTATATAGAAACTAGAAACATGTGGATAAATATTATAAATATGAAAACAGTGATCAGAGGCGACGAGCGTGCCAACATTGTTTTTGACAACGCGATCATCTTATGGAGCTCCGTGGATCGTTCAAAGTACCTTTCGAACAGATGTCTAATAATGGTGGATTATTAACCACTAAGTGGTTAATAATCCACCATTATTAGACACAAACATTCATAACGCGCCCGCGGCCAACTTTATAGTGTTACTATTGTGTTACAGTGATGCGCGCGCATCTCGAAATTTCACTCACATGATTTTTTCATAACGCGCCCGCGGCTAACTTCATTATGTTACTTTTGTGTTACAGTGACGCGCGCGCATCTTAAAATTTCACTCTCATAATTTTTTCATAACGCGCCTAAAGAAGTATAACTTCAAAAATCTTAAGTAAGTTTCTCTTGTCAGGTGTTACGAGTGCTGCAATTGAACGCGTTGCAAGACAGGTGCGTGTCGTCGCGTGCCGACTGGGATTCCGCAGTAGCACTCATGGAGACTGCGCTGAGGAACAAACTCGACCACACAGATGCGACACTCAAGCATCTCACCGGTAACTATAATATGACGCGTTGCAAGCAGCCTTGAGCCTCTTCAATTACGCCGTGACGTGGCGTCACTAAGCGCGTTCTATCGTTTGTACCACGGCGAGTGTTCTGAGGAGTTATTCTCTCTTATCCCACCTTCCCCTTTCCTTCAGAGGACCACGCGCGCTGGCCTACGTTGTCACCGTTTTACTGTGGCCACAATTCCAACGCGTACAAAGAAATTTGGTGACTCATTTCTTTGTCGCAATATCCGTAAATGGAATGCTCTGCCCGCTCACGTGTTCCCTCCCTCTTACCACCTGGGATCCTTTAAAAGAGGCGTGAAGAAGCAACATGCAGGCCGGCAGGGTGAGGATGGCTGGTGTGGCAGGTAGAACTGCTGTATCAGCTATCTTCGCGTCTGGACTTCACCTTCACTTAACATCAGGTGGGGTGGAGCCATTTGTCGGACCTATCTATAAAAAAAAAAGATATTAAATACCTGTATTTAGCCACGTGCGCTCATATTATGTCCCGCGCGTGGACCGCGGAAAATTTGATTTAATTTAACTTGTTATGATATGATTATAAATTGACTATAATGATATGATATAATTGGACTTGTTTAATTTTTTTTTTAATTTTGTTGATTTTACCGCACGCTCCGGTATATGGCACCGTGCATATCCTTTACAGGTATTTTTAATTTAGATTAAACCTCCTTGCAAGCCTTTTTGATCCATAAGTTTGGCTTTCTTTAATGCTAAAAAAAGAAGAAAGAGCCGAAAAAGGTAATTCTTATTTTCACCATTAGCACGTGGCGCCACGTGGAAATGCGCGCCATTTTCGTTTTAGTAAAAGCTTGCTTTATAAGTTAAAATTATAGTGTTTTCTCGCAAATGTATTGAAAAACGTTGTATGACATTGGTGCGGTATTGGTATTTACAAACTCGTGACGATGGTTCGTGACATTCGTCTTCTCCTTTGTAATAACCAATTTACCGCACTTGTATTATAACTATTATGATACAAGTATGGTAAGTTCGTTATAACACAGTATTGAAATATTTATTTTCAATACACATGCTCAAAAAAATAATAACGGTGGTTGTATACATTGTTCGAAACTTTAAAATTACGGGCCATACAAAGGAGCGTGCGGTAAAACAATTTACGCACGCTGAAAATAACTATGATTTGATTTTATCTAGCAAATAAATACTTGTGAGGAACACGATGGCGCAAGTGGTTAGCGCGTTCGGCTGCGATCATTGAAGTTGAGCAATTTTCGCAGTGGTCAGTCATTGGATGGGTGACCAAAAATTTACTATCTCTCGCTCCTCCGTTTCCGCTTCGGAGGGCACGTTAAGCCGTTGGTCCCGGCTGCACCCGCCAATTCGCACTGGGCCCGCGTGGTGGGTCCTGGCCCAATTTCCCTATTCCATCTATTGGGAAGGCTAGCGTTCCAGCAGTGGGGACATTAATAGGCTGATGATGATAATGATGAAACACTTGTCGGTTGTAGGCCCCGGTTTCAAAGAGCGCTGGCTATACTGGCAGTCGGCCACCGAGGACCAACGTCGCCGGGCCGAAGTTCGGGCCGAGTTGGAACGCCTCGGCTCATATCGGCCCGCGTTAGCTTACGATGAGTTGGTGGCTGTACGGGATAATCTGCGAAGGAGAGGTGTGGAAGTGGACAACGATTATATAAGGGAGACGTGGAAACCTGTTTATCTCAAGTGAGTATCTTTATATATATAATTCTTCTGTGAGTGTGTATGTCACTGAACTTCTCTTAAACGACTGGAACGATTTTGATGAAATTTTTTGTATGTGTTCAAGGGGATCTGAGAATGGTTTAGATTCACAATTTTGTCCGCTGGACAATGTTTTTTTAATTAATTTTTTTTATGGCGGTACGAAGTTCGCTGGGTCAGCTAGTCTTTATATATATAATTCTTCTGTGAGTGTGTATGTCACTGAACTTCTCTTAAACGACTGGACCGATTTTGATGAAATTATTTGTGTGTGTTCAAGGGGATCTGAGAATGGTTTAGATTCACAATTTTGTCCGCTGGACAACCCCTATTTTTTTTAGGCGGTACGAAGTTCGCTGAGTCAACTAGTTTTATATATTTTGTTTCTTAGGTTTTCACGCACATCACTCATCAAATAAAACTAGTTTTTCACGGGTTAATGCACGAAACTTTATTTATTTATAGTCTTTCGAATGTAGCTCGTCAATATTAAATAAAAAAATTGATTCCGACGAAGCAGCGTGTAAAAGCTGCGAAACGTCAATAAATAAATAAAGTTTCGTGCATTAACCCGTAAATAACTAGTTTTATTGAGTAATTTATAGTTATACTAACTGTCCCAGCGAACTTCGTACCGCCATAAAAAAATAGGGGTTGGTGGTAGAAGGGTGACAATTTAGGGTTGTATGTATTTTTGTATGGTGTATCAATAAATAAAAAATAATAATAATAATACTTAATAAAATAAAAACAAAAAATTGGGTCCAAAAAAAAATTTAAGTGTGGATCACCCTTAACATTTAGGAGGATGAAAGATTCTCAGACCTACTGAACATGCATATAAAATTTCACGAAAATCGGTCCAGCCGTTTCGGAGTAGCTCAATTACGCACACCGTGACACGAGAATTTTATATATTAGATTTTTTATATTTTAAGCATGCAACTGCTCCATGTTTAAATCTCAAGAAAATATTACTAGAAAATATTCCACATCGACTAGGCAGCAGACGGGACTCGAACCCACACCCTTCGCTATCCGGGCGAATGCACTGACTGACCTATATTAAACTAGAATACTAGCACTTCACTTGGTTATTCGTAGTTGCCTTTTGCCGTGTTTGACAAATGATCATCATATATGGTTAGTTTTGTTGACAAAACATTTGCGTTATTTACGAACATCAATATATTTGACAAATAAAACATTTCTCTAATCTGTGGTTTTCCGATATTTAGCACCATGTGTATATACCACACAGCGGGCAGAGATGAATTGTATCTGACTTTTAAAGCTTTAGGCCTCTAGCTAAGACTTACTTAAGCACATTTTTGTGACCAATGGGAATAATGAGATATAACGAAAATTATATCTTAACCAATTAGGAATTCCACGTGACTTCTGTTTGAGTAAAGGACTAAAACACACCTGTGGGGCGATGCCTCTGGCCATAAGAGCCTTACAGGCTTCGCTGATACAGAAACCTCATTTTCTCAGCATTCCCCTAGGTTACAAAAAAAATATTTAAAGTAGCAAACTCATTGAATAGGGTATTTGACAGTATTAAAAATAAAGTGCCAATTGTAAGCATCTGTGTTTAGAATGAATAAGGACAGGGGTTTTTACTATTTTTACAAAAAATATTCATAATTTTACTAAAACCCCACGAAAAAGATTTCGAAACCACGAAGAGTTTTCTTATCTATTGTCACGTGACCCAAAACGCTTGGGATTGGCGGAGCCTAAAATGACGTCACACGCAAGTAAACTTCCGGTTAAAGTGACATTACATTGTATCGTTTGACGTTTTAATAACAGTCATGTGACGTCACACACTAGTAAGACGCCATATTGTCCAGAGAAACGTTTTCGCGCCAACTTGAAAATGAAGTTTTTGATTTGGTTATTTTTACTGAAATACACAACAGAATGATAAATATCCACTTTTTACGGACTCCATAAACATTAGTCAATAACGTGAGATCGTTTTCTTTTTAGAAAACGATCTCACGTTATTGTAGTTGTTAAATAGGGTAGTTTTCTACCCTATTGAATAGGGTGAAGCTGATGACTAACTTTTATTTCTTCGCCTATCAGGTAGAGTATCAAAAAGTATTGGACACGTATTTTTTCTTTTTTCACTTAATCAAAACATTACAGAGATAAATGGATTTGAAATATCGCATGACGTCTCACGTCTTGGTACAATTTTTTCTTAGAAGTGACGTCACTGACTAAACTTTAACTCGCTTTATCTCTGTATTTTTTTGGCTGATTGACAAAAGCGAAAAGTAAGTGTCCATTATTTTTTGATTTATCTAACTGACGGAATAAATAGAATTTCGTTTAGCTTACCCCGTACTCACCCCTATTGACACTTCAGTATCAATCAGACCCTCGAAGAAGGTATACCAACGTGACTTAATTATTTTTTCACATTTCGTGTTGTTTCGTATCAAAAGACTAAGGTATTGTGCTTTGAAATTTCACACTAAAAAAGCACTTTGTATAAAATAGCTTATTACAAAGTGTCTGATTATACAACAGGTTTTCTATCTATAATATAAAAATGAATCGCTGAATGTGTTGCTAAGCGCAAATCTCGAGAACAGCTGAACCGATTTCGATAATTCTTTTTTTAGAATATTCCTTGAAGTACGAGGATGGTTCGACCTCAGAGAAAAATTAAGAAAGTTGCCTGATAAAGTCCAAAAACAACACTTTACTTTTCTATACTCGCTTATAAACGATTGGTAATACTACTTAAAAGTCAATTTGAACTTTAATACCATACCATAAATTTCAAATGTTAGTGGAGAGGTTCCGGGAAGGGAAAACAATTGAGTGACGTGATGTCAATAGAAGTTTGGAAAGGGAATATTTTCAGTTTTTTTTATAATTATATGAAGAGTCATTTTAGTCTACACTACAGCTCTACACCGAAGCGAAGCTAGGGCGGGCCACTAGTATTAAATATATCAAGATTATACTTACTTCATTAATGTTGTGGAGTTTTTTTCGCTCGTTATTCTCCGCAGCTAAAAAATATATCCAATAACGTGTGGTAGGGAATAAAAATATTTGGACGATTAGAGAGAATGACTTTGTAATAACAATTCTTCCACAGGAATTTCCTGCAGCGAGCACAGACGAGAGCGAGGGATTGCAAGAAGAGCTTTTATCTGTACAGTCAGCAAAACGGCAACGGGGTGAGCTTTTTATAATAACTCAATTCCATATATCTAAGGAGGAGTTTGATGGCGCAGGTAGTTAGCGCGTTCGACCTTCGATCGTGGAAGTTAAGCAACTTTCGCAGTGGTCGGTCGTTGGATGGGAGACCAAAAACTTATTATCTCTCAGTCCTTCGTGCTTTGGAAGGCACGTTAAACTGTTGGTTCCGACTGCCGGCGTTGGCACCCACCTATTCGCACTGGGCCCGCGTGGCCCAAAGCCATCCATAAGGAAGGCCTGTGCCCCAGCAGTGTTGACATTAATAGGCGGGTGATGATGATTAATTCATGTATGATAAAATATCTGTTATATATTTGCAAACACTCCACTCACTACTTACGTCTTGTGAATGAAATTAATTAATTTAAGGTATCTACACTCTTACCACCTTATTAATTAACGAAGAATAATCTTGGATAAGTTTCTCCATGTTTTGTCTTTGTTCATTGAATGACAAATAACAAGGCAAAAGTCTAATCTTATTCCACGTTTATTAATGAGGGGATTAGAGAACAGTCAATACGTGTTCGAACATGAAAATTATTATAGGGATATAGCCGAGATAGTTATCCTTAGAACGTATAAACAACATGATCAAATTTTAACTGAACAATACTTATTTTTCCACGATGTTACTTGAGCTAAATACCTGCTTACTTTAGATACTCTTATTTGGGATACTAAATTGCTTTTAGTCTGTTTTTCGTAGCATGATTTCTATTTTATACCATTAAATAGAAAGCTATTTTTTTTAATAGAAAGAGTATGTTGTGACGTCACATTCCTTAAGAAGCTTTTCCACGAAATCACAACAAAATGATAAATAATATCTAGTCTTTGTGGCGTCCATAAATAACGTGAAATCTTTTTGAAATAACCTATTGTGATGTTTTTAAACTAATAGGGTATTTGACAGTATTAAAAATAAAGTGCCAATTGATAGCATCTGTGTTTAGAATGGATATTGGCAGTGGTTTTTACTATTTTTACAAAAAACATATTCATAATTTTATTAAAAACCAACGAAAAAGATAATAGTTTTCTTATCTATTGTCACGTGACCCAAAACGCTTCTGATTGGCGGAGCATAAAATGACGTCACACGCAAGTAAACTTCTGGTTAAAGTGACATTAAATTGTATCGTTTGACGTTTTAATTACAGTCGTGTGACGTCACACGCTAGTAAGACGCCATATTGTCCAGAGAACGTTTTCGCGGCAACTTGAAAATGGAGTTTTTGATTTGGTTATTTTTACCGAAATACGCAACAGAATGATGAATATCTTTTTACGGACTCCATAAACATAAGTCAATAACGTGAGATCGTTTTCTAAAACTTATCAAATACCCTATTATGTATGTAAATAGCTTACTGCACAATATATCTCATATAATAGTTATTTACTAGCAAACCAGTGAACCAAATGTTCACCAAAACCTGATTTAAAAAAAAATGTATTTAATTAATTGAGAACTTCGGAGATTTTGTGTGGTTTCGTTTGAAATTCGTGATTTCTCGAAAACCGGAAGTGCTACGTTACTCAAATCCGGTTTGTAGTCTTATCAGACTATTCTTAACTTATAACTTAAATATTCTCTTTATCTATCTCTTACGGTTTGGCCGCTGAAACAGCACCACAGACAGACGGACGGACTTGTCTAATAGATAAGAGACTAGCAAACCCGGCGAACTCCGTTTCGCCACCAGATGGCTTCTTTTTATGTAACATTTCGTTTGGTGATTAAAAGAAGATTTTTTTTTTATAATTTTTCCTGAATTTTCTTTGCTATAAACCCCACGGAGCCCGAGACCTTTCCAACGAATGCAAAACCGTGGAAATCGGTTCGTGCGTTCTGAAGTTATAGCGTCAGGAAGGAAAACCCGACTTATTTTTATATAGTAGATTATATTAGTGCGGTATGTTGGTTATTACAAACGAGTAAACTTCGTCTCGGACTTGCCAAAGTCACGAGTTTGTAAATACCAATCCGCACGAATGTCATACAATGTTTTTCAACACATTTGCGAGAAAACAGTACCTTTACCTAATTTAAGTAATGAAGAAAACTTTTCCTAATGTCAAAATGGCGCGCATTTCCAAATGGCGCCACTTGAGGGTGGTGAAAATTAGAACTGCATCTTTCGTCTCCTTTCCTTTTTAGTATGAAATAAAAAAAAAGGTATAGATAAAAAGTGTTACCAAGGAAGTTCGACCGAAAATATGAAAAGCAACCGTAAAGAATACGCACGGCGCCATGTATGGGAGCGTGCGTTAAAACTTTTACCACACGCTCCCCGTGTGTAGCCATAGAGGTATAAGAATAGAGAAGCGGAGATAGAGACTCCACTACAAATAAGCATCTTAGTATTTCGATGTGATGCTTGGACCAACTATTGGACAGACGACGACAAGAGAGAGAGACGGTCTCTCATTTTCTCTCTCTTTTTACTTGACGGACACTTTTAGAGCCGCCGTCCCCACTCTATTCTTATACCTCTATGTGTATAGACCGTAATTTTGAACTATAGAACAATGTATATACAACCTCCGAAAATTCATGTTTTCATCTAATGTGTTGATAATACTTTTACACTTTCAATTTGTTTTGCCTACACGCATCAATTTTGTTTGCTTGTAAGGACAATAAAACGGTAAGTGAAAACTTACTTATACCTGGCTCATTATTAATTCTAATGAATTTGACCTATTTATACTTAAATGTTATTCAGATTTTTCAATAAAAAAAATTGCTTTTTTATAAAATAATATAGTCATGCACAAAACATAATGAAATAAGCTTTTCTCTAGTGCTTTCTACAAATAAACTTCAATTTTACAAAAATCTCACAGTGCTTAGAGGTTTAAGAAAGGTAAGGCATAACGGATGTTCCGTTCGGATTGGAAAACTTATCTACCTAGAACACAATAAAGTTATATTTTCAAATAAAAAAAGTGTATTCAGTTAAGGGTGTTACAAAGCACTCGTGAATGTCTAGAAGCTACGCCATCAGTTCGTAAATGTACGGCGGGAGACCTTGTACTAAAAAGAAGCGTCAAGAAATTCAGCAAGGGCTGTTTTTTTCATCCCATATTATTATATACAGAATCGACAAGTCGAAAATGGCTGCAATACGAAATGATTAATGAAATCACCTTTCATTATATATTGTGAAAAAAACAATTTCTTTTCGATAGCCATGTCATACTACATACAAATAGTATGATATATATGTGTTTATGTGGCAAGTTAGGCCGTTGGTCCCGGCTTTATCTGCAATCGTTAGCACCAGACCACTAGTCCATACCGGATTATTATTATTAATTATTAAAACTGTGACTGAATTTGTAATAGCTTTGAATACAAAGCAGATTCCAATTCCCATTCTATCTGTTCAGCTGTTTTTGGGTGTTAGAAATATACTAGAAGCCACCCGCGACTTCGTACGCGTGGAGTTAGTTAGTAATAAAGGTTCACTGCTCGTTCCCCGTAGGTGATAGCGTGATAATATGTAGCCTATATGTTGACCCGACTTCTTAATAATATTCGTGCCAAATTAGAAGTATATCCATGCAGTACTTTTTGAGTTTTACTCGACATACATAGTATAATCTCACTAATCCGGCACTATGAAAAACCGGAAGGTGCCGGATTAATGGAATGTTCTGATTACTAGATTATAGCGAAAAAGTAGTAGGTAACGAATAAAATAAAGCATTTCAAAGATGAAACAAATGTATGTAATGAATTAATTTAACAAGTACATATGGAATTACATACAATTAAAATTTAAAATAATCCTTAATTGAGGTCTGCTTTTGTGCAACTTTTAGTCCTTGTTTAAAAACCTTTTCTCGCAGAGTAGAGGGGCGAGGGAGGCATGGGCGGAGGGTGCCGGATTATTGGACGTGCCGATCTATCGAAGTGCCGGATTAGTGAGATTATACTGTACAGACAAACAGGCAAATATTCTTTTGGCTTCGGTGTTGATAGTAGATCCACACCCCAAGTATTCTTTTAAAAACATATTTAATGTACAGTTTTGACTTTCCTAACAGTTTATGTGTATAGATGATTGGTATATTATTATAGAGAGAAAAATCAAAATTTCCCTTCTCGTATTGTTCCATGTGTCGGTCAGAAGGAATGCTGCGAGGTAGTAATGTTCTGGCGAGTTCAAGCAACTCTCCGCACTACGGCCAACGCGCTGCGGCAGCAGATCGGGAACAGAGAAGCGGCCAGGTTGGACAGGCATCTGAGGGAGGTGCTAGACGAGGTCAGTCACATTTATAACACTTATTCGTTCATCAACACTTGCTGTACAGTTTGTACACCTTTAGTGAGATTTAGTTAGTTAGAGTGCAGGAGAAAAAGATCAGAGAGAGATAACTTCGGAGATTATATTGTAAACAAGGTCACAGATCAGGTGTAGGCTATTCTTGTCTCTAATGTGTTAATTAGTTCGCGATTCTAATTGCACTGTCTTTAAATAAAAAGAAATAATAATTTATAATTACGATAATATGACACTCTAGGTAAACGCGGGTCATTGACGCGGCCTGAGTGACGTTCGCGGTGTTAGCAAATTTTAATGTACAAGTTAACTGTACACTTGCCGAGTCAAAAACATCAGATCATTCACAGTCGCCGAAAAAAAACTTCAAATATCAGACCATTTTATTCATTCATTTATGACTCGCGGATTAGCTCGATGGAGCAGGAGGTTTACTCTCTTTCTCCGAAACAAAGTTTCGGTAACGAACTAATTTTAAACGAAATTTCGCCAGTAAATAGAAATAGAGTAGTGTCTACTCTATTTCTTTTTCCAACATGCACGTAAAGTTCGGAATCACAATCGATTTTCTACTTTTTAGATTACGTTTTTTACTTGGAAACAATATTACTTTATGACAAAAATTTTGATGACATTGAAAGAACCTTCTTGGACAGTGTTAGCCGACTAATTTGTAGAGTTAATACAATCGATTGTATGTCAACCTAAATTGGTCGTTTAATACTTTGAAGTATTGGAAATACTATAAATCATAAAAATTTTGATTATTTGTTAATTTGACATGTTCCTCACGCTAAGCAGCCTTGACTAAAAATACTCTAGCAGTTATTTTAGGCTTAATTAAAACAAAAATACCAAATTCGTCAATTTGAGGTTAAAATTTCGAACAATTATCTGTCAAATTCAACTTTTCCTTCGAAAGTTTTGTGAATTAGAGTAGGCTTGGAGAATTTAGTTGCCAAACTATTTTCAGACGACCGAATTTTCGAAATGAAAAAGAAAGAGAGTAAGGAACGTGCGAAATTTCGTTTTTCGTCGAAATAGAGTAGTCCTCCAAGTGGTAAGAGCGTTTGGTCTGCGATCTCGGAACTGGAGCAACTTTCGCAATGACCGGCCATAGGATGGGTGACCAAAGACTTATTATCTTAAGCTAGTCCGTGATTAGGAGGTTAGTCTGTAATCGTTAGCACCCATCAATCCGCGCTGAGCCCGCGTGGTGGGTCATACACAAGAAAATATAATATTATTTTTTAATTGTTTGTCTGATGTGTATGAAATTAAATTTTAATGAAAACTGTTATCTCTCTTCTAATAAAGTCCAATCGATATTAACATATTTTGTATTCTTCAATGTGAAGATGGCGGCGGACCCTGATCTCAAGAAGACTCTGTTGTCTGGAAGAAGAGTAGAACTAGCAGAAGAACTAAGTAAGTATAAAGACAGATACAAAAATCGTTTAATTCCATCATATACAGCACACAAATTTGAAGTTGACAAACAACAACATTTATTATTATAAGTATATAAACGTTACATTGACAATAAACATAAGATTAATTAATCATTTTTACATTGTGGAGTTATGATTACGGTTGCCAGATGTTGGCTTATCATTACCGGGACATTTGCACCCCCACCCCCCGTCCCCTGAAAAAATAAAGCATCAAATTAGTGTTGAGTAGGACTTACAATAAGCGGTACATTTGTCCCGGACATGACGTCATAATGTAAGAGCGGCTCAGAATTTTAAAATGTCCTACTTCACATTAAATGTCGCGATGTCGCGTCTCGTTACTCACTCACTCTTCGTAAGTCTGAGAGAGAGAGCGAGCGAGGAGAACTGTGGAATTCCTTGCCTGAGCCCTTGTTCCCCGAACACTACAATCTAGCGGTCTTCAAAGCAAGAGTGAACCGGTTTTTATTAGGTAAGCGCGCTCCATCGTAGACCATAATATTGCTTTCCATCAGGCGAATTATGGTCAAGCGCTTACGTATTACCGAATTAAAAAAAAAAAAAAAGAGGCATGAAATTTCATTTAAGTCCTTTACGCACTATCCATCTGTATCTCTATCTCTTTTATGTATATAGCGCTGTCCTGCATGCTAGATCCAGCAAGATTGATAGTGCGTAGAGGAGGTGCTACTCGTGCATATAAACGTAATGTCGAGCTTCTGTACGCCTCAATGTCATATTTGTACTCGTCACTTCAAATGTATTGCCGAGCTTTATTACGCCTCGCCTCATTTGAAGTGGGACATTGTACTGGCTCAGTACAAAAAAGAGGCTACTCTTACAAACTCTTTTTCAAGTCGTGTCCTACCCAACACTACATCAAATCAAACCCCCCATCACCCCCCAGAATTAAAACATCAAGCAGGCCAGCGGAGTCACTCGTTATTAGTTTATTTTGTTACGAATCCAGCACATTATCGGAATCCAGGACAATATGGTCTAATTACTGGACATGGGACAAGACGCAAAATTCCGCGACAATCCCGGATTATCCGGCCATCTGGCAAGCCTATATAGTTATGATTCATTTGAAAACATTACCTTTTAAATTGCTCTCTCAATATCAGCACAAAAGCTACACTATTCTTTAACGCGTGTCATACATTATGTTTCTTAATCGTATTCTAACTTCAAGCTCTAAAAATGTTTGTTATTGTAGATATTCATACATGCTCCCTCCTTCCTATAATCTGGAATCCTTTAAAAGAGACTTGAAGAAGCATTTCCGTAGGCCGGCAATGAGGTGAGGATGGTAGTTCCTAACTGCTGCACTGGCTATCTTCGCGTCTGGAATTTACCATCACTTAACATCAAGTGGGGTAGAGTCATTTGACTATTTAGCTATAAAAAAAGACGTAAGAAGCGTTTCCCATATTTTTTTTGAAATGAAACTTCTTTACGCACCCTTGACTTGGGGGGTAAGCTGGCGAATGCGTTACGTGTTACGAAAAGTGCGTTCGGGCGAGGCGAACGGAAGTTGAGTGGGGGATATAAGCAAGAGAAAGCAGTGCGCGCGCACATTTTCTTTCTCTTTTTCTCTTATAGCAAGTATTTATTTATTATAAATACATATTTCAATATTGTACACATATACATGGCGTATACAGCTCCACAGCTACCTCACACGGAGGGAAAGTACATTAAATATTGAAGATAGGATATTTTACTAAAAGAAGAAATATTTTATTTTTTTATAATAACTAGAACTAAACTGACTAGAGTTCTAGTTATTATTAAATATTAAATGGTGTCTTCTTTTGGTAAAATAAACTAACAATATTTAATATACTTTCCCTACGTGTGAGGTAGCCGTGGGACACCCTGTATATATATACATAAGATGGAGCTAAAGAAGTTTCGCTTTAGTCGTGTGGTCTAAGCTCACTCCTTTTTTTTATTTTTTATTGTGGACGACTACCTTCTTTCGGATGTTGTGGTCTCTGACATAAAGTTGCAACTGTTTTAAATGTTTTATTTTCAAAATTTAACAGTTTCTAATAGGATTTCTTTTTCACAGAACGAGTACGACAAGTACAAGAGAAATTAGAAGAGTTCATAGAGGCGTTAAACAAAGAGAAATAAATAGTCACTGTACATTATAATAGTGTGTACCTTAGCTGTATGCGTTGAAGGTTCAAAATCCAATGGAACCATTACAAGTGTCTTGAATTTACTACTCTCTCTTTATTTTATAATTGTTATAAATTTGTATATTTTTCTAAGTGTATTTGTCGAAAGTATGTGATTATTTTATAATATTAAAATTTAAGTAATTTAGTCTCGGATGAGATTGTGTGCAAAAGTTTTCATACTTCTAATGGTTTCTTTGGGAATTTTAGAATCATGTATATTATATAACTAGATAGCCGAACTGACGAACTATTTATATACTTTCAGAGTACGTTAAGTCCATAGTATAAGGTGCATTTACGTTTATAGATAATCTCTTTCAGATTTCAAGCTCTCAGCCTGTTGAAATAATATGCATTTTCGTTTGACACATATAATTTATGTTTGTAATCTCGTATCATATTGTTAATTCTTAAAGTGTAGTTATGAAGTGTATATCTCTGATTTACAACTGTGAAAATATTGAAATAAGATGCATTTCTCCCTGACACATTATGGATTAAGTTGTATTATTATCCTTTGGCACTTATATAACAGTTATTGACTGAAGAAAATTATAATATTACAGTTATGAACTGGACTAATTAATTTATAATTTTCCACTTGATTCCTTAAACAAATGTTTAGGAATGATTAAATTACCAGGTGTCGTTTTCAGATATAACCAGTTATATGTAGCTATTTTATGCAGAAATGAATTAATTTGTAACAACCAAAAATTTATATCCTTGATATAGATTATCTTAAAAACAGCACTCGAATTTGTTTGCTATGAACTAGTTTTTTTTACGATACCTATACAATGTTATAAACACATGTTTTTTCACCGTCCTTTTATAAAATTTATATATTATGTTATATATACCATTTATTAAAAAGCTACATATATATACCAAAAATCGTATTATGATATAAAGCATTTTTGATTGTTCGATTTGTAAGTATGGTTTGTTTTTATTGTTAGTGGTGTCAATTCGAGTATGATTCTCTGAACTTAAAGCTTAATTACACATCAGTCTCTCCATTTCATTCTGTATACATACTGACAAGGATACACTATTGTCAAATTTAAGTTTAGGTTAAGAGAATCGTGCCAGAATCGACACCAGTATGATGTTTTTATACAAATACCTGTTTTCGATCTGTAATGAATTTGCAATACGTTTGTCTTATAATTGAGGCTGTCAGCGCAAAAGTTGCGTAACCTTCAATTATTCATATTCTGATTCATCTTCTACGATTAAATAAAAATGTGTAAAAATTTAATTCAAAATCAGCCTATCTCTTGTGTTACACCAGGCGTCAATAGATGGCGTTGCAAAAGTTCTTTTTGCATTGTTTTTTCTCTTAACGTAAACTTCATAAGTGGCCTAAGCCGCTTAATCAGAATATGAATAATTGAGGGTTAGGCCAGTTTTGCGCTGACAGCCTCAATTATAAGAACATAAGTTAAATGTAATACATATTCTCATGTCAATATTAACTTCTATTATAAACCTTATAAAGTAAAAGTGATTATATAAGATTACCATTATACAGCCGTTAAAGGTAAGATAATTTTTCTCCCTGTTTGTGCGATGGATGATGTAAGTATGAATAGTTGAAAGTCTGTAATCTATGGATCGTCAGTTCGGTCCACTCTAGCTTGTTTATAGGCGACGTGCGTACAACACAGCAGACGAACAAAGTTCCTCTATGATTATAACTCGATTGCTTCTCAGTTATTGTAATATGCGTAAATTTTAGATTTTTTATAACCCCCCAGTAACTTATTTTTTTTTTGGCGAGAGAAAAAGAATTTTATGTGTCAATCTAGGTGATAAACTATACATTTATCGGCTGTTTCATACAAAAGTGCATCAGCTAATCGACCGAAATGTATGAAACAGCTGATTTTTTTTTCGCTATTTAAGGCTCGTATTACAGAAAAATTCTCAGTAATGAATCTAGTCTTGAGCATAGTTAGAAAGGGATGTCGCTATATATAACACATAGCGACATCCCTTTCTAACTGTACTCAAGTAAAGATCAACACTTAGTTGTCATTCTGTAATACGGGACTTAGAGTTGGTCCCATAATAAAAGTTGTTCCTGTTGATGGGTAGAATAACCCCCTTAGAGGTTGTTGGGGTTTTAAAATTAACCCTGTATATATGGCAAATTTCATCCAAATTCATTCAACTGTTTAAGCGTGAAGGAGTAGCAAACTTTCTTATTTATTTTATTAGTCGAAAGTGTGCCGTCTTTGACCTATTGGAGGCCCTGGGCATATTAGGATAATGGGGCCCCTATGACTTCCGTTTGGTGATTTATCAGGAACTAGGGACTTTGTATTTAATCTCAGGCACTTGCCCAAAGTGCCCACTAGGAAAGACGGGTCTGTGTGTACTAGAGACCTGCCCTCGCTTCGCTTCGGTGAAGACTATAGTTTTCGATGTAAGACACGCACTATACATATAAACTTACGTCTTGAATCACTCTCTCTAATGCTGAAAACTGCATTAATATCCTTTGCGTAGTCATAGACATAGTCATTTATTTCTTAAACAATTTTCATTGTATTGGAAATCACAAACTAAACTACATAGTTCTAAAGATCTATGCAACTTTGTTTTATACTATGCAAATATTAAGATCGGGATAAAACGCTTATATTACTAATATAGACCTATAGCAATGTAACAGGCTCTGACGAAGTAAAATTGTATCCACCAAGATGGCCTTGCAAAGCAACAATAGGTCAGGTAATTAGGTTATCTAATCTCAGATTACTTCAACAAACTTTAAGCTTTGATCCCCTTGATATAAGATTCACAGTCGTTTGAGCGAAGTCAATACTAAAAATCATAAAATCGAAAAGAATTATTTGTCACTATTGTCACGTGACCGAAAACGCCTAGGATTGGCGGAGCCTGAAATGACGTCAGCTGCTTGTAAACATGCCGTCGAAGTGTCATAACTTTGTACTGTTTAATGAGAGCCGTGTGACGTCACCTGCCTGTAAGAAGACATATTTGCTAAAGAAACGCTTCCGCCTTATATTTGCAAACATTTTTTTTGTTACTGATATACGCAACAGAACTATAAATAACGTTTGTACATTTTCAAGAACTTGTCAAATAATCTTTTATCCCTTTAATATTAAAACTTTTTTTCTGATTGCTGTTAGTATGCAATGAAGTCTACTTCTTATATATTTAATAAAAGAGTAAATTGCATTTATTCTACATTTTTGTCATGGACTGCATTTTTCGCAACTTTTTTAATTGTACTTTTTTTTATTATTCTGGTCAACTTTTAGTGCTTATCACACTAGCATAAACATGACAGTTCTTTATTTTAGAGATTATATATATTTAAATGAATAACCAAATTTCTGTTTACTTAAAGCTTTAACAAACATTGCTATTTAAATATAAAAGCCCAATGAAATTATATTTCTGATTTGATTTAACTATACACTGATTGTACAAAGAAAATCAAAAATAGCTGATTAAATGGGACATAATGTATTGAAAATACAACAGATTCACAGTAAAAATACATCTTTCAACTAAAAATAATATGTATGTAAATGCCTACATAAATTCAAATACCAAAATGGTGAAACATAGACTAATACTTTTATTGTAATATCACTATTGTACCTATGTTTTATGAATAAATTTATTCTATTCAATAATAATTAATAACGAAATTTTAAGATATTGGTAAAGTCCTTATTAACTTATGTGTCAAATCTTTATTATTCACCCCAGGCAAACGTTTTGAGCAACGACCGTAGACAAGGAAACCTGCGCAGTGGCAAAATTTACATACAGAAACGTCTGCTGCGCAAGTTTATTTGTCTGTGGTTTTGATGAAGAAGTTTTCCGCTACTTAAACTATACTACAAAGTTTGTCATTTCATTGAAAGTTACCTAGTGAAGAAACTTAAGGTTTTAATAACTTTAAAACAGAATGAAAAGACGATATTTTTTCATTTGCAAGTCGCGTTGTTTAAAATATATCTTTAAAAATAGGCAAATAATTATTTGCCCTACCTATATTTAAAGATCTTACATAAGTATATTAAAAAAACTATGTTATGAAAGCCATTTGTAATAAAAACTTGTAATTATGAGAGTTTCAAACAATGAAACATACATAATAATGTACAATTTAAGAAACATACATTCTCGCTATTTTGGATCCCCAGTAAACTATAACTTATTTTTAAACGCTTACTTTTCTTTAAGTATGTCAATGAATATGTTAATTGAATAAATAAATATAAAGTGTCCAAAATATTTAATGCATTATCAACGCTAACAAAATATAAACCTACTTTGGATATATGGTATCACTGATTGTAATAAAAGTATGCACAGGCAACAGTGATAAATATAGTGATCGAAATATATATAACATAGTGTTTGTATTGTTGTAATAGTTATCCTAGTGAAATGGATTTGCTGCTGTGTTGGCCGCAGTAGTTATATTGTATAATTTTGTTATTAATTTAACGCTTGATCTAAGTTATCTTATAATAAAAAGTTATCAAAATAAATTGCGTTTTGATTTCTAAACATAGCCGAAAGTTGAAATTTGCTTTAATCAAATTGGTCATATAATAGGGTATTTGACAGTGTTGAAAATAAAGTGCCAATTGTTAGCATCTGTGTTTAGAATGAATATTGGCAGGGGTTTTTACTATTTTTACAATAAAAATATCCATAATTTTACTAAAAACTAACGTGACTCAAAACCCTTGGAATTGACGGAGCCTAAAATGACGTCACACGCAAGTAAACTTCCGGATAGAGGGACATTACATTGTATCGTTTGACGTTTTATTAACAGTCGTGTGACGTCACACACTAGTAAGACGCCATATTGCCCAGAGAAACGTTTTCGCGGCAACTTGAAAATGGAGTTTTTGACTTGGTTATTTTTACTGAAATACACAACAGAATGATGAATATCCACTTTTTACGGACTCCATAAACATTAGTAAATAACGTGAGATCGTTTTTTTAAAACTTGTCAAATACCCAATTCTTATATACGTAATTAATATTACTTTTTGCCATAATATGTCTTAGTAGTATAGCTGTATTATCTTGATACTACGAATATTAATGAAACAGGTGCCTTTTAAATCCACAACTTTTTAAAAAACGTGATGACATCACAAAGGTTCAGCCCCACCAAACCACATCGCGTAGGATAGGAACGAATTTTTTAATCTTGAAAATTGCCACACAGACTCCGGCCGCGGAACGGTGACGATCGTTAACTCTAAGTGGACAACAGGTGAAGGATGCCGGCAAACGAAAAACGTAGTTCCGGCGGCAAACAAGAGACTTGCCCGCACCCTTACCAGGCTATATAGGAACAAACTCCGCAAGATTATAGGAACACTGACTGGTCATTGTCCCGTTTCGTTACCCTAGCATCCCATTATGCAAGCCTACATTGACTACTTCGGGGCTAGGCTAATTGGTGAGTAATGAAAATATTTATTTATTTGCACCTTTCTCTATCCCACTCTCACAGTACGTTAGACAGGCGTAGAGGAGCGGTGACGTCGTGATAGCGTTTCGGTGCCTCCTGCGTGGCGTCGTCGCGTATTTTGTGGGGAAAGTTTACAAAAATGTCTGTATCTTTAAGCTAGGGAGCAGTACCCCTAGCACGAACCAATATCCGATTCGTATCGTTTGCGAGTACGAAATGACATTGTCAAATGTTTACTGATTTTTAGTTTCTTGTTACGATCGTTGTGGCGCTGCTGTTCAAGTTTCCATACAAAATTTGACATTGACATTTCGCACTTGCAATCTATTCGAATTTCGTCGGTGATATTCTGAAACCGCGGAACTAACAGTGTTTAAAACCGCGTATTTACAAAACTAGCAAAATCGAGATTTCGCAGGCTTAGCTTCGTTGTAGTGATTGGCTGCGTTCTGTGATGATGGCTGGGCCTATATCAAATAGGAAGCCGTGGAATCGAATGTCTTTTAATCCGCGTAACTTCAGGTGATTGTTTATTGTGCTCAAACCGCGTATGCATGTAACTTGCTACTGGTTCGACGAAACCGCCTGTGATTTAAGAACTACCACTTACGCATCATTTTTCATTGATTATTTGACTAAGTTATTAGAAGAAGATTGCAGGGATGTTGTCATCTGGACGGATGGCTGCACTGCACAGAACAGAAACTCAATAGTTTCTAATGCCCTTATAAGATTAGCAGTAGACAAAAATACAACAATTACAGAAAAGAATCTGGAAAAAGGTCACACTCAAATGGAGGTTGCCTCCGTACACTCCGTAGTGGAAAGAAAGCTGAAAAATGTTGAAATTTTTCTTCCTTCTCAGTATGCCTCAATTACAAAAGAAGCCAGGAAGCATCCTTCTCCATACCAGGTTTTTCAACCAGATTACACATTTTTTAAAGACTACAGTCTAAAAGAATACCAAATTTATGATTCCATTCGTCCTGGGCGTTCTGCTGGAGATGATTGCGTAGTGGATCTGAGGGTTTTAAAGTATAATCCTAACGGCACAATAGAGTTTAAAAAACACTTTAAAGATGATTTCAGCCCACTTCCTCGGAGACCAAAACCTATTTCAGCTGTAGTTATAATGTACCTCCCCTGTATTCATCTAGACTGCCTATATTAAACAGTAAGTATCAGCACTTACAGCAATTAAAGAGTGTGATACCTGCAGATTGACACTTATTTTACGATAATTTGCCATTTAAGAAAAGTAATGTTTTATTGATCTCATTTTTAACAAAGACCTCAATGTGCAATTATTATTCTACTCAGAATTAATATTTATATACGTTTTGTTCTTAATTTTTAGTTTTAACTGTTAATTAGTAAGTACCCTCTCAACAAGGTATGTTTAACACACTTAGCTATAAAGAGCTATTTTTTTTAACATTATGGGGATTTATGGTGTTAATTTCCTGTATATTGTTGATTACCTAATGTACCGGTGATAAATATGTGCCAAAAATTAAACTCTGAAGTTGACTTAATAAATAATTATAGGATGTTGATTGTATTCTTTTGTTTTATTTCAGCGGACAATTCCGCTTAAGTGACATAAAAAAACTCATTTTGATTTTATTTGAGATAATAAAACCGCGAAAGTCGATTTACTAATTAATTAATACATATTTAACATAACTAATGCCTACAATACCAAGAAGAATATTATATTTTGACAATTTAAATGTTTAAACAATAGAAAGTCATGTGATTCAGTAAATATTAAGTATTTCTTCGTTCCTGTAAAATTCACTGCACCTACCTTACGCGGTTTTAGACACTTAGTTCCGCGGTTTCAGAATATCACCGACGATTTGATATTGGTTTGTGCTAAGGGTACAAAATGCGCTAGCATCACTTCTGGCTTCACAGAAAGTCACTTCTGGCAACCCAGTTGTTTACTTCGTAACTGACATTTCTGTTGGTGTGGTGACGCTAAAAGTCTAGAACTGGTGCATAGAGAAAAATAATACAGTGTTTTTTACTAAACCTGTACGAAACTACATTTGCAACAGCTTTTAAATCATTACATATTTTTACAGTAAATAGTAGCTCTGTTTCAAGCTAAAATGAATAATGATCTTGTTCTTATGAAGTCTGTTATGAGGTTTTTGACTGGCGAAAACGAATGTTTATGTAGGTTATGCTTAACTTTAGCAAAAGAGCACAATGTATCTTTTTACGATTCTGTGGAGATACAAAGACCATACATCCAAGAGATAGTAACCTATAAAGAAATCTTAGAAGATCTAGGTGTAAGTATCTTGTGTCTGTATTTCTTAGAAACCAAACTATATTATGTATCTACTTAATTAATTGCAAGCATCGAAATTTAAATCGTTATTTTCATTGCTCCGTTACTAAGTTTAGAATTTTTGTTACTTTGACTTAATAATTAGCTTTAATCAGATTTACTCTTTCAGCTCCATCAAGAAAATTTGCTTCCTCAAATACTTTGCAAAAGCTGTGCCACTACCATAATCAACACATATATATTCAAAAGTCTAATACGGTACTGCCAAGAAAAATGGTCAGATATAATAACTAAAATTGACAACACATTGAAACCCACCAAATCAATATCAGACAGTGTTAAAACAATCTATTTTTTAGTTAATGAAAACCAAAATGTTATGCTCACAAGTCGCACAACCATAAAAGGCAAGAGAAAAGTCTTACAAAAATTAAAAGAAGTCATTAGTTACAAGAAAAACTATGTCAGAGTAAAAAAAAATACTACAAAAACAATCTGTGAGGAATGTGGAGAGATTTTCAAGTCAAAAAGCCTTCTCTCAAGTCATTATGACAAAGTACATAGCACAATCAAATACCCATGCTCATTTTGCCCTAAAGTTGCCAAGTCAAAGATACAATTAGAAGGGCACATTGTGAGAATGCACTATCCCAAGAAATTCAAATGCCCCAAATGTGATAAAATGTTCAGCACAGACAGGCTATTAACTTACCATGATAAAAGTCATCATAGAGCTGTGATATGCAAACTTTGTTTCATACAATTCCCATCCAAATTAGAATTGAGGTCACATATGGACAAGCATGATGTTTTAAATTGTCGGAAATGTGGTAAAGTATTTTATAGTAGACAGACGATTAGATCCCATGAGAAAATATGTGGTAACTTGGAACAGAAACAGGCAAAATTCTTTTGTGATATATGTAAAAAAGGCTATGCCCGAAAAGGAGGTATACGCAGTCACCTGAAAATCGATCATGGGTATGGAATTAACATGCACAACTGCAAGTGGTGCAACAAAAAGTTTGATGCTGCAAGTAAACTCAAAATGCATGCAGTTGTTCATACAAGGGAAAGAAACTTTCATTGTGAACATTGTGGTAACAAATTTGTAACCCAAGCAGCACTAAAATACCATGTCAGGCTACACACTGGTGAAAGACCCTTTCAATGTAAAATTTGTGGGGAGCAATTCGTATCAGCTTCGAGAAGAATGGAACATACACATAGAAAGCACATCGGCCCAACCAAAGAATGTTCAATATGCCATGTGAAGTTTATACTTGATAATCAGCTCAAAAGACATATGAGAAGACATTTCAATCCTCAGAGTAAACTTTATGTGTGTGATAAATGAACAACAAGATTAATGTAATATTTGATATTTATTTAAATCTGTAAATAACACCTGTATGACTGCACCATAACCAATGTTGCATAAATAATGAATGTTTGTTTTTACCTTTATGAAGCCTAAATTACAAACATTTAGAACTTACTGTCTATAGCAACAATAAGTTGTAACTTCTGATAATTATTTTATTTATTCATAAACTAAAATAATTCCCTTTATTTCATGGCATAAGACAAAAATGACATAAGAGGGTGAAATAATAAAACTAATTCACATAAACTTGATAAGTTAAAAAATACTTCAATGTAAGATGTATACAATTACAAATTTCAGCATAAAATAAAAGAACTGTAAAACTTGTATGGTTAATTATTTTAAAATGATTATAATGGATTTTCTCATGTCATGCTGAGAAATATGTTCTAATGTAATACGCACAAAATGTTTACCCTAAAAAACAACTATTTTCTGAAAATATTCAATTGGTTTTCTTACATATTTGCTTTTACATACATATTTTTAGAATCATCTTGATTTAGCAAGAAATGGTGTTAAAATTAATAATAACAATTATTTCAATTCATTACTAATGACCTCTAGGTATGTACTGAATCGAGCCCTTACCGCCAAATTATCGTAAGCGACACTCGCCAAATTATCGTAAGCGACACTTTTGTCGAAATGCGTTTTTTGTGGAAACTAATATTTTAAACCGTAACGGACCCATCTCTGTTGATATTTCCCTCCAAAAGAACACCGTTATAATATAATAGAGGGAAGAATAGAGGAAAATATCAACAGAGATGGGTCCGTTACGGTTTAAAATATTAGTTTCCACAAAAAACGCATTTCGACAAAAGTGTCGCTTACGATAATTTGGCGGTAAGGACTCGGAATGTCCTGCATGTATACAGAAAATACCTCTGACCCAACTTGTATATTTAGATAGGTACAATAATAAACTTGATTATAAATAGATTAATGCCATCTTGGCAAAATTGTTTGTAGTTAAAACTAACTGAATCATTTGTGATTTTATTCTGAATTTTCATTGTCTAGCTAATTTGGAGGTATTACTCTTGACACATATAACTTGCTTGTTGGGTCGTAATGTTTATTCATATGTTGCTTCAGAAAATGTGTTGTGACAAACTTCTGAGAACATATCTCGCACATCAATGTGGGGCCGATATGTTTGAATTTGATATGTTCAGTTCTTGCTGAAGCATTCACAAACCTTTCATCACAGTGTTTGCAGGTGTAAGGTTTCTCTCCTGTGTGTCTTCTTGTATGATACAGCAACGCCTCTTTTGAAACAAACCTATTCCCACAAATATTACATTTAAAATTCTTTTCTCCTGTATGCTTAATCATATGAACTTTTAGATAACTAGGGGCAGTAAATTTCTTTCCACATTGTTTGCAAACATGTGGTTTAGCATTGCCATGTGTAAACCTATTGTGTACCCTCAAACTACCATATGAGCTATATCCTTTTCCGCAAATATTGCAAAAGAAAGTTTTCACAATTTCACTTCTTATAGGATGTGGATCAATGAGATCTTCAAAGCAAAGCTTGACATGCTTTAGAAAGAATCCTTTTGTAGAATACACTTTTCCACATTTTGGGCACTGATTTTTCTTATAGCTGTTATTACTGTGTTTGTCTTCATGGGAGCGCAGGTTGTCGCGTCCTGTACATGATATACCACATTTTTTACATTCATGTAATGTGTGAGCTGAGTCTATATGATTGTCAAGTTGGTCTTGTGTGTCCTTCCTTATTTGGCACTTATCACATTTGTATTTATGAGCATTATTTACATGGTATAAAAGTTCCGCATTATTAACATATGTTTCGTGGCACAGTTCACAAGTCAAAAATCCATGAAGGGAAAGGTTGTGCGTTTTTAATTCATCAAGATCAATGAAGCTATCATCACACAGAAAACATTCAAATGAATGTTGTCCTTTCTTCGACTTTGACTCCATATTTTTTTTATTCTTTACTAAAAGAATTTTAGTTGTATTATCTTCAAGAGCTATGTAAAGAGATTGATTTTGACAAGATAAATCAATTTCTCCATTCAATGTCTCTGCCAATTTGTCAAAGATGTCATAAAGCTTTTTATTTGCATTTTTACACAGTTCTAAAAATCTCATGGCTTCTAGAGTTTTATTAACACATTCTGTGCAAACGGCTTCAATGCCTGGGATTTCTTCAAGTGACTGAAAGAAAATGTATAATTAAGGAAACTCATTTCGTTCATAACAAAAATAAGTACATCATAACAAATTTAGTTAGTCTCTTACCAAATTATTCCCAAAAAGCACTGTTAAAACATTGGACAAGGGAATAAAATCAATTTGATCAATCGTTACTAAATCATGAAACCGTACAAAATGCTTTTCAATAAACTGCAAACATAACCTGCAGTGGCTGAATCGGTTAGCATTAACTATGTTTGATACAAGAGTTTGATTAATAGAATCCGATTCTCCGAACATGATTGTTTTTATTTATTTTTTGTTGACTATTCGAAACTCGCAACAAGATTCACTCGAAGGAAATCAAAACATAAACATGTCAAATACCGCGGTTAAATAAAATTTTAATTTTCGTTCAAGAATGCAAACTAGATTTCACGCACACGTCGCGTCAATTTCCCATTCTCATCAAAGATGTCGATTCTGACATGATTATCTAAAACTGTTTACAGAATTGTCCCAGAATCGAGACTTAAGCCCGTCACAGACGTAGCTATAATATATATTAATATAAATCATAGCAAGACATATTACAACATATTTTCAATATAAATTTTCGAGTGTCCACACACGCAGCTATAATATATATTTCTATGACGTCACCAAAATATGTCGACAAATATATTTTGGCATATTACTGTATATTTTGGTATATTAATATATATTTTGATATATTAATATATATTTTGATATATTTTTATGGTACGGTATGTTCCATTTTTCACCGAACGCCTGCCAAAATATATATTATAGTACAGCACCCGTCTGTGGTACTTTGTTTAATAAAATATCTCGATATATGAATATATATTATAGCTACGTCTGTGACGGGATATATTTTGGCATATTAGTATATATTTTTAATACGGAATGTTCAACTTTTCACTGAACGCCTGCCCGATCTCCGACTCAAGCCCGTCACAGACATAGCTGTAATATATTTTAATATGAATCATAGCAAAACATATAACAACATATTTTCAATATAAATTTTCGAGTGACCGCACACGCAGCTATAATATATATTTCTATGACGTCACCAAAATATGTCGACAGATATATTTTTATGATACTCGATGTTCCATTTTTCACCGAACGCCTGCCAAAATATATATTATAGTACAGCTCCCGTTTGTCGTAGTTTGTTTAATATAATATCTCGATATATTATAGCTACGTCTGTGACGGGATATATTTTGGCATATTAGTATATATTTTTAATACGGAATGTTCAACTTTTCTCTTAACGCCTGCCCGATCTCCGGCTCAAGAGCGCACGAGCATTTCTCCCCCACCCTCCCTCTCCTAAAATACTGTGCAAATTTATTGGATGACAAAACACGATACAAATTAAATTCACCACAAGTTTTCTTTTGTTTTATATGCGACTCTACCCAGATGATTATATTTTTCGTTCCTGACAAGGCAACATGCATATCAAATTCAGCATCGGAATCATCCTCTGAGGAACTTTCAATTAAATCTAAAAGTAGTGCTCTTGTCGAATTCATTTCATTCATTCATTGTAAGATTGATTATAACGTTATTTCAAAATTAAAACACCCTGTGCTAGAAAATAAGCTTTAAAACCGTGCGCTTGCAAAAACAACCGCAGACCGAGTGAGGGCAAAATATATATTATAGTATACCTCCCGTCTGTGGTAGTTAGCTTTAATATAAAATATATTACGATATATTAATATATATTATAGCTACGTCTGTGACGGGCATTAATATCAGAGTAAAGGCAGAAATGCAGAACATACTTATCTGCTGACGTGTCAGAGAGCTAAAGTCGAACCACGACAACTTTGCAGAGTAAGGGTGCGGCCAGAGTGCATTCAGATTCTGAAAACAAGCGCGAGAAATAAACAGTGTAGTCGAAGGGTACGGCCAGAGTGCACTCCTGATTCAGATTCAGACTCAGAAAAGAAAAAACGAGAAAAAGCAGGCAACCTGCTTAGACTACACTGTTTATTTCTCGCGCTTGTTTTCAGAATCTGAATCTGAGTGCACTCTGGCCGCACCCTAAGGCCGTTTGTCCACCGCCGCCGTCACCGTCACGTCACCGAGAACGAGATTATTTCGGGCCCAGTTTAATATGACGTGACGGCGATCGTTTGTCCACCGCGACCGATGGTTTAGTTTGTTCCATCTCGGTAGTCGCGTTTTCGAAGAAATAAAGTGGTGGCTAGATTAAACCGGTGACAACTTCTTCTCCTGCTTTTGTACCTTCGAAGGCGCAGGCGATGCAAAGAATTTTGGGTTCATCCGCTAATACGTGAACGATACATCACAGGAGCGTTTTATGTACACAACGCCAAGTTGCGGCAGCATGACGAGAAGTTTTTATTAATGAATAAATATTGTATTTAACTTTTTTGGCCATTTTTATTACAATGATATATTATGACAATTGATGACAGACAACGGAACTGAGCTCGTGTACGATGCGACGGCGACGGCAGTGTGTGGACAAGTTCATACGTGTTTTGTATTGCCGGCATATCGGCCCGTCAAATTCTCAGGCCACGTTCTAGCGGTCACGCCGATCTACTCGCAATTTCGCCGGCCGGGATGACAGCGCTCGGGTGACGGATGTGCGGTGGATACGCGGCTTAAGTAAATGTATGTACCGCTACTTCGACGCCGTCACCTCGTTCTCGGTGACGTGACGGTGACGGCGGCGGTGGACAAACAGTCTAAATATTTAGAAAATATTGAGCCCTTTCAAACATTATCCTTGCAAAGCCCTTAATTCACTGCATAATGAATCGTGATCCTCACTATTTTGCAAAGTTTTGAATATGGCAATATTAGAACTGTCACTTTGACGTAACGCGTCTTTCGTTGAGTCGAACCTCTAGTGCTTAGACATGGCTTAGACGAAGCTTTCTTCAGGGGCTTTTCACTTCGAACTACAATTATTTGTATGGACATCACAGAACGAATTTTAGATATGTAATATTTCACTAGATGGCGTCATTCAGATCTTTTTTACGTATTATTAGGTATTCCTCCAACTTCATATATTTTTAAACAATAACACAAAATTATACCTGTGGCTGTCAGTGACTGTAACAAAAATCAAGAAAGAAGATATACAGCTTATCAGCATATATTATTTACAACAGATTTTATTTTGAAATAATAAACTAAAGAATTGGATTTATGGGCACAGTACCCATTGCCTACCCAGAATGGGTAAAGAATCTTAATAAAAAACAACTGTAACAAAAAAAAAACTGTTCCGTTTACGCTTCTTGAATTTAATGTTTTCTGAAAAAAAAAGCGCGGGAACGTTTGACGAGCTTGGCGGTCTTTTTTTAAAGAATAAAACTAAATTTATTAATTTTGTATATATTTATTGTGAATAGTGTTTTGAATAGTCTTTAATAATAAGTGTGTACATAGTGTATTAAAAAAATGAGGAATAGGAAGAGTAGAAAAAGGAAAAAACAATTAGATGAACAAGGCGGCGTGGATGGAGATGGCTCTGAAGATTCTAACTTTAGCGACGTCTCCTCCATACAGTCTCTAGAAGAGAAAAAAGAAAGCTTAAACAAATATAAAGATTTCCGAATCCCTAATTACGTTCGATTTTACCCAGAACAAGGCGGAAGTTTCGAATATGTGGTATTCATTGAGAGTACAAAATCTGATCAGCCTATTGGTAATCGAGACATGATGGGATTAGCAAACTGCTTGAAGCGATATAACAAAGGTGTAAAACAGTTGCGAAGAGTGAATAAATATAAAATCGGTGTGGTATTTGAACGTCCTGGTCTGGCTAACGCGGCATTACAGAATAGAAAATTCTTGGAAGCATACAACCTGTCGGCATCTATTCCGGCAGCAGCTAGCGAAGTCACAGGTGTCATCACTCATGTGCCCACAGAATTATCGAATGAACAAATATACTCTGCATTGACTTCTACAAAAAATATCGTAAGCATTCGACGTTTTATGAGAAGAATAAGGACTGATAATGGTGAAAATAAATTGGAGCCGACAAAGACAGTTTCTATCACATTTTCATGCCCAGTATTACCTGAGAGTGTCGACCTCAACAGCTGGCGTTTCGAATTACGACCCTACATACCCCCAGTCAAGCAGTGTCTTAAGTGCCTGAGGTATGGACATATTGCCAAATTTTGTAAGAATGCAGAACGATGCTCCATATGTGGTGAGTCACATAACTTTAAACTCTGTACAAAATCAAGTCAGGATGCTGTATGTTGTCATTGCAAGGGGAACCATGTGGCTATTTCGTCACAGTGCCCTGTAAAAAAAGAAAAAATATTATTAAATAGAGAAAAGGCTCAGAATAAAACATACTCTGCTGTAATTAATGAGAAATCATTCCCTCCCTTGAAACAAAGCCCCACTGATATGCTAGCATTGCTATTAAACTCTGATTTTATTTTGAATATGGTTGTAGAGTCAATTGTCAAATTAATAACAATGAACAGCTATTTCCACACAGAGTATAAAAGATACTCTCTTGGAAACAATAAATAAAAATAAGAAACAAAACACTTAATCTTTTTTTTTTTATGGATTTTTTAAATATAATGCAATGGAATGTTTAGAGTTTACCTGCACACAGATACTTATTAACAAATTTTCTACAAGAGAATCAGATTCATGTAGCTTTGATTTCTGAGACATGGTTAAAACCACACATTCAGTTTACTCTCAAAAGTTATGATATAATTAGACTAGATTCAGGTAACCGCCATAATGGCGTTGCCATTTTTATTCATAATAGTTTGCAATTCCATAAGATAGATACATCATTTGATGATTCAATTCAAAATATAGCTGTAAGATTGTATTATGGAAATCAAGAAATTTCTCTTGTGTCTTTATATAGTCCAGGTAACTGTAACCCTTCATTTTCTAAATCAAAACTTGATTATTTAATCAGCAGTATCCCTGGGCCTTTGCTGATTGCTGGCGATTTTAACGCCCGGCATACAGCATGGGGCTGTAGCTCTATTGATTCACGTGGGCGCGATATTATTGAAAGCATCAATGACAACAACTTAGTACTCCTAAATGATGGTCAGCTGACAACTGTTGGCTCTAGTGTATGGCAAAGGAATGCTTTGGATTTAACACTAGTATCACCCTCTTTGGCTTTGAGATGTGAATGGTCTGTTTCTGATGACCCTTTAGGCAGCTACCATTTACCTGTAATTACAAAATTAGAAATTAGTAATAATAAAGACTCATTTGAAAATTTACTTGCACTCCCTACATATTTTAATTTCCGTCTAGTAGACTGGCAAAAATATAGTGAAAATGTAGATTTCTTATTAAATAACAATTTACAATTTGACCAGTCTAATCCATTAAAATGTTATTCAGATATGGTAATATTATTAAATCTAGCGCTGCAGCAGTCTGTTACTCACACTAGTAGACAGTTTGTTCAACCACAAATATCAGTTCTAAAAGCTTTTAAGAAACGTGTTTCATTGCCTTGGTGGAATAACAACTGCAAAACAGCTGTAGATAATTGTAGGAAAGCTTATACCGAATTTAAGCATAACCTCTCAGAAGAAAGTTACCTTAAGTTTAAAAAGTTACAAGCTTTGAAAAAGCTCATTTTAAAAAAGGAAAGGAACTTAAGTTGGATGTCATTGTGTGAATCACTTAATCGATGTACTCCTATTTCAAAGCTCTGGAGGATTGTCAGGAGGTTTAATGGTATTTCTGTTCCATCTAAAAATGTATATAGTGAATGGGTACCAGAATTTCTCAAAAAATATACACCAGATACCGTAGAGGTCCCTTTGACATTTGTAAATAGGAATCCTGTACATAATTGTAAATACTTAGAAATGCCATTTAACATACAAGAATTTAAAACTGCAGTTTCTACTCGTAGGGATACAGCTCATGGCCTCGATGGTATTCCTTATAAAATGCTAAAATATACTACAGATAAAACAAAGAATATCATCTTAAAAGTTTATAATTTGTTATGGTCTTGCTGTGTTATACCTATTGACTGGAAAAAAGATTGTTTGGTCCCCATTTTGAAACCAAATAAAGATAAGACTAAAGCAAATTCATACCGGCCAATAGCATTGACATCATGTATGGGAAAAGTATTTGAACAGCTACTCAAACAAAGAGTTGAATTTTTTATTGAAAGCAATAATCTATTACCTTCCAATCAATTTGGTTTTCGCAGGGGCCGATCCTCTAGAGAGAGTATAGCACATCTTCAACTAGATATTTTTGATGCACTTAAACAAGATGAAGTCCTTATTGGTGTGTTCTTTGATGTTGTTGGTGCTTTCAATAATGTAAATCCTCATATTTTAGCACGTGAACTTTTTTCTCTTGGTTTTCCTGAAAAAGTAGTTATGTGGATTTTTAATTTTTTGCATGGTCGTGAGGTTTATGTCAAGTCTAATAATCAATTAATAGGACCACGCTATTCATATAAAGGTGTCTGTCAAGGAGGAATTCTATCTCCATTGTTTTACATTCTTTATGTACACAAACTAAACATCATTTTAGGATCACAAGTAAAAAACTTGCAATTTGCTGATGACTTGGTCATTTACCATTCAGGTTCTGATATTCAACAGGTAACCTCTACTATAAATAGAGCACTTTTAAAATTAAATGAATATTTCAGTTATTTAAATTTAGATATTAGCCCTGACAAATCTAAAACAGTTGTATTTGGTGATTGTGATACAAATGTTGATATTGTATATAATAATGTCATTGTCCCTGTAGAGAGTGAAGTAAAATTTTTGGGTGTTATTTTCACCAATAATCTTTCATGGAAAAAATATGTAGAATATCTTTTGGGGAAAGCTTACAAAGCCTACAATGTCATAAAATGTTTATCAAAAATTGACCCTAAAATATTATTGATGTTATACAAGTCAATTGTTAGAAGTCACTTTGAATATGGATTTTTATGTTTTGGATCTGATTCTCAATTAGTAAGAAAATTAGAAGTCTTGCAGAATCATAATCTTAGATGCATAACGGGTGCTATGAAAACCTCTCCTATCAACTCTCTGGAAGTAGAATGCAATACACCTCCACTTCAATTAAGATTTAAATTTTTAAAATCAAAGTTTTTGATTAAATTACTGTCATTTCATTCCCATCCATTAATTAAAAAAAATAACTTTCTATATGGAATATACTCTCCAACTAATATGTCTAGGATCCCTTATTTGCTTCATGACTTCTCAGAATATATTAATTACAACCAGCAGTACAACATTAATAAAACTGAGCATAATTGGATATGTTACAAAGAAACTTATGATATGCATTTCTGTGACATAAGCATCCATATATCGCCCGACTTGAAATTTAAAGAAGAAGTTTACAAAAAGATTGATAAGTTTTCCAATCATAAACATATTTATACAGACGGTTCTAAGAATGATGATAATGTTTCAATGGCGATTTACATACCTCATTTGAAAACGGGTCTAGGGTACAAACTTCCAAGCCAGATGAGCATATTTTCTGCGGAGTGTCTTGCAATTCTTTCTGCATTGGAGTTTATAGAGGAAAATATTCAGGAGTGCACTCAATGGTTGGTGTTAACAGACAGCATGAGTTGTTTACAAGCTTTGCGAAACAATAGATTTGACTCTGGAAGTAATTTTATTTTACATGATATTAAAAAAAAAAATGTACCACAAACTTAAAGTCCTCAATGTACAAATAGTTTTAATGTGGGTTCCATCGCACATAGGAGTCATCGGAAATGAGAAAGCTGATACGTTAGCCAGAACCATTTTATATCGAAGCAATGATGACGTTGACTTTAAAAATGTTGCCATACCTTTTTCAGATTTATTATCCAAACTAAAACTTTTGTTAAAACAAGATTGGTTGATTAATTGGCATCAAACGCTAGTAATAAAAGGAAAATGGTATCATAAAATTAATAATGTAATTGGTCAACATCCATGGTTTACAAAATCTAAAGAATACCATAGTCGGAAATTTTATACGACCATCACACGCTTGAGAATTGGACATGGACGTTTTAATTCACATTTATATAGAATGAATATAATTACATCTCCGTTATGCACAAACTGTAATTTAAATAAAGATCAAACACTAAACCATATATTTTTTGAATGTACAGCATATAATATACAAAGACTTGTTTTAGCTGACAATTTAATTAAATTATATAAAACTAATAATGAAATCCCGCGCGACATTCAAGACATTGTTATGAATCCAAAATCATACAAATATCTATATATTTTTTTAGTTTCCATAGATATGGAACTTTAAAAAATTTCATGACTTTAAACAAATAAGATTGAAAGAAAGAAGATTCAAATTGAAAGAAGATTCAAAATCGGATTTGAAAATTTGGGGGAAACAATAAGTACCTAAACTGAAAATGGATTAGAAAGACTATTTAGGACAAATATCTTATGATTAAAGAAGTGGCTTCGGCCTTATAGAAAAAAGGAAGAAAAAAAAATCCTTTAAATGAAGACTATGGCTGCATGGCTCTGCCTTTGCCTTTCCCAAGATGGGAAAAAAGATATAAAAAAAAAAAAAATGTTTTCTTGTGATTTTTGGTGATTTTTCCGACGATTTCAGCTATTTTTCCGGACTCCGATTCTCCTGCTTTTACATTTTGCCCCGCGCTCTTCATATCGGTTATTGATTGACTTCACTATTTGGATTTCGTTGTTCTCGAAAATGGCATCTCAGAGAAGATGTTGTGTGCCTAATTGTAACGGAACACGTACGTATTACCAATCAGTAGTATTCGGAGGAGAGATATTAGCTATGGACAATAATTATCTTTTCAAGCAAGGAATAGTTTGTCAAAAACATTTTGAGACCAAGTTTCTTACTTGGACTAGAACACTTTCTCCACATGCTGTCCCAACTTTACATTTGCCAGGAAAATTGCTGATTTCAAAGTCTTTTAAAACATCGAGTAAAGAGTGTATGTAATGGTCTCTTAACAAAAATCATTGAGTTGAATATGATCAGGATTTGTGGTGCACCAAGGAGTGTTTTAACGGATGTCACCAACAGAATGCATATTGACCAAGGAATTGAACATTCTCAGCTTTCAATGCCTTCTACATCCACTAGTAAATATTTATTTATTTATTTACAAATATTTTTTTACATTACTGACATTCTGGTAGAGTGGAATGTGCACTGGTTGTCAATGCCTTCTGTAAAGTTCTGGGTTTGAATCCTGGTAGGGGCAAAATTCTTTTTGAATGTTTGAATGGAAGCATCAAATTTCAGATATACAAATTAGTAAAAACTTTCCTTTATTCTCTTTTGTTTTAATATATTTTTTTTTTGCAGGTGGTGTTTTGACTGAAAAGGTAGAATTACAACAAAACCCTGTAAAGAAATCGAAGATACTAAGTAAAAATAAGCTTACCGGTAATTTTTATATAAGTATTTTTGTCTATTATTTGATAACTTTATTAACTTAACTTTAAAAAAAATCAGAAATATGTTATCTATATTTTAGAGAGCACCTATCCTAATCAACTTTATTCTTTTGTTAGCTTTTTTCTTAAACTTACCTCTATGGGCTTTAGTCATGTTTTACTTAATAAGTAGACATTACATAATGAAATGAACCTTCCACTTAGTTTTCTTATACTAATAATAATTTGTTAAAAAAAAAATTAGCTTCACCTCACATTGATACTAATTTTATTGAAATGCTTTTTTTCAGCATCTGCAATGGATCAAAGTGTAACTAACTTAAAAAAAGTGGTGAAGAAGCTAACTGAAAAGAATCTCAAATATAAAACACTAAAGAAAGCAATGAAACTTTTATGATAGATCCGACTCGTAATTTCTTTATATATAACTGGCGTGGTGAGGTAAATAAATTATTAAACGGCACCATAAAGATGCGTAATTGTACAAATTTTAAAGATGATATTAAAAGAATGGCATGCAAATATTTAATAATATAAATAAAATAATTGATTTATAATACTTCTTTATTTATTCTAATCAACTGTGTTAAAGCTACACTTTTAGACAATTGTCAAAAAAACTGTAAACGAATAGTAGGTAAATTATCTAATAATGTAGCTTTAACACAGTATGGTTTTTTCCTTTTTTCATATTAATAATCTCATCTAAAGCTGCCGGTAACGGTTCAGTAGTACCTGACTTGTGATTATGTCATGAATCGCTAGATGGCGCTGTATGCTCAGGTTAACTGATATCTCTATTACTAGTATATAATGTACTCTATGGCTTTCTTAGTCTAAGCTCTAGTGGTTGTACCCTTTTTTTTTATATATAATTTTTACGGCCTTGGAGTTTTCCATATTGGCCAGTCATTAGTGTACTTTACTCTATGGTTGAACCATAATCCAAAGAGTAAAGTGAGTATACCAAAGGCCATAATCAGAGAGTGTTGAACAAATTAGATGAATAATTAAGATTTCAAGCAATTAACTCTATTTTTTTCGTATTTACTTGCTTAAATTATTTCTGCCGATATAACAATGAGTAATACTAAAAAAGTATTTCAAATTCTGGTGGGCAACAAGATCTTTTGCAATGTTTGCTTAAAAGACATCGAAGATGAAAATTCATATTATTTTAAAGATGAGATAGCTTTAGACGTCAATAAAAACATCGAACTTTCCGATTTGTTAGATAACATTTTGGGATTAAAAGTAAGTACTTCTACTGCAGCAATATTGTTTGGACAAACGAACTCAATAGTAACGAAGTGATTAATAATAAAGTAATGTTCCTTCTCACTGATATTAATTGGACGTAGTTACGCGAAAACGTTCCAACCCACAAGTCACTCGAAAATGAGTTACCATAACCAGGGTACTATTTTTGACATATTATATCATGTGCACACAAAGATGCTAGTATTTTTAGGTTAGTTTCATCAATAAAGTTTAACCCAAATGTTCCAACCCACCATTATGCCAAGGACGTGTACTCAAAATAAAGTAAAAACATTACATGCATACTGAAACATATTGTTAAAAACTCTTAATAGAATAACATATCGTTATAATGTTCCACTTGTCTTGGAACATTATACTAAATTCATAAAACGCACATTTAATGGTTTCTTAAATGATCCATGTGGGTTGGAACGTTTTTGCAAAATCTTTACACCTTTTTATTTCTGCAAAAATGTTCCATGTAATTTGAAACCTTTTAGATTAATCCATACTGTTTTTTTTAAGCTGCGAACACTGTTCTAAATAAATTGAAATCTTTTATTATAATATATTATTTTCAAATTTTTTGCTATAAACAATCCACATATACTTGATCCATTTTTGCTATTAAATATGTTCTAGAGAAAAAGATATTTTTTACCAAAATAAATAACTATGGTATATTTCGACGTAGTAACGTGAAAATGTTCCAACCCACAGCAACCCCAATTTGAGATAAACGCAATTTACACACTTTTTCCCTGTAATTATTTCAGGCAAATACTATTGGTTTAACTATGGAATGCCAAACTGTTTATTGAATGATATGCATATTTTTTGTAAATACATAATACAAGGGGCATATAAATAGGTAAAACGAGTTTGAAATGTTTTTGCTAAATTAATTTTGTATGAACCTTGTTATATAGCAATTATGCATAAACTTTCCAAAACGAATTTAAGTGTATTATTTTATAAAAATAAACCAAAAAGAAATATGTAAAATAATAAATAACAATGAGGAACATACAAAAACAACAAAAAAAATATTTGAAAATGTATTAGAAAAAAATAGAACGTGATCTTTTGAGCTTAGAACCTATGCCAAAAATTTGCTGATATGGTTCCAAAAGTTATCAAAAACTTATATTATAAACATTCAATTTTCATCATCGTATTCTATGATCTCGAAGTCCGGAACTCCACCAAACCCATCAACATCATCAGTGCTTCTTCAGAACTTTGAAGCGTTCTATAAAATTGAAGGCAATCCTCGGGTATATAGTGGTACATGGATTGCAAGTCCACTAATTTCGCTGGAGCAATCGGTTTGTCGTTAGGCCACAATAAGCAAAAATCAGATTCTTTTATGTATTGCAGTTCTCGTTTTATTCTTTTATCAATTTTCAACTCATTGAAATCGTCTTCGATCGTAGACCGCATAAAAATAGAAAACATTTTATCTTTATCCAACTTAATTTCTTTTGTATGTAGCCAACTAACTTTAGATGAGTCTGTAAACTTCTTCCTATTGATCTTCTTTTCCAGTTTAGTTGTACTAAAAAAATCAGTCTTTGTCATTTTGTAAACTTGAAGAGGTTTAACTTTTTTACTTAGTTCTACAATAGTGGTATCCATAGTGCATCTAATGATACTGGGCATTGTTATGTACTGGTAGAAGGAGAGGTAGGAAGAGGTGCACAGGAAGTGAATTGCCTTCAATTTTATAGAACGCTTCAAAGTTCTGAAGAAGCACTGATGATGTTGATGGGTTTGGTGGAGTTCCGGACTTCGAGATCATAGAATACGATGGTGAAAATTGAATGTTTATAATATAAGTTTTTGATAACTTTTGGAACCATAGCAGCAAATGGGCATAGGTTCTAAGCTCAAAAGATCACGTTCTATTTTTTTTGTAATACATTTTCAATTTTGTTTTTGTTGTAGTTGTATGTTCCTCATTGTTATTTATTATTTTACATATTTATTTTAGATATATTTATAAAATAATACACTTAAATTCGTTCTGGAACGTTTATGCATAATTGCTATTTAACAAGGTTCATACAAAATTAAATTTAGCGAAAACGTTTCAAACTCGTTTTACCTATTTATATGCCCCTTGTATTATGTTTTTACAAAAAATATGCATATCATTCAATAACCAGTTTGGCATTCCACAGTAACACCAATAGTATTTGCCTGAAATAATTACAGGGAAAAAGTGTACCGCTAAAACACAAAATTGCGTTTATCTCAAAATGGGGTCGCTGTGGGTTGGAACGTTTTCGCGTAACTACGTCCAATTGTAAATAATGTTACCTTTTAGGCTACAAGCATCTATGCTTCAGGGATTATATGTCAACAATGTTTGGAAACAGCTATAGCCTCCTATAAATTCATAAATATGTGTAAACAGAACATAAAACACCTTAGTGATTCTGTGGTCTTGTTGGCAGACAGAATGAACAGTATTGTAAAAGAGGAAGAGGATAGTATGAACACTTTATTTATATCACTGGAACCTGAAATTCCAATAACATTTGATGATAAATGTACAGCTGGATATAATAGCAATGGGAGTGTGAAAAGTGATGCAGACAAGTGCGACTCAAGTGCATCTGATTGTTTTGAGCCATTGGTCAAAGTAAAAGTAAAAAATTATATGCATAAAAGAAAAAGCAAAGCTAAGAAAATACCATTGAATGAAATTATTTATGACATAAACAATATGTCAGAAATTAAATGTAAAATTTGCCAAAACAATTATTCTAATTTGAATAGATTAAAAGAGCATTATCTCAGAATCCATGCCCCTAAAACTTTTCCCTGCACAGATTGCTCTAGAAGTTATGGTTCTGCTGGTATATTGGCAGAGCATAAGAATAACAGTCACAAGCCCTTTATGTGTTCACATTGTGGCAAGACTTACATTGGTAAATCAACATTTAAAGTACATTTGCAAAGACATAAATTGAGGTTAATTTGCCAAAACTGTAGTAAAACTTTCATACACAAGAGAAGTTACGATAACCACATTAAGAACATTTGTGTTCCAAAAGAAAAGAGGATTTTAAATGAGAAATATGTTTGTGACTATTGTGGGAAATGTTATAATTGTAAACCAAATTTACGAGTTCATATAAGATTTGAACATGAGAATGGGAAAGGTCACAATTGCCCTTGGTGTAATAAAAAGTTTAATGCTATTAGCAGATTGTCAAACCATATTGTTACTCATACCCAGGAAAAAAAATTTGGCTGTGATATTTGTGGAGGACGATTTGTAACAAAGCCTTCGTTACTTTATCATACTCGTATCCACACTGGGGAAAAGCCTTACCAGTGTAAATATTGTGATAAAACGTTTCTCTCTGCATCTAGAAGGTCAGAACATGTAAAACGTCACCATGCTGAACCAATGATAGAATGTAATTTGTGTCATAGCAAGTTTCGAAGTAAGTCCTGTTTGAAGAGGCATGAGAAACGGCATTTTAACCCCAAAAGCAGATTACATGTCTCACAGATATCAGACAATAAAGATGTCAAAGTTTAAACCCCAATAGAGGACAGCATTACTCTCGGCTAATACGAAATAAAAATGTCAAAGGATTTACAAATATAATCATTCATTTATTGCTAGAACATTTTTGTCTTAGTTATTTAGTCATTAATGGCAATACACACCTAGCTCTAGGTGGTGGGATAATTTGCTATGACTCTCCCTGAACGAAAAAACAATTTTGCTTGTGCCAAGTTGCATTCTTTATATGATTTTGAGATTAAAAATAATCTAATATTTGTAGTTTATTTATGATGAATACTTAATTTAGATATACCAATCTGAATTGCAACCATTTTGCTTATAAATTTCTTGAAAATATCACCAGCTTCAGAAAAAACCTGTGTGAGCCCAAGAGGGTATTGTTCAATTGAATCTGAAAATAAATAGAATTAGTATTAGAGTCCCAAAGTTAAATTTGCTTAAGCACAAATCACCTCTTTTAATATTTTGATTTTGACAGTGTTTCTGTAGATCAAGGTCCAGTGTTCATGAGTTGATGACTTCAGTGTAAATTTTCCTGTCCCAACTACCCCTTGTGTTGGAAAGGAAAAGAATTGCACCAAAATTTAAAAAATCACTTAAAACTCTTCTCTCAGATCAAATAAAAAAGTATGGAATGAAAATGATGTATGTACGTGTTTGTGTTTCTGTGTACATACAGCTGAGCAGTGCCGTCTTTGACCTATTGGAGGCCCTGGGCATATTAGGATATTGGGCCCCTATGACCCCCGTTTGGTGATCTAACAAGAACCAGGGACTTTTTATTTGTGATGATGTGAGGTACCCACCTATCGATCACGGGGCCCTAGGCACTTGCCCAAAGTGCCCACTGGGTAAGACAGGTCTGCAGCTGAGGGTTAGTTTAATCTGGTTCACACTTTGTTGTTTGCAGAGTTCGATCTGTACATTTTTTTTATCTCAGACTTCTGCCACCCTGAATTTTCTGCAAGCTGCGGCTGTTGGTCAATATGGGTTGGATATGCCCTAAGAACTGCCTTAAGCATAAGAAATAATTTGTGTTTCACCTGGAGCATAGGATTCACTTGCTGTCACATGGCGTGTTATATTTCTGCAATCGCTTTGATCAACTGAAAACTAAAAAACTGCTTTAGTACATAATTTTTTGTTCTGTAATCTGAATTTTAGGCTATCCCACTTCCTACTAATAAGTATTATAAGTGTGATAGTTTGTGTGATTATTACTCAATCACGCAAAAATGGCTGAACGGATTAGTACACGACACGATACTTCTTGTCCCAAAAACATGATTGGTTACCGAGGGATTCTCCAAGAACTAAAGTTATCGCAGGCGGCCGCTAGTAATAGAGAAAATAAAAATATTTCTGAGCGTCAAACGAGACGGGTCGAATCAAATAGTAACATCAGAACGGTTCGTTCAAACAATAGTTCTGACGAAATTACTAATCTTACCTAATAAATATATAGGTATAATACTAGTGTCATCTCAGCCGTAACTCGACGCCCACTGTTGAGCATATAGGCCTCTCCCCGGGATCCTTACCACCGATCGGTCCTGCACATCCATCGGTTTTCGCGCGCTTGATCATCAGTAGATCGTCGGTTCACTTGGTGGGGGGCCTGCCCACTGAGCGTTGCGACTATTTCGCTAAAAACTTGGTTCAGACAAAAATTAATCATCTCGAATGTTGTCTGTAGCGTGGTCGCCATTCGAGAACCTTTCCGCCCCAACGGCTATCGGTTCTTTTAGCTACGCCTCTCGCGTTTTGCCACTTCAGTAGAGCAATCCTTTAAGCAATATCGGTTACTTTAGTTCTCCTACGGATTTCCTCATTTCTGATTCTATCGCGTGAGGAAATACTAAGTATCGTGCTCTCCATTGCTCGCTCGCTGTGTAACCCTGAGCCTTCTTTTGAGACCCGCAGTAAAGAAACACGTTTCGCTTCCTTACTAATGCGCATGCCACGGCTGAACCGATTTGGATGAAATATGGCACACAATATTTAGCAACAAATATTATTGGTTATGTTGTTCATTACCCGGATAGGATACCCGTTGGATTCTCAAAAACGAATTATAACGCGAATGAAGTGACGGGTGAAAACTAGTCTTACTAATATTATAAATGCGAAAGTTTGTTACTAATCACGCAAAACTACTGAACTGATTTGGATGACATTTGATACGCAAATAGTTTATGATCTGATTCTGGATTGATACATTACATAGGATACTTTTTATTCTGGAAAAACGTTAGGTTAGGTTAACGCGGACGAAATCGCGGGCAGTTGTTATATTATTATAATACTATAAAAAACTATGGTAAGTATAGAATGTAGCTAGAACTATAGTTTGCATCGATATTTATTTATTGTATTTTATGTATGTTATGCATATGTATTTATATATATTTATGTATGGTTACATGAGCATTTTATATATGTGCATCAATTTGTATTTAAGTATTATTAGTTTTATTGCTGCTATTACGTTAATTATCATTTTATTTAATTTCGAACAACTTTACCCTATCGCCATACCATTTGTCTCCAATACTTAAACTGGTTGACTGGTAGAGAATGCCTATGGCATTAAGTCCGCCGTTTGCTTATGTTTGGCAATGAAGTTCAAATAAATAAATGTTCTGTTTACATGAGGATAGTTTATTATAGACAGAATATAATTATTAGCGTTATTATTCAAAGTCTATATTACTTAGGTAGATATGTAAATATTTATAAATATATTACCTAATGTTATTTTGTTTAAAGTTTAAAGTTCATGTGGGTACTTATATCCATAGATGAATGATTGGTCTCGCTTCACTCGACGACGACGTCGAGACGCGAGAACAATCATTTATATAAGCTTAAATCAATATATTAGTATTTGTAATTAATTAATTAAAAGTGAAAAAAAACAAACCGAAATAATTACGAAGGAAAACAAAATGCAGCAATATGAACACATAACAAGTAAGTAATTGAAAAATGAGTCTCAATAATCGCACATTTTTTAAAACTATGTAAATCCAAAGATTTAAATCGCTTTGTGTAAATCCTGTTTAAATTAACTTTTTTAATAATTACAGGTCAACACACTGGTTTATTAAAGGTAGGTTTTAGATAATAATGCGCTAGCATCACTTTAAAGTTTGTGAGATAATATCAACAGTTCAAAACACATCTACAGCATTTTCTGAAAACGTAGTGATTATATCCTCTTTGATTTTCTGACTGATTCCCGACCTCACGACTGAATTTCTTCGGATTAACTTTTTTTAATATTCGCGCCTTTATGTTAAGCTTTTGATCAAGGAAATAGAATTTCTCACTTCACTCTTCATTTCGCAGGGAACTAGTGTTCAGCAAAGCTACAATAACACTAGTTCCCTGCGAAATGAAGAGTGAGTAAATCAAGATCATGCAACTTCAATAGCACGACTGAGAAAGTATCGTGTGGTCTGCCCGCATGTCAGAACCGACCTATGGGTCTGTTTTTGTAAATATATGTATATAATAATTATATAAATAACATATATAATTTTTAGCTCTGCTAAAATAACGCAAATATCATGAAATTTTGGAAACTATGATATAATATAAAATATAGTAGGAACTGGAACAAGTGTCTGCCATTAAGTTTTTCTATATATATATATATTAAGATATCAAAACGGCAGACATGCTGCGAACATGTTTTGAAAGTCGATTTTCATGCTTTTCGACTTCTAGGCACGCCTAGAGGAACCCTCTATGGGAATGGTGAACCCCCATCCATTTGATTTACGGCAGATGAATTACTAACACACTTGCTTGACACTAGCATTAACATGGAGTTTGCTACTATACCGTAAGTCTGCGAAACACTGGTTCTCAGTCTATAAATAGACTATAACAGCCCATTAGCACGTTAATGATGTCGATTAAGGCATCATTGATATAACTTAAAACAAAATTTAACATTATTCCCTACTTCTCATTCTGTATAGAGAAAGAAAAGGATACTTGGCGTGATTCTCTAAACTTAAAACTAAATTTAACATCATCTCTCCTCTTCATTCTGTATAGTGAATGACAAGGATACAGTGGTGTCAATTCTGGCGTGATTCTCTAAACTTAAAACTAAATTTAAAATCAATCTCTCCTTTTCATTCTGTATAGTGAATGACAAGGATACAGTGGTGTCAATTCTGGCGTGATTCTCTAAACTTAAAACTAAATTTAAAATCAATCTCTCCTTTTCATTCTGTATAGAGAATGACAAGGATACACTGTTGTTAAATTTAAGTTTAGATTTAGAGAATTGTGCTAGAATCGATACCACTGTTGTCAAATTTAAGTTTAGATTTAGAGAATCGTGCCAGAATCAACACCACTGTTGTCAAATTTAAGTTTAGTTTTAGACACCAGTTGTTATACTATACCTGTAGCCCAGTCTAAATCTGAGCGCACTTTGTTAAGCAGGAAATAGCGAGTCAACTGCATTGCATGAACATACACAGTTTGTCAATAAAGTCATAAAAAAAGTGATCGCCACCGTCGCTTACATGATATCCTCATTATACATAGACTGATACACTTTGATATTTGTTAAAATGGAATACTGTTTAAATTGTAAAATATATTATCACTTCCATACATTTCATTATTATGCTAGTTTCTACCTTATCATCATCTTAAGATTTTTTCTGGACCTGCCTGATATATTGATTGAATGAATAAAATCTACAAAAAAAAACTAATTTTAATATTTAAGATTTATTAATCGAGCAGATTAATATTTAAAAACAAAAATGAAATTATCTATATTTGTCATGCTTGAATTTCGAGGCCGGGCTACACACTTGCTAAAGGTGGGAAATAAAAAGAAAGATAGTTATTATAGTGAATTAATAATTATTATTTTTCTGAGCCCAAATAATCTAATTAAAATTTATATCCCTGCGTCATCAAGTTGCTGGTTGCTGCCTGCCTCATAGGTTTAACTGGAACTGGAATCATCGTCATCTGTACAGAGTTCCAACACAGGCAAAGTTTTCTTCTTTCAAATGTACACATATTTTCCATTCTTGTGGAATTATTTGTATTTATACTGTATAACACAGCAATCAAAATGCAGGTAAACAATTAATATATATTTAATCATTATGTAATGAAAGGTGGCTTCATGAATCATCTCTGAAGTCATTTTTCAATTTGTCGACTCTGTAAATAATAAAACAGGGAGAAAAAAATAGCCCTTGCTGAGTTTCTTGCCAGTTTTGCTCAGTGCAAGGTCTCCTGCTGTAGATTTACGAACCGATG